TGAGTTATTTACGCTTTTTCCGGAGACAGGCTCAGGTTTGATTTAAGCCGTGATTACAACACTTGGCTTTCTCTGCCCTCTTCCTTTTGGTTTTAATTAGCGAACTAATCAGGAGCCGACTTGATGCATCCAATCTACCAAACAAATGCAAAATGAAAAGAAACGCTTGGCCAGAAGACGCTGCCAATTACCAAAAGGCTGTTAGGAAGACGCTGGAGTCTAATCACTTATTTGTGATGCGGAGTTTGTGGATGTTGCCAAAGACAAACACGTGCGTAATAGAGTTCTGCGTAAAAGCGCGTGTTAATTCATCCACGCGAATATTAATGGTTAAAAATAGATCAGCGAGTTTTATTTGTCGTGTATTTAGACCCAGCAGAGGGCGCTATTCCAACAGCTAATTGATGGTCGTTTTGTGCAAGGCCATTGAGCACTTTGTACGTCAGTAATAAAACCAATGCTTTTATTAGACGAGGCATTTGCAATAGCTGCGTCATTAAACAACTTGGAAAAGAGTTTCCTTTTTTTGTGGAATTCTCTTCTGATTATTAATTTTTTTTTGTTTTTTTTAAATATATGAACACATTGCATTGAGGGATCTGGGGAAATATTCACGATTCCTCCCCCATACTGACCGATTCAAATTTGATTCTATAAGAAAATTACTGGCATGAAATGTTTGTTTTATTGACAAACTTTCGCACCGGCTGAGGACACATGATGAGTAAAGGTGAAAACGTGTATCAAGATTATGTTATGGTAGTTTTTATTAGTGATGTTTCTTTCACAAATTAGGACTTTTCTATATACATTTTATGGCCAATTACCAAAGCAAAAAATTTGCCCCTTTACTCTGTGTCTAATTTTCTTCACAAATTCATTTTAAGATTTAAGAAAAATCCGGCTGTGCTATTTGGGACTGCCCTGAGGAAACTTTATATCATCTGTTTTTAACCTGTTCAGTCTTGTACATTTTTGAGTGACATGAGAATGGCTGTACCTAAAATTATGGATATCCCTGATTTTTACTATATTCTATTTCATCAATAACTTAGATGGGACAGTTTCAGATGTTGCAAATATTATTTTAGCCAAATACCACATACACTGATTTAATAAAAAATAAAAAAAATGGTAATCTCTTTAAAATTGCTTAAATCCACTTCAATGCCTTAACTGTACCATCCCCATGTTTGAGCATACATTGTTTTGTGTTTGAATTGATTCTGTGATTTAATAAAAAAATTAAAAATCCTTTGTGGGTCCTCCTGTGTTCTTTATCCAAAACAAACAAAGCTTCTGCTGTTACAACCGCATTTTCGGCTCCTTTCAATTTTTATCCTGGTCTCGATTTCCCAAAATTAAGATTTACATTAAGGGCACTGTGCTACATTGAATCATTGTTTTTCTTGCCTTCTATTTTGGAGCAATGCGCAGATTGAAAAAGAGATAGATGAGAAGCACTAGTGACAGTTTCTATCTCCGTCAACTCGGAGGATAAGGTTTCCATGGCGCCCAGTGGTGGGAAGATTGAGCCTAATGCACTTAGCAACCAGCAGCGAGCCGGTAGCAAAGACTGTCCTCAGCTTCCTCATGTGTGGGCATCTGTAAACCTGCATCTAAATTAAGAATGATGAAAAGACCAAATAGAAAGTCTGCTTTTAACATTGGATAATGTTAATGTATATGTTTCCTATGGGACGTCTTCTGTATGAATAAAACTAATAATATCCTAGGAAAGTTTGTTTGTGCCTAATCTATTCTAGCTTCAATACAAAGTTATAGTGATAGAGACTTTGCTTATTTATCGAAGAAGAAACATTTGCTTAACCTGGAATTTAGAGAATAAAATGCAAGAGCGCTTGGAATCTACAGGGCAAAATGACAGAATTTAACAATCACACCATTTTTTTTTAAATCTAATGTAAAGGTTGAAATGTCTGGCTGTCAAAAGATTTCAGCCCCCTGAGTTTATACTCTGGATTCACCTTAACCTAGAATTACAGCTTTAACTCTATACGGCTCTATAAGCTTTGCACATAATTTTTCATAAAATAAGTTCTTAAAATTAGTGCCAGTTTTTTAGTTGGTCTGGACTTCAACTGTTTAGGTCTTTCTATTGCTGTAACAAGACTATTCCTGCATATATTCACTTGGGAGGATAATTGCTGCACTTTACCACAACTGGAGGTGGATGTGAAGTGATGCAGATGGTGAGGTGAAGCTGTATCAGTGCATCTCCCACTGAACTGAACACAATCATCCATTTTCAATTCTTTGAGTAATAAACAATTATTATTTAACACAGAATTGTTACTCAATAACTTCAAGTAAGTCAGTCATCTTTTATAGCGCCTTTCACAGACCAGAGTCACAGAGCGCTGTCGCAATTGTCTCTCACTCCAGAGAGATGGAAGTGAGGTTGCCATACAAGAGGCGCATGCCAGACTTATTGTACATGTTTTAGTGGTAGGGAAACCGGAGCACCTGGAGTAAACCTATGCAGAATCTGCACTAACCACTGCACCAAAAATGGACAATAACTACTGACTCATCTACTAGAATAATTGTTATTTGCAGTCCAAACCAAACTAACGTATTTGCTTTTAAATATCTATATAGAAAGATTGACATACATTGGACGCAGGGAGCTTAGCCACATAAACCTCTGATCAAGACAAATGTAATGTTTGTCCTGAGTTGCGAAATCACTTCTGTCTACAGCTGATTCGACCCAGATTTTTGAAATAAGAATAAGAATGTTTTGGGATAAGGTTTGCTTTGCCCTAAGTTAAGGCTTTCTTACAACCTTTCAAAAATCTGTTTTACTTCCTTGATATTTGCATGTATTGTCGCAAAAAGCAGGGGCACAAAACTTTGGTCTTTTATATAATGTCCATGCCATTTGTTCACAACATTTTGCTTTTACAAGACTTTCTTTTGGAACAAATTAGACAGTTTAATTGTATAATTTATAATGCATAGTTATAATTTGTAAAAATGTGCCCGAGGAGTTACGCTTTTGGCCGAGACCTGATTGTGCTCCTCTTTTTCACTTTTCTGTCTGAAAAAGCTCATAACTAGTTTTCACAAGCATATATTTCCGTAGAACCAAACTGAGTGAGGAACTTTAAACTAGTGATTACAATCGCTAGTTAAAATTTTGCCGTTTAAAGTCAGGTACCCCAGCTTTAAATGCATTGACGTAAAATGAACACAACTTATAGCACGAATGTTGACATATGGGAAAACAGACTACAATAGACCAAAGGAGCCGCCACAAACACATAAACTAGTTCAACACGAGACAGACACCACAGAGCATGCCGAGGCGACAAACAGAAGCTGCAAACAGCCCAAACACCATTAAAAATCATGCAGCCTGTGAGATCTCCAATGTTTAAACAAAGCCAAAGCCAGCAGCAGCAGCAGACCCTGTAACAAGCGCACGCTCAGAAAAGTACAAACGAGTGGGAGCGATGGAGGAGGAGGAGGAGGCCACAAGACACAAACGCACAAGATGAAGACTGAAAGACATGATTTTGAATGGTAGAAATCACAATTTGTAAAAAGACAGACAAGAGTAATTTCAAATTCTAACATTTATTAGATCTACTCAGTCACAGGTACAGAGTTTATTGGCAGTGATGATTTTCTACAACAGGCGGCTACAGAGAGGGCGAATCGCTCAGGAAGAGGATGACGGGCAAGTCAACAATGTCATTCACACCAAGCAACACTTTATACATAAATGACTAATTATTTTCACCGCTGCTCAGACTGCAGAGTGGCCCACATCAATTCAATACTGTGTGTTTTGGAAATGTGTTGTGACAGTGTTGAATTGCACTTAGCCAGAGAAGGTGGGATGGAGAGAAGTGCAGCGATTGTTCTGTGGCAGTTTATGGCGTCTGTCCCGCAATCTGGCATTTCAGTTTTTCTCATCGAGTCAAAAACTGTTTAAACATTTGTATCACTTTTCTCTTAAAAAGCCACAGAAACTCCATATAAAAATATTTGTCAAATACTAAACATTTATAAGCTCTCAGGCATCTGCACTCATCATGCAGGTGAAAATTAGAATATTGTTCAAAAGTCCCTTTACTTCTGTTAATCAATTAATGTCAATGTCAATCAATGTGAAACTAATATATGGTAAACTCCAACTATTTCCTTCCGCGTTGCCGGTTTGCAGGGGCAACAGTAGCCTTTCCTATCCACACACACCTCCGGCAGCACCAGGGGAATCCCGAGGCATTCCCGGCCAGCTGAGGGACATAGTCCCTCCAACGAGTCCTGGGCCTTCCCTGGGGTTCTCTTGACATGAAGGAGCAGCTCTACTCAGAGCTCCTCCCTTGTGACTGAGCGCCTCATGCTTTCCCTAGGGGAGGGTTACTCTGCGGAGGAAGATCATTTAACCACTTGTATCCGCAATCTCGTCCTTTGGTCATGACCCAAAGCTCATGACCATGAGGGAGGGAACAAGGATTGACCAGTAAATCAAGAGCTTTGCCTTTCGACTCTCTTCACCACAAGAGTCTGACACAGCGACCACATCATTGCACCAATCCGTCTGATGAGTGTGAGATATGACAGAAGGAGCTAGATCAAGCCTTTATTAGTTATAATGTTGATAAATCGCTCACAGCTTGTAAAAAACTCTGAAAACTTGAATGTTAAGAAAATAGCCTGAAGCTATAACAAACAACGGCTTGTCTGATGAATCATATATTCGTTTCACATTTTAAGTTGAAATACGTAAATAAATGACATTTTTGAACAATATTATAATTTTCCCGTTTCACCTGTGCAGCCAACTGGCTTCTTTCTGTTCCTCAAAGTATTCCACATTTTCACCGAACAAAATATACATGTTACTATTCACAGGTCAGTAGCACACTCAAGCTTTCTCAACGTAAAACAGAAAATTGAAGCCGTCACGACTGTTTGTAAAGTGCATCTGTCAGTGTTGTACATGCAGTGTTACACCGCTGTAGTACCTGAAGTGGCTTTCCCGTCGGGCTTGGAGCAGGGCGGAGGAGGGGTGAAATTGGCCTCTGGGAGACTGCAATTGAAGGACGACACAGTGGACGGGGACGGGGGCAGGAGGGTGCTATTGGGACTACTGATGTCCCCCTCTCCCACCAGCGTCAGGTCCGAGGGCACGTCCTCTTGCACCGTGCGCAGGCCTGAGCGCAGGTCGCAGGGCCGCGGAATGGGGGACAAGTGCATGCCGAAGGTGTGTCGCGGCGGCATCAGGCACCGGCGAGAGTGTCCGTTGGGGCCAGAGCCCAGGGAGGAGTCCAGGCTCTCTGCGCGGGAGGACAGGGGCGGCCGCGAAGGGAGGCCGTTCTCTCTGTGCAACGATTTGATGGACTCTGGAGTGGAGCAGGACAGGTCGGAGGCGAGGCGCAGGAAGTCGGGGAGCACCAGGTCGTCTTTGTTCAGGAGGCCGCGCTGGTCATTGGCTCGAGAGCTTTGTGCGCGGCTCAGCAACTCGAAGAATTCTGTGGCACAGCAGGAGATGATTGGTGACTTCAGAGAGACCAAAGCGCATCACAACAACACACTATGATTCACTTGTTCTTGCATAAATAAGCACATAGTCAAACACCATCCATCCATCCATTTTCTACCCTTTAATCCATTTCTGGGTCAGGGGGGTGGCAATCAGAGATGCCACCCAAGTCTCATAGCACCAGCCCCTCACTGACCCTCTGCAGGTGGTGAGTCCACAGGAGGACGGCTGCTCTCTGAGTGTGAGCATAGCCTTGATCTTTCAGTGGGGGCTTTGGGCAAAGTGGGGTTAAGTGTCTTGCCCAAGGACACAACGACAGCAGTCATCAGTGGGAGTCGATGGAGAAGGTGCAGAGGTGGGAATTGAACCCACGACCTTCTGGCCTTAAGGCCAATGCTCTACCAACTGAGCTACTGTCGCCCTTATATATAGTCAAACACATTAGCATAAAGACATTTTACACATGTATAGATGAAGGGATTTGCTCCTTTTCCAACAGAAGTGCACAGTTAAGATGCAATTAGTTTCATGCAGCAAAACAAAACCACCATGTTACACCTACAGATCAGTCCTGTTAGTCATAAAGCAAAGCAAGGCTAAAAAAATTCACCAAGAGAAGAAGAACGAAAAAAGTGACAATTACCTTCAGCTTCATCTATATTAATCTTTTTCTGTTTTCTCTTTTCGCCTGGGAGTCCGGAGTCAGGCCCAGCTCTCAGAGCAAAGTCCCTTGGTGTTGACCTCTCATCTCCCTGCAGATGCAACAATCACAATGCTCTCTGTTAGGGGATGGAGGGACTGAGGAGGAGAAGCATGAGCTGCCAGGCACCCTACTGAGCAAAGAGACTGTCTAGCTCTGAGGCCACATATGAATGTGGCAAGGAGACTAAATGCATAGGATGTATGTTAGCCACACACAGTTAACACGATAAATCAAGAAAAACACCAAACCCAAAAGCAGAAGCCGAAAAGCCACAAGAAACCCCATGTGACATGGAAACATGGTTTAAATTCAGTACTGTACTTACAGTAGCAGAGAGGATCCTGGTGGGAGGGTGGCTCTTGAGAGAAGACGACTTTGCTTTATCTGAGTGAGGTAGGCAGAGAGATTAATTAAGTTTAGAAATAGATATCAAACGAGCAAAGACTCAATTTAGGGAATGTTATTAGCATGTCTGATGGTTGTACCTTTTCCAGAGGCTGTCGGGTCTGCTCGCTCCAAAACAACACGCAAACCATCCAAGCTTGAAATAGGAGCACCCAAGTCCAATGGATCAGTTTCCCCACTCTGATGATAAAAGAATGTCCAATTTATTTATTTTTACAGTGACATTTTTCTCAAAACTCCCTGAACACATTCTGTCTGGTTCCAATAGTTTAGACCATAGTTATAATCCCTAGAAAGCCACAGGACCAAAATATCATCTGGCAAGGATTTAGGGGAAGGAGTAAAAAGTGGGCATGTTTGGAGAGTGTCGTCATGCATAATTATAGCCTGCTGCAGTGCTTTCTGAGGCTGAGTCAGTGTGCTAACCACTGTATAGAGATGGAAAAGGATGCGGTCGCCTCCCAAACTCTGACCATATCGCCCCGCCCTGAGCCACTGTCACACAGGGCACACTATACTGGACACACACACTTCAGAGAAGATTAAGGCATTACAAGCCACCGGGGAAAGACTTACTATTTTGGCCACAAGTTCGTTGAGGTGGAGGCCGTATTTGGCCACCACGGGACGTAGGACCTCAGCGACTGGTTTAGTGGGTTTGGCTTTCAACCCCACGGAACGGTTTATGGGAACTAGGTCCAACCTAACAACAAAGACACAGAAATAACAAACGGAAGATTAAAAGGGGTTAAAAAAAAGTTATGACATAATGTCTGGCAGATGAAAAATACCTAAATAATGTCCGCTTCTCAATTCGCAGGTCTCTGGAGCTGAGGGTCATGCAGTCTTGGTCTAAAACTAAAGGCTGTGAAGAAAATGTGGGCAAAATTACACGCGTAAAAAGGCCAAATGCAAGAATGTCTCTTCTGTGTAAAGCTAATCTGGTCTCTTTCTGCTAAAAACAATGGCTTCAACTTCTGCTTCATGATAACACATTATATGTAAGCATGTGTTTCAGAGATTAAATCACCAGGTTTAAAGTCTGCAAGAAGAAACTATATTTTTTGCCAGGCCTCTATAGATACATTCAAGATAAATATTAATACAAACAGCATTTTTAATACTTTTGTGTACAGTTATATTAGAGGCAATAATAGCGCCTTCATGACAGGCTCACCTTCTCTCCTCCCACCAGGAACAGATCCACTGCTGCGATGTTAACGCTGATGTTTTGACAGAGGTCTTGCAGGACGTCCCTGATGGAGGCTCCGGGCCTCAGGGTGATGGCAGAGCTGGAGCCGTCAGGGAGCATCACGCTGCACTGCTTTGGTGAACGCTCCCACGCGCCGACAGAGTGACGGTTTTCCAACTGCAGAACAACGAGGAAATAAACACACAGACCCAAAGGTGACGGGAGGCTTCACGAAAGAGCAGATAACAGTTTTACAGAGGACCGAACCTGCAAAAATGTACTTTTCTGAGCCTTTGACCCGTTATACATTTGCTCTTGCCACTATACACTGGACATAGATAGATAGATGCTTTATAGATCCCCGTAGGAGAAATTCAGTCTCATCCAGATCTGTACCGTCTGACAGCCGAAGGAACAAAGGATCTCTTGAAACGTTCCGTTGCTACGATTACTCCTCTGAGCGGCCATAGTGTCATGCAGAGGGTGTCTGGAGTTACCCAGAATGCCTTGACATTAGGGCTGGGCAATAAATCGAATTTTGGCAATTAATCGGCTTTTGAAAAAATTTAATTTGTGAAAAAAGTGAAACTTTTTTGACAGTAGCTCAGTTGGTAGAGCATTGGCCTTTGGGCCTGAAGGTCGTGGGTTCAAGCCCACCGTAAGACCTACTTCACAATTCCCACTGATGTCTGCTGTCGTTGTGTCCTTGGGCAAGACACTTAACCCCGTTTTGCCCAAAGCCTCCGCTGAAAGATCTCAGCTCCTGTGGACTCACCACCTGCAGGAGGATCAGTGAGGGGCTGGTGCTATAGTGTACTGGGTGCAGCTTTGACTGCCACCCCCCCGACCCAGAAATGGATTAAGGAGAAGAAAATGGATGGATGGATGGAAAAAAGTGAAAATCGTGAAATCGAATGAAGGATAACATCAGTTATACTTGCAACATCAGCACAGTCTGTACAAGACTTGTATAATATGTATTGGGGGAAACAAATAAAAATAGTTTTGAAACTTTAATATTGAGCGGGAAGCTAAAATATTTTAAGGGCAAAGTTTGTCTTGAGTGACTTTAATGAAAATCTATTTAAAATCGAAATTGTCCAAAACAGGAAATAAAATCGAGATGTTACTTTTTTGCCATATCGCCCAGCCCTACCTGACATACAGTATTGTGTGACATCATGCAATTTTCATGCGTGAGATATTGTCCTCATTTGTTAAACTGTGCAAGTGAATCACATACGAGGAAAGCGACAGGAGTGACCATACTGTACGGAGCGATAGAAGCAGACGTTCAACTACTCACACTCTATGGACACTGTGTGAGACAAGAGCCCTTTGACTTCTTTATGAGGCAGCAGAGGAGCGAGACAGGTAGGTGTGTGTGTATGTGTGTGCGCACAACTCTTGGCACAGGGCTTGTGTGGAGCTGCTCTCTACTCTGTATGTACACTCCAAAAACAAATGATAAAAAGCATAGCTTTTGAAAACCCTAACCCGCAATGATTATATCGTCATGTGATTATACTTGACATGTTTCATTTATTTCATTGTTGACATATACATTTGCAGTGAAATATAGTATTGCAGTAGTTTCAAGAAACATTATCGTTTCAGCAGTTTTTCACAAGTATTTTAGCTTTTGTTGAATAAAAAATGTTGAACGTTTCAAGGTTGTATTTTGTCCCATTTCAGAGTAAAAAAAAAAAGTATATTTCCATTTGTCCATTATCAGCAGTTGCTGCGTTTCAATTTTTGCACTAAATGTACATTTTAAGGAATATTTTTAAAAAGACTTAAAAAGCCATAAAACTTTGTAAACGCATAAAACAGGTCTTAGAAAGACACCTTTGTCAGGCAGAATATCCCTCTCCTCGGACCAACAGACACCTATAACCCTTTTCTTTTCTGAACCCGGATTGTGGATGATTGCATGGTCATTTTGTTAGAATGAAATAAATACTGCATTGCAACTTGGGCTGCGGTGGAGGAGCCTTTGATGTGCCGTTTAGGGGCATTCTGCTGGAATGAAAGAGGAAGTGCTTCATTCGTTTCTTTTACAACATCGTTTCAGCACAAAGTTGAGATTTCAAATGGACTAAATATTTCATAATGAGCCACGGGGGGTTGGATTATCATACACAGAGCACAGAATCACGTTACGTAACGTCACGTTCCCATGTAACTGCACTGTAAGCTGAAAACAAAGTGAGTGGGCATGCAAAAGACAAGAAACTACGACTTTATATAAAAAGTTCAGCAGTCAGTTTCCATGGTGATACAAATAGAGATATTTTACCTCAATCTTGCTGGCCGAACAGGAAGTGGCCATGTCTAAGCTCGTACCAGAGGACAAGGAGCCCTGGGACTCCCTCCGGCCATTGCTCCCCCAGTGGTCTGCGAAACAAAGACAAAACTCAAACAGTGTCCAACACATTCACTATTGTTTTTCTGGAAACGTGCTTAATCTGATTGTCTGTAATCTGTTTTTGTGAATGGCGTCAAGGACACGAGCAACACAAGATTTTTTGTATCTCACCACACAGAATACTCACCAAGGTTAATGTCTCCAAGGTCCTTCTTCTTTGGACCTTTCCCAAAACTCCTATTCCGAGACCAGGAAAAGAAGATTCCACGTTTCTTGTCTGCGCTTTCATTGCAGTCCTCTGTCAGCGACCTCCCGGACCTCTGCTTTCTCACCTCCTTAGGTGAAGTGAAATACGTTCAAGATTCAACCAACCCTTTATGCTTGTAAGTAACAGAATTACATGAGCTACTGAAGGCAGAAGCCTTTCTATACAGCGACCTGGCTTCACACAATGTTCCCTGATTTTTAAAAAAATCTTTAATATCTATTTCTGTTATGGATTGTAGTAGTCCTCCATCTGTCATAAAGTTTCAGGGCTTCACCTTTTATCACATTTCTGATAAAAGAGTTAACACTGAAACCACATTATCTGTTTGTATTGTCAGCTACACTGCAAAACAATCTATGGTTTCCACTTAGTGTTTAAAACGAAGCAGCTCCATAATGAGAATGACCAAAATGTACACTTTAGAACATTAATTAATAATTTATTGACAAAAACGTGTTTTTTTTTTTGTTTAACCAAAGTCTTTTGTTCATCTGCCCTGAATTCCTTTTGTCACATTATAAAACCACATCATCACCGCTCTGGCATGTTGTATTGACCCGATAACAATCATCTTATCCCCAAACGAGTTGGCAATTAATCTAATGCTTGATTAATGAACCTTTCTCATGACAAGCACCTTTATGGGCGTCGAGAGCGAGGAGCGGTCCGAGCTGGCGCTGTGCTTGGACGGCGCCGGGCTGCAGGGGATTTGGTACGGATCTGGCAGGGGAAGCCCGTCTATCTCCGACCGCACGCACTCCTGGTACAAAGACGACTTGAGGAAGCGGGAATAGCTGTCGAACTTCATCAGGTTGAAAATCTGTGGGGAGAAAAAGGCAGTAGTTACAGTAAATGAGAGAAACGTATGAATTAAAGGGGAGGTGCTGACATTTGGTGGCGTGTGGTGTTATGACAGGTGTTAGCCGTAGAACACGTGCGCACAGGGAAAATACACAGCTCCGAATGAGTGTTTGAGGCGCCCGTTTGGAGCCATACTGTACATACCAGTGCGGGGGCGTGTGCCACTTTGTGTTCATCTCTTTGGTGAAGCCTCAAAGCCTTTTCATAAACAAACGCAGATGGCCGCCCGAAAAGAGCGGCAATATGTTGGTGGTAAGGAGAACCCCCCACTGCAGCGACAGCCCCCCCACTGCACCAGTAACTGGGATTGATCTGCAGCTCTGATACGGATCAAAGCTGCCGTAATGAATGTGTAGGAAGCATCAGGGCTCCAGCGATTGTCATCTAACAGGCACACCATGGTACAGATTTATAGTAGAAATAATGTTTCAAAGATTATCAGAGAAGAAACCTACATAGAAGTGTTTTTATAGATAGACCAAGAACACGTTTTGTTTACCCTAATTACAGGCTGTGTGTGTAAAAGGGGAAGAAATAATAATACTGATATAATTACAAAACCTAGACAGTAGTATATTATATACAGTATATATGCGTTGATAAAATCCTAATTTTCACATTGCTGCATATTGAACTTCTGGTAGAAGTCACAGTAATGTGTGAATATAATCATAAATTCAAGAAGGGTTTTCAATAAAAAGTGGAACGACACATTTATGAGATTCCATGATAGATCTATGGGAATGAGACGAGACGTTGCCATTATTTATTGTGGGTACTTACATTTAGATTGTATTGTTTACCTGTCTGTTCAAGTAAAATGATATCAGTATTTATTTATTTTACATCTTATTTACATCGAGTGTCTACTCGATGAGATAAGAGTCATGACTCTTATCTCCTCGAGTGTTAATCTTCAGAAAACTAATTTTGAAAGCACAATGTTTATCACACTTTAAGATTGACTTAATTTCATATCCTTGCCCTAATTTTAGCGCTGCGTTTGTGGACTCATGTGAAGAAGGATGACATGAGATTTCTTTGCTGTGATTGCAGTCAGCTTGTGTCGAAAAATATTGCGGCAGGTTTTCATGGGACTATAATAATTAGTGCCATTAAAGTTGAGCTGTAATGAAATGGATATTATACAAAAACACACTTTTGGCAAATACAGATGGTTGACATCTCATTTGAATTTTAGACATGCTGTGAAGTTAATCACTGTAATGTAAGCTCCTTTATTTCACTGTGCGTGTGGGAAAAGAGGCCCTCTGAACGGGCTGGAGTTTATATGAATAATATCATGAAGAGGGATGAAATCATAACTCAAATGAATGCGGTAAGTAGAATAGTCATCCTGTTGTACGGATGCATTCGAGCAGGGGTACCCAAGCTTGTAATAAAATCCAACAACCGGATTTGCCAGACTATACTGCCACAACTTTTTAATTTTCTATGAACCCTGCAGCCGATATAGCGATGCGGCCAATGAATGCATTTGTATTATGGAGTTGGTCTGCTATCAGAGTTAATGGACTTATTATATTGACTCCTTCACGTTTTAGATGCTAAAGGATACATGTGTATCGCCAAAACAGATGGGTAAATAAGTCTAAGCATGCTTACTGTAACCATTTACTTCTATGTTTGCACCTGATGGTATAATTTTATTTACCAGCTCAGCTTTCAGTATAGGAGACATTTTATAAAACACCATCACATTGTAGTACACGTTTTGAAAGCTCTATTTAATATGGCCAGGGGCTCTTTTCCCCCTGCTGTGTCCACATATAGGTCTTAAGTCTAAGCGATTCAAGTCGGCCCCAGTCACCTGAAGTTGTTGCGTTTTGAACATCCCCGGCTGCGGTGAGGTGAGGACGTCGTCTGCCAGCTGAGCCTGACTGTCGATGTTGACCGGCATGGAGGCTTTACTGGACAGGAAGCTGTTGTAGATCTCACCGGCTCTCTGGGACAGCTGCAGGGAGGGGGGCAGTATTACAAAACTTTCAAAAACAAATTATGCTTTCTATTAGACGGTTTACTTTGTGCAAGTCGTATTTAAGAAAGTGAAATCGTTTAAGTAGAAAACACATGGAGGAGACGACTAGAATGCGCTCCCACTATTGGGAGAAATGGGAAAGGGCATTCTGCTTCATTTAGATCTACATCCAACATGATGCAGTCTAATTGAAGGAATGCATTTGTAAAGAACTTAATTTTGACTTCTTTTCGTTTTCCACCTCTGGCTTTTTATTATCGAATACCAAATTGGAGAAAAATAGAATTTACATATTAAAGGGGCAGTTGCTGGTCAGAAATTGTGTTCATTTAGTATATATAGCATATTTGGTATAGTATACCAAATATTACTCTAGGTCTATTTTTGGTGAATGAATATGGTTGTAAGATGGTTGTAACTAGTCCCCTGTGTTGAAGGGCTCTGGAAGATACCCAGTCCTTGATCTGGACTGGGTATCTCAAAAGAGATGTGTCCTTATGCTGACTCCATGTCTGCGCTGGAAAACCAATTCATTATTTTAACAAGATAACAATAGAATAAGGAGCTTGTATGGAAAAGCTAAAAGGATCATTGAGATTTACTTGATGAGGATAGGATTTCTCAGCAGGTGATACTGTGTCGATGATTCAGAGACGATCACATCTTACGACAGCCCACTAAAATAGCTGCCGGTACCTTTAAGTATCCACTCACCTGCTTTTTATCGGTTGCAGGGACATTACCGAAGCATTCACAGGCCTGCCAGAACAAGATATTCTCCTCACTAAACTCTTTCTTGAGGAATTCCTGTAGAAAGACATGCCACAGAATATGAACAAATAATTCCGATTTACAGTTCTTCCACAAAATGATGAGAGTAATGCTGTGAACAAAATTGGTGCTTGCGTAGGCAGAGGAGGAGCGTGTGGGCTTCCGCTGATCACTGTGCGAGAGGTGCAGGAGGCGGCTGTTTAAGAAGTTAATGGTGCTGCTTTCTGTGGCTGTTGTGACCAAACTCAGAGACATCTTTTATGTAGGAGGCACCCACTTTTTACATTTGTACTTTGGCTAAGATGAAGTGCAGTTTAGGATTCAAGTACTAACTTTGTCAAGTCAAATAGTTTCATTAGATTAGGATTTTTTTTCCCCCGTTGACATTTGTGTGTTGTTTTGAAAATATTATGAGAACTGTGAGCACAGAATTTCAGCCGTGTGTCACAATTTTTTTATTTCAATGTTCTCTTTAGGTTGTTATGTTTCTGTTCTCTACTTTAGGACAGAATCTTCTCTAAAGTTTTAAATCCTTTTCAAACAAAAAACAAGCATTTCTTTGAACATAATAGAGCAGGGATCAATTCAAGCACAGATTGAAGAACACTTTGAGGTTTCCGTTTCCCTAAACTCACCGAAAAGTAGCGCACACCAACAGGATCTTGGAGAAGGCGCTCGAAGCAGGTGGCCCAGCTGGCCACGCGCTGCTCATGGTGGCTTCCTGCTCCTGGAAGGCTGCCATTACTGTTCAGGCTGCTTTGGCTGCAGCATCCCTGCAACTGGACCCCACCGTAATCTGCAGGAAAGAGGGCAAAGCCAAAGGTTAGGGGCTTTGAAGTAAAAGGGTAATTTGTGCCAGAGGGGACCGCCTCCTGCAAGAGCAGTCTGAATATTTATGATTCTTTTTGAATCGTCTGTGCTCTATGTCCAAGACAAACTAATAATAGCAAAAACAAAAAACAAACACTCTTAATGATTATGATGAACACACATTTATATCAATTTGCATAAATACTAAAGTCTATTGTGCGCTTACAGTCTCAACGTGGATGGAAGACACAATATATCTTCCTTGGACCATAAAATTAGACTTGGAATAAAACTACTAACACCACTCTAAACTAAAAGTCTCAGGGGACTTTCTCTGTACCTGCCATCACTGCAACAGATGGCCACTTTAGGACTGTGGCCCACCACACCGCGATAGCCAGAAAACAACGAGAAACAAAAGGATCTCAGTGGCATTCCAACAATAACGTTCCAGCCGCGTGTCGGTTTTCAAAGGGTCACTAGAGTTAATGGCAAACCTTAGAAAAGAGCTGTACGGTTGGGCTCGCTACAGTGATATGTGACATGTAATAAGACTGCAAGTCAAGGCAGACGCGGTGCAAAAATTGGCTCTGTAAATAGTGTATGACATCACCTCTGGCCTTTCAATGACCCTCAGAACTATGAGTGCTACTGTTATTGAACATGGAGGTGTTTTTATTATCATTTTAAACCTACATCCATGAATTTTAATTGTGCTGCCTTTCACACCTACAAGCATAAAGCAGCAGTGGTGGTGGTGATGACCCTTTGCTTAAGAGGGGGGTGGGCAAACGACATGCAAACTAACGAGGCTAGAGACAGCATACCCCAAAAACACACACTTTGGTTGAGGCTGCATGAAGTTACAGCATTTGGAAATGTTAAGCTACAAGGAGGTCTGACAAGTACTAATTGTTGTTATTTCATTGATTCTATATCAAATACTAACCAACAACGGTTTTAGTTTCATTATCTAGGATTCCAATGACAAAATCTATAATCTTATAACTTTCTGAGCGATGACCATTGACATTTTTGCAGTTTTGAATGCATATATGTTTATGTATGCACGTATTACACATGTTTAGACCTAATAAAACAACTCAAAACTAAAAATATATACTGTGAAAAAAAAAATCAAACACCAATTAATATGGCTTTAAATTTGTAGTTACATTGTGAGCTGGCAATAATGTGGATAAAACTACAGTTTTTAGCAACACTTGGAAATTCAATACTCCATGAGAATCGGTCTGGGATGGCTCTTAGTAGTAATGTTAGTAATGTTGAGTCGAAATAGAAATGGGCCATTCAAGAGGACATGCAGCAGAAAAAGTGTTGCGTTATGGTCACAAACAGTCAGAAAAAGTTAAAATAAAACATGTTGTACTCACCGCCATCTGAAGACGCAGCGGACTGAAAGAGAACAAAGATAGACATGTGTGAAAAGCTGCCCTCATGACCTCCAACGTTCAGAAAATTCTCCTCAGGCATCTGTGCTGCTTTGAGGGTCATACAGTTGTGTGGTAGTGGGAGCGGAGGGGGGTCGTCTGTTTGGGGCAGTGGGTGGGACCGCTGGCCCTTTTTACCACGTACAGCTGTTCACACCTCTGCCCATCCCCCGAATATTACACCCCGGGTAAAAAACACCAGGGGACAGGGCCCTCAGGATGTAAACGGCCCGCTTTGATATGATAATCCTGCCACATGCACTTGATAATGTTCAAGTAAATGTTGAGTAAAAGTCCAGGCATGTCCAACAGTTTTACACCTCATCTAAAATGTAACAATATCTACAGCACCAGATATAAAGCATTGGTCTGTTCAACTTGTTCTTTTCATTTCAGTAAGAAGCAATCATTTTGAGTAACCTTAATTACTTATTTTTGCTTTGCCTTTTCACTACATGAATAATTGTCGTTATTGTGATAAGTAGAAGATAAATCGGAATACATATTCCATTTGCTCGCCATCATCTGCTACGCAACTATGAATGACTCAAAGAACAGCGTGGACTTATGACCCAGTGGTAAAACAATGAAATGAAAAATACTTCCAAACACTTGATTTAAAGCACATATTTGGATGTAAAGTAGACTCATCAAAGTATTGACTCAAATGATAGGACATTTGTAGGAGACCATTTGTTGACTGACACACAAACTTGGCCAACACTGCATTGATTTTATTGCAGCAGTAAATATGACATTATATATTGGGTATGTGTGTGGGGGTTACTTCTATTGAGTTCACCCTTGAGGTAGTTATTGTTAATGGTAGTGTCTTCCATTTTCATTGCAGGGATGTGCCAAGAGCTCAAAAGTCCTGACACTTTGTTCCACTTTGGGAGTCTCCACATGTAAATCCGTATCAGACCCTGACCACTAATTACGTGTCACTACCTCTTTACAACAGTGAACACCCAACAAGCCCTGGCCTCTGAGGTGGCGTCTGTCCAGGAGTCAGAGCTGGGTTGAACTCTGAGTCGGTCCTTTGAGGTCTAAAAACAGGCTGACCACAAACTTAAACAGGACTGCTGCACATTGTACATTAACCCTGCCTGTTTGTGGACAAAAGGGATGTTTTTTTGACAGTGAAATGCGTTCAAAGGATATATATCAATATCTATGAATGTCTAACGTTGCATTTATGTGACATTTACAAGGCTTACACAACAAATGGTGAATAAAAGCAGGAATGTTCAGTGAGTAAATGTAGAGTGGAAATAGTCTGCTGACACATAAGCTATTGTGCAATACAATTAAACACAATCCATCTTTAATACCATTCTGAATATAAAACACAATCAAGAATGTTTCCAAGTGTTAATAAACCTATTATAATGTAAAATAAGTTCCTTAGTATTATCACCAATCAAAATACATTTGTATAGCACTCTCCAGCAGAGTTCCACAAAGTGCTTCACAGAGGCAGTAAAAACCAAATTAAAAAACAATAGTGCTATACACTGCCTTTCACTTTTACAACAGTGTAATGACATCATTAGGAGGCAGTACCTGGTCACTGCTCTGGGTCACTGTCAAACACACAGGCCACAGTATTTGTGAGACCACACACAAACACAAACCTGTGTTTTCTAACCCATAATGCATTCCTCACACAGGGAGAATCAGTTCATACAATGGGCTGGAGACGAGCCATGCTCAATAGTACCTTAGGTCACATCTGTCACCTCTGGGGTGATGAGCTGATCCACGAGGGCAACTGTCTGATGAGGTTTAGCAAATACAACCATATTAATTTGCTCTCAGAAACACCAAGTAAATCCAAATTCAAGTCAGGACATGTACACAGTCTGAGGGCAACACTGACATCTTACACTTCTCAATGTACGGACTTACCACAGAAACAATCGTTACAAAGTCAACAAAAGGAAACCACAATGTTAATGTCACTCACACATATTTTCAAGACACAATTTATTAGGAAGCTTTTGACTCTTTTTTGACACATGTGCTCCAAATAATCTTCATCAGTTACAAACTTTAGAGTAAAAACCCAAGCCCAAGACCCAGGAAACGTAGTATCCAGGTTGTGTGGTCCAAACAGAGGGAGAGTGGGAAAAGACAAGTGAGAAACACAGGAGTAATGAGAAGAACAGCTGAGTGCACAAAAGCCGCTCCCGCCTCAGACACTGGGCCAACAGGACAGTTTACTTACAGAGCCGAAGTTCCACATCCTTTTGAAGGAAAGTCTCTTTTTGAGACTCATTGTTCCCTAGACTGCTCCAACCGCAGCACAGGGCAAATATGTGTGTGTGTATGAGTGTGAGTCTGTGTATGTGAGTGTGTGTGCTAAACGCATACCTGAATATTCCCCACCCAAAACTCTGTAAACCGTGTCTGTACAAGTCTGAGAGAAGAAGGAGGAGAGATCGGAGGGGCAGAGGAGGGAGATTTCCTTACTCTACAGCTGTTGCTATGACAACCCCGTTGATAATACATATGCCACAGAAGAAATCAGATGATGAATCCACAGCCATTACCCCCAAAACCACTGTTCCCCTCTTTGTTTCCACTTGACTTCTACTGGAAGAAAAACACTGCATGGATTGGAACCATATGGACTTAGAATAATCATAATAAAGTTTGTGAACTTACTGATCCAACTACTAAAGTGTCATTTTTGTTGTCACAAACTGGCACCACACTCACACCCCTCATCAAAAAGGGTCAAACTAAGTTTTATTTAATTTTTCCTCTCATTCAAGGCAGTTCAATTTGTTTCTCTTAAAATTGTATAGAACTTTAAAACACCCAGTAATGTTTTTTACCTTTTTTATAGTAATAAGAGTTATGCTTTTGAAAAAAAATGTAAGACTTAAAATCAAGCACAAAACCGAATGGCAATACGTGAAAGAGCAAAATACAGCACAGTAGAACAGGAAGGACATTTTAGCTCAGCTTGCTATCGATAACTAAATGTCGCTAGCTCACTGTGTACAACAGACAATCAAACTTTTACACAGTAAATACATTTCATTGAGAGATTTGGGCCAACGGGATACGTAGCTAACCAGGATTACCACAGACTAGTCACACATCAAGAGCGATCTCCCTAAAAACCTCGTTCCCTGTTGTGGGCTCGAGCTGCCTTTGAATTCTTTCTTCAGCCTAAAGAGTAATGTGTGGACCTCGTCCACCGACCAGGACGCTGACTTTTAGGGCTTTCAGTGCGATTCCATTTCTCTGGAGTGAGGAGTACGTCATTAAAATAGATCCATGGGAGGACGTGTTGAAGTAGAGCAGCCGGTTTTAAAGATGGCAGGGTTGAGTTGTTTTTACCATGGGGTCGGACGTCGCTTCCAGTGACGAGACTCATTGACCAATCAGTGTAAGGCAGTCTGCTGACGTCACATCATGGTATCGCTTCGGCCCGGACAGAACCCTTATCCCAAGCCCTAGTGGAAATGCAAGATAACCAAGCCGTGCCATACCGTACCCTACCGTTATTGTGGAAAAGTAAGTAAGTAAGTAAGTAAGTAAGTTTGTATTTATATACCGCCTTTTCACTGCAGATCTGAGTCTCAAAGCGGTTTACAATTGTTAATATTGGGCATTTGTCTCTCACTCCACACAGAGATGGGAGCGGGGTCGCCAGTACAGGAGGCGCATGCCAGAACTATTGGACATATTTTTAGTGGTAGGGGAAACCGGAGTACCCGGAGGAAACCTACGCAGACACGGGGAGAACATGCAAACTCCACTCAGAAAGGCCCTGGTCCGGCCGGGATTCGAACCCAGGACCTTCTTGCTGAGAGGCGAGAGTGCTATCCACTCAGCCACCGTGCCGGATGGTGTGAGCAGAGTAACAGTTCTGCCATGTTGGATGTACCCCTTCTTCTCAAATTCATCCCTGACTGCTCTTGTGTTCCCTGGCCTTCATGATGCTGTTTAGTGACTAAAAGTCTGACAAAAAAGGGACTGAATACTTTTCGTTTTAGTGTATTGTATCATTTTACTTCTCATTTTTTGTTATGGACTTACACATGAAAAAAAGATATCTTCATATTTGTGCTCATAAGGAGAAACGAGAACAGTTTGTGGGGTACGAATACTTTTTCAAGGTTTTTTGGTTTCTTGGTTGGGCAGCCTACGGAACTGATTAGAATAGGTTTCACATGCACTCTGCAGCCAATTGATTCAATCAATTTATGTAACATTTCTTGACAGGCTTTGCCGTGCTTGTCACAAGACAACTAATTGCATGTCAAGTCTTCTGCCGGGCAATCTCCAGTGATGACGGAAAATAATCACTGGCCCCCATCTATACAGCAAAGGACAAACTATTCCCTGCAAATAACATCAAGAGCAACAAGCATGGAGACACTTCCTCTGAAGCAGAGGGCAAGGGTGCGGTGACTGATAAGATGGAAAAGACATGCATTTCCGAGTGTGGCAATAATTTAGAAAATTGCTAAAAATCAGACCATTTAACAAGCACGTCAAGTGCAGAACAGGGGTCAGACAGCATCGAAAAGCACTGATCAAACAATGAGGCCAGTCTTTGATGGACAAGAAAGATTGACAAAAAACATAATTAGATTGATATCACATCTCCATTGACGAATGGCAGCTATGCGTTTTTTCATATAGCTGCCTGTAGTTGCTCACTCACAATAAAGAGCTGGAAAGTAAATTTTCGACTTTTGTTTACCAATTTTGTGGCATTCCACCATCTTTTCTACCCATTTCTTCAAATAGGAAAATAATTCTCTGACAAGAGTGGAAGAATCTCAAAAAGCCATCTTGATGAAAACCTTTAAAATAATGTAATTACGTAGAAGTTTTTCAACAGATCAGCTGCAAACAAAACACTTTTCTGACTGTTCAAAATATACTTTTCTGACTGTTCAAAGAGATATTTGAATAGCAAAATATTCTTCTGAGGCATGATGTACAGTGAGGAGATTGTAGAAGTGTAATCCTTCCAAAACCAAAGTGCTCCAAAGAGCAGTGTCATTTGCATTCAAACAGAGGCCATTAACACACTGCCACTGTGTTTCATCTGCTAATCTCCCTGATCACCGCTAATCTACACGACTCCAAACAGTTCAAGCAACAGATGGGCACAGCTCTGTACCGCTGAGATTAAGGAGGTTTTACTGTAATACTTCAGTGGACAGGTTGTGTTCGGTTACATATCTTTAGTGTTGACACTAAAGATACACGTTCCAAGGAAGAGAACACACGTACACACGTTCCAAGGAAGAGAAATGTTTATCTCTCCTCATACTCAGCCTGTTACACAGCTATAAAAAATAATTAGATTGAAGTCATTTCAAAATATGTATTTGCTCAAGACTTTAAGCTTGATTGATGAATGCTTAAGATTGTCCATGAACCATTTGTTAATTTTGTTTAGTTTGAAACCAATGCCAATTAGCGCATTTTGAAGAAAAGACATCTCAAAGCATTCCAGACAGTAGTCAGGGATGTTAATGCAAAGAATGATTCCAAATGCAAAAACAATGAATGCAATCAAATAAAGAAAGTGAATTTGCATGATTCTTTAACAAATTAAACTATTAATGTTGTTGTGAAAAACCACAATAAGTGAGAGGCCTAAAATAAACCTGATTTACAAAGCGCAGCTGAAGCCTAATATAGCAGCAAAGTAGAGAGAGAATATGTAGAGCTGGAGACCACAGCTCCTCCCTCCCAATTTATTATCACAGAAAGGCCTGCAGGGCCGAGGTGGGAGCACCACACAAGATGCCACCACACCCTCGCTCTGTAGATCCCCTCATCCATAAAGGACAGAAATGGATTTAACCTGAAACCTGGTCCTCAAAAGAGAAGAAAACAAATGTATGTAATAAAAATGTACAAACATAATTTGTTCGGGGCAGAAAATGCCTTTCCACCAAGTGGTAAGTGTTGACTTCCTGTTCACATTTAAATCTTTGGTGATGCGTGAGGCAACCTGAGCCAAGTGAACACCATAAGAAGGGGTTGCACTCTGGCTAAAGTTCATGCCTTTGAGCCATTCGGTTTGTTTCAGTGGACAATGAAGACAAGATTTTTACAAAGAAATAAAGAGAATAGCAGTGTGAACTGAAACTTCGTTACATGATGCATTTTGCAATTTAACCTTAACATCATGCATAGTGAAAAATCTATAAATGTCATTTAAGTGGGTAACATATTGGAAAAAATATGGAGTATCCGATTGGCATCAATCGGTCTGTCACAATGAGTAAGTCATCTTTAGTTATATAGTACATTTTACAAACCAAGGTCACACAAAGTGCTTTATAATTTTGGTGCAATTGCCTCTCTCTCCACACACGATGGTGAAGTGAGACGCCCAACAGCTGGTACTCTGGACCCTCAGCTCATCACCATTCATTCACTCACTCATTACATTCATATCTATTGTTTTAAGTGGTAGCGGAAACCGGAGCACCCGGAGGAATCCTATGAGTCCCGAGCTGGAGATTGAATTAAAGCCAGGATCTAATATTAGTGGTTCAGAAAAATGTTTCAACAAACACATATCGATAAATCACAATATCGCAGGAGGATACCGGTAAAGAAATGTTTGACTCAAGTTAACAAAAAGGCATTAGCCTTTAAAAAATAAAATAGGCAAAATTAGGCAAAATCTTGACACTATAACAAAGAAAATATACCGAAAATGAATATACATTATATAACATATGGGTCTCAGAACTGGATAATTAAAAAAGCTTGTCAGAACATCCTTAAATCATAACCACAAATCATAGAGCTCACTTAACTCTTAGTAGTCAACAGTCTGGTCATCACTATCATGTATTCTGGGATTGTCTTAGTGTGATAGTCTTGGAAGAATAAAGAGTAAAAGTTATTTACTTTAAAAACAGTGCATCACAAAAAAAGAATCTTCCTGATGTACTCAAAACTCGAGGAATAACAAAAAGAAAAGCTTTGACTAAAGACAAGAATCATGAAAGGATTACTTTAACAAAGTAGTTTTATTGTCATTTTATAGTCTTAACAATTGTTTGTAAAAGTTCTGCAGTCACGTCCTTGGCCACGTCACAAGGCCATTCTGATACCATTTACTCTCCTTTCAATAAGAAATACATCTTTCACATTGCACCTGGTGAATTCTGCTTTCATGGGATTTCTGCACAGAGCAGATATTTGTGTACTCGTCAGATCAGTTCAAACTCCTTTTACATCCACAAGTTTTGGATGAGACTTTGCTTTAAACGGAAGTGATTAATAAAACAAGGAAGGTTAACAGTGAGCAGGGAATTACTCTTTTCCAGAGGCATTAGAACCACAGATTCTTCCGATAGTCTATCAACAGGGATCACAGGACTGACTGTGAGGTTGATTAAAAGTATAGTCCCATATGGTGATGAATGATGTCATTCAGTGCATCATGGAGAGACGCTGTTGTTTCCAGGGCTACATTGTGGTCATTGTAGAAGATCAGCGACCACAGCCACATCTGGAGATTTGTTAAGAAAACGCGAGTGAAATATTGTTTAAATGGTTCCACTTTGGTCTTTTTGTTTAGGTTAAGGCCCTGTCCACACGAAGTCAAGCTCAGGCCTAAACGCAAAAATACTTTATCAATCCAGTGTATCGTCCATACGAGACCGGCGTTTTGGGGGGGTGTAAACAAACATTTTTGAAACTAGGTCCCAGAGTGGAAAGATTTCAAAACTCCGTATATGCCGCTCCGTGGTTACTGCCTCTCCGCAATGTATCTGAGACGCTTGCGTCATCGCCCCGCCTCTTGTTAAAGCACGCATGCGCCGCACTCAGAAAATAATGACAACAACAATGTAGCTTGTTGGTTTTGTAATCCAGTGTGACCCGAAGCAACAGTTCAACCTCATCGTCCGTCCATACTAATGTAGTACCAGCTCGCCCACTCGCCATGTTGTCTGTTTACAAAATTCCGCGCATGCCCACGGAAGTTTGGGCTTGATCCCGTCATTGCGTCACAGCGCCACCAACAGGTCTGGCATAGTTTCACAGCGTTTTCAGGCGTATTGACTACATTCATATGGACGCACACATTTACTGAGCTAACTCCGTGTTTACAGAAAAAGTTTCTGAAATTATAAGCGTTTTGTCTTCGTGTGGATATAGCCTAAGACTAGAGCTGAAACTATTGATTACAAAAAAGTTTGGATTTCTGTGCCTTGATTAATTGAACATTTTTCCCTACTACTTAAAATATGTGAAACTGTTGCACGTCGTGTGTACAGAACTAATTCAAGCACTTGTTTTACACAGATTCACAGATACATTGTTTCTACCTGGTTCCAACACTACTATGAAGTCTGATTTAAGGACTTTGAAATAATATTTGAGGATTATTTGCTTTAATATGAAAATGTATTAAATGCAGTTAAGGGCGTGTAAAAAGGTAGGTATTAATAGAATACTTAGCAAAAGTCATAAGCTGCAGCCTTGGTACTACAAAAACAGTGATCACGAGCAAGAGGCTTGTTTATTTACTAAATACATTTAAAAATTCAAATATTGAGGATTTTCCTTTCATCTCAGTGAACACCATAGTGAAATAGTCTCAACATTACAACAATAGTTGCACCAATTTGTCTATCTGGACGTTGAGCAAGTCCTTCACTGCAAGTCCAATCTAGATCTGGCATCTCTGGTATTTGCAAAATAGATGTGATCTATAAATATATATACGCATACAAAAGCATAAGATGCAAAAAACAGTGAAGGAAACAAAAATCAAAGCCACTCCAATCCAGAATCCATGTAATGTGCTTTACTTTGCAGTCACAACTATTGCAAGGCCAATAAATCAATCTGCATGTTTCCTCTGTCCTCAAAAAGAATTGAAGAAAACAAAGGTCTGCAAATGGAAGGACTATTTGTGAAACAATGTATCAAAAATCATTTCTGTGGTGGCATAGAAAAGGAGAAGTCGTTTTTTGGATGAGATCTGGGCCACAGCTCAAGTCATTTCAATATGTTCAGAATATTACAGTTCACCGAAAGTTCAAAACTCTTCCTTTCCCTGCACGTTTCGAGATCTGACATCTCGTTCAAGAGAAAAGAAGGGGAACCATGGCAGAAACTATTGGAAAATGTCAGACTGCGTCCATCGTTGTATTTTATAAAGCTTGCCTGAGGACACGTTTCATGAGCGCGACTGTCCACCCACACTCCAGCGCTGGCCATGTGATGTCATCAGTGTTCTCCTGCCACTGTGCCTAATCCCCAGAAACACAATATTCTGGTTCATCTTGCCAAAAGATATTACACCCACCTCCAAGAAGACAGAAAGATCTACATCTTTAGCAGCAATTCATAATGCATCTACTGGCTGATGCGCTGCTACAAATTGCACAGAGCAGTAGTCAAGCGTGAAATGGGCAATTTTGACCGTAGTCTTCTGATGAATCTCAGCACGAACATGTCTGTACAAAACCAATAAGGGCAAGGCGCAACCACAGGCAGTCATTTCAAGTTCAAACTTAACTGCGACTGGGAGCTACTGGAAAACACAACTCTCCTTTTACATTTCCACAGCCCTCTTATCAGATCTCCATTTGGCTGAGTTTACTTCCCAGCCAAAAAGCTCAAACCCCAGGACCATGCAATAAGTTACAAATGTTGAATTTTGTCCGATTCTGTAATAACCTATGAATGAAAAAACACCTCATTTAAAAGTTATGTTGAAGTGGACAGCGGTGCAGTGTTTGTCAAGTTCAGCCTGCACAGGTCAAAACATTCCTCGAATAGACATCACAAGCTCACCTCTGTACGGCATGCGTCTCAAAAGCTATAACTGAGCCCCAAAAGGAAGAGGAAAATAACTAATGGAGACAAGCACAGAAGAAAACATCATCCAATTCATGACTTACAGTATTGAGAGTTAAAGTTTGCTCCATGTATAGCAGAGCGGCTGTTGGTTTTGGCTCGTCCTCAGCGCCTGGAGAGGAGCGTAAAGGGGTCCATTCGTCGGGTCCGCGTGCTGTCTGTTTGCAGTGGAGAGGAGATCCACAAGACTGAGCTATGGGAGAGGGGGGGGGACGAGGAGGAGGAGGAGGAGAGCGTGCCCAGAGGAGCCCAAAAAAATCCTGACAGCTACTGGGAGTTCAAACGCTGGTCTCTGTGCGTCTGTGCGGAGCTGCTGCCGGTCCCTCTCCCGCCTCCTGTCCCTCTCTCACTCAGAGCTGGAAATTCCTCTCTCCTCTACCTCCCCTTCGTCTCTGCAGATTCTACAGCCGCGCGTTTCCACCCACAGGACAGATCTATTACCAGCCCGCCTTTGTGAAGCAGAGAACTTCATATTCAAAACACAGAGCTGAGGTGAAACTGTGTGCATGCGGCAGTGGGCCAAAACAAAAAATAAAAATCACACAGGGACAAGTTTTAGTATTCCAGTGCAACCCACGGGAGATGGAATTTTACAGTTGTGATTTTGCTGACAAATGAGAACCTCAGCAGATACAAAATGGAACATGGCAGAACATTTTTAGTTACAGAACTTTTTAGTTAAAACATACATTAACATATAGCATTTATTTGGTAAGTTTGCATCCCCACAAACCTGGTACTCCTGCCATTTCTATGGGAATGTTTTACTATGGTCAATCAAACACGTTCTGTTTGGTTTCAACCTTCTGTCTCATCCTAGAGAAGGTTTATGGTATTACTTTAGAGGGCACTGAGACTTTTGGGAGAGTCCGTCCACCAGGAAGAAGGCCTTTGAGGCAAATAAGCCATAGTATTTGCTTGCTTATCCTCCAAGTTTTTACTTTTAAAGAATAAGTAATGAAATCGCAATGAAAATATGAAGCAAAAACTTGCACAGTCCACCTATAATAAGATTAGTTAAAATTACAAGACAAAGGCTAAACACAAAGGACACATTAAGAAACTATTGTTGTGTATTTTGGTATTCCCTTATTGCAATGCATTGAATACTAGATGGGTGGTGGGTGTGTTGACAAACCCACACACACACATTTGCATAATGTAATGCAGTCTTAGCTTACATAAATATACATTTGTGAGAACAATGGTACAGCGTTCTGTCAATAGTGACATGTTTGTGAAAGCAAGTCATCTACCAGCATCTGCTTGAACACAGAAAAACAGAGTTGCCTTTCTTGATTAAAATAGAAATGGCTTGTATCACTGGGATGTGGGGGTTTTACACATTGGTTTGACAGAGCTTGGCAACAAGATAAAGAGGGAAGCCAATTTGTCAACAAAAATAATAGGTTGTGGTGGGGGGTATTAACAAAGCCCTTAGAAAGATCAATACACTTCGCTAGATAGCACCCGCTAAATGAATTGGCTCAATTTGCAGCTTTGCTCAACTTGAAAAGACACAAGAGCTACATGCGTTTCTTCTTGCTGCGTGGGAAGGTACGTAAAAGAAAAACAAGCTTGGTCTAGCATTAGATACTGTCAAACAGCAACAGTCTCGTCACCTTGGATTATGTGGAACTGCAAAACTTAGATTTCTTTTAGAACAACCAGGTGTCATCAGCTTATGTCAAAGCCATGTACAAAAGCTTTTCAAAAAGAAAAAAATATTGGAGTGACAAGGTCATAGACCTGTTGCTAAAGTAAACCACCAGCTTTTTAACTCATGAAACTCTATATAGATGGACAAAGATGCTAATGTTGTTCAATCACCTGGATCTAAAACAGCAAAAAAGTGAATGATCTCCACAAAAACAGACTACATTGAGTCTTGAAATAGAACAGATACTTTATTACTGCAGACAACTGAAATATTTCATACATGCTCAGGCAAAAAACTTGGTGTTGTATTAATGATAACTGAGTACTGCAGACACAATTGAATTGGCTGCAGCTTTTATGCTTTAACATATTGTAAGATAAAAAATATAATCTTAAAATCAATTAGTACAACCTAACATTTGTATAAGAATGGGCGTAAAAAGTGGGATATGACAATAAAAAAACTTGCCATTGGCTTAGGGCGGTGACTACAACTGTCTGCATCTGAAGGGTTCACACTTTACTGTGATTGGGTGAGTCCAGAATCACTTACTCAGAATTATCGGGCCTGGCCAGTAGAGGGAGTGGGTGGGGAAAGACATCAGCACAGAAAAAGCACATTGAGTCATCTTGTGATATCGCCAGTCATCCTCCAATTACTGAATGTAATAAATTGAGTCACCTATAGACAGCTATGAGACACATTGTACAACTTATCTTTCCGGAGATTGTGTGTCACTACAGGTGGCAGGTGTTGACGACAAAAAATATAGTAATTCATGTTCTTCAGACAATAATGAAGCACATCATCAAGAGTGTGCCAAAGAGTGTCATATCACTCTTTCAAGATTTGCATTGATCAGACAATAAAACGGAACTGATTTTACAGGGATGCATATAGTGAAGAAATTCTCTCTAATGTAGGCAATTCTCACAATACAACCAATCCTTTACCTCTTCAGAATAGATCAATATTCTTTAGCACATACAATCAATTCTAATCTCATCTTTCCACATGTCAAATAGAACGCGCTGGTCTCACTGAACGGTTTTAGACAAGTCTTATATGACCTTGAACATCAGGCAGCGCTTTGTACATGTTTCAAGATTCTTTGTACGATGCAGATTAAATGTTTCATGTTCTACGTTGTTGTAATGTGTTGCAATGTCTGAGTCCAGGAAATTCTTCAAAAAGAGGTTTAAGCTCAATGAGTTTTTATCCTGCTGAAAGACCTAGGCCATCTCGTCGATGATAGAGAAGCCATCATCCTGTGGACCCAACATCTGCAGGAGGATCAGCGAGGGACCGGTGCTATGAGACTTGGGTGGCAGCTCTGATTGCCACCCCCCCAACCCAGAAATGGATTAATAAAGGGATAGAAAATGACATGACATGACATTTTATCCTGGTTAAATTTAAAAAAAAAAACCTGTCACATCATTCAATGGAGCACAAAAAGCCAATTAAATTTGTAGAAGCAAAGTTGTTAAGGTGAGAACAAAAACTAAAAAGAAAAATGACCAAGCACTCAGGCCTAGTGTTTTTAAAGACAAAACATCTCAATCCCTCCCAGTGAGTAGAGTCTCAGCCTGACACTTTTTAAAAACCCATCTCGTTTTTTAATAGAAGTGACGCCATCTCCAGCAATCATCTGTTTCAGAGTGGAAGGATAAATTATGATCAAAACAAGGAAGCTAAAATTCTTCCAAACATCACAAACCATTTGACAGTTCTGCAGATTTGTTTTGACTGAGAGAGACAATAAAAAGACTCTCGCCATTTATAGAGAACTTGAATCCCACAAGGCTGAGAAGAGTAAATGGTTCATTGTGCGCCACTTTTAGAACCGATGTGTTTGATTTATAATGTGTAATCTAGGGCGGGTCCTGCTATGGCTTGGACTAATTCAAAGATACACAATGCTGTACGGCCCATTTCAGTTTGCATTGTCCAAAAGTTTAAATGCACATTCACTGCAATTATGGCGTGCATGAATGGCGAGAGAAAAAAGTGCTTTTGTGAGAGAATGTGTGTAGTACAGTAGAAGAAAGGTTGCATTAATGGAGTTTGTGGACTCATTAGTGGGAGCAAACAAACAGCAAGACACTCGGCCCGTAGCACAAAGGACACTTTGTTTGGACCCTTCACCACAAGAGCAGCGGCAAACTAGGGTTCAAGGTAACGGAAACGGGAGGTTAAAAATGAGATGAAGAATGTGTAGCTAGGCACACTGTTAACCAACAGATCCTATTTAAAATGCCAGAATGCACATAGCTGATCTCATGTATTGACTAAAGGAGACATTCCTTCTCTCAATGATAAGTTTTTAAATCAAACAGAACAGGAGGCAGACATGTATTTCTATGTAGAGAATAGATTAAATCTGCTCCCACATTTTCAGCAAACTCACTCCTTACCCAAAGCTGTATCCCCTAAATTAGACCCACAGAGCAGCGATCAATTAATCCACTTAATGAGCAAAGTAAAAGCGCAATAATGTGATGTTGGGAATACATAAGACATATGAGCCAATTCAAGTATTTCAGAGAAATGTTGTAGCCCAGCCATTCCCAAAGTCAGTAACACTGCTTACCCCCCCCCCCCCCCCCCCTAAAAATAGGCTCTTCTCGTCATTTTATTTGGGGAAAATAGCCTTTGCTACAAACATGTAAATGACGCAATACAAAATGTATTACAATTTGATTATTCAAGTCAATTAATGAACACAAATATTTTAATTTAACAAACAAAATATTATTAATTTAAAAAAATTATATATGACCTCTTGCAGCCCCCCTGCAATACCCTCACAGCCCCCCAGGATACCGCGGACACTGTAGCCTAAAACAGTGGTTGGCTTGTGATAATTTTATGTCATTCAAAGTACATAAAGCAATATTATACATCACTCTATTCACTTCAAACACAGGCCTTTTCGAAATAATAAATAATTGAATGATATACTAATGAATTATCAATTAAAAAAACTATGGATCTACAACTGTTCCCACCATCAGAGGAAAACATTGCAAATAAAATGTTTCAACAAAAAACCGTCGGAAAATAGGCGATAGACCAATAACTGGTTGAGCAAAAGTGTCTAGTATCTAGACGTGCATCATCATGGCCTAAACATATCAGGGAAAAGCAGCAAAGCTTATGTTTAAGAAACAAAGCCATAATAGAAACAACAACGTTGTCATTACCTCAAGGTCATCCAAGGATCTCGCCAAACTGAGACGTTTGGATGAGCGGCGTTTGGAAGCACGTGTGACGCCCTTGACCCAAAACCGGGGGACCTGAAAGAGCAGAAAACATGTGATGGAAAGTAATCATAATAGAGTTAAACTTTCAAATGAGTTGCATCAGATTGATTGATAAATTGGTTAACTAGATAAGAGAATATAATGGAGTTCTTAATTTAAGTAAAGAACAAAGGGATAGAGGATATTCAGTTTCATCTGACTTAGTGTTTGTTAGTGGGGGATACGAACATGACAATAGGGTTTTGGCCACCACGCCTTTGCCAATTCTAAATGACCTCAATTGTAATGCATATTATTATCCAAAAGGACTCAAATGTGTTTAAATAAGCTGCAGATAATGCCAGACAATTATCCCAGCTTAACAATGTCAAACCATCTTCCAATGGTCGCATACAAAGTAGGAAGTGATGCAAGTTTAATTCTGAAAATGTATCACATATAAAAATATACTGAACAAAAATAGTAGAAGTTTAGTACAAGCTGAGTTTCAAAGTTATATTCCCTGGGCTTTCTGGGGACATAGAGACATCTTGTGGTCAAAGCGGAGAACAACACTTAACACTGACATACTTAACTAAAAAAGTTGTTTTTCAGTTTCATTCACACTCGCCACCAATTTAAAAAAAACAGTGCTGCTGTGGAAGGTTTTAAGTGCAGCGGAAAAGCCAAACAAATACACCCTTAGTGTCTGGACTAACTGTGGTGACCGTTTAATACTTCCTGTGTTGAACAACGTGAAAAAACAGATGTTTGTATTGAAGTTGGAGCGGCTAACAGGCAGAGAATGTAATAGTGAAGCTAGTGATATAAAAAAATAAAAAAATAATAACCATTAACTTCAAGGAAGATTTTGTTTTGTTTTTTAAGTTAAGAGGGGGGGGGGGTGCTTTTCACTGCAGAATAATGCAGAATAAATGTAAAACAAACATGGATGTAATCGCATGACTTACATTCTTGTGGGGGCACTTTTGTTGCTTGTCTCGTTGCTCAATAAAGCGTTGGGTCCATTCCTTTTGTGGCGGGAGCATCAGAGCCTCTGTGAACTGGTACCGGTCTGTAGGGAACTGGCTCAAAGGAGGTGGCATGTTAGCAGGACCGGGCCCTAAACTCACACACCAGTGATTGACTGCGTGAGGCGCATTCTCATCCTCCATTGCCTTCAGCCCCTTGGGCTTTGAAAACCACCTCTGACTCCTCCGAAGAGGGTCTACAAAGAAGTTTGTTTTTTTAGCCAGAGGCAGTGGAGGAGGTGGAGGCTTGAACTGGAACTCCAGTCTGGGTGGAGGTCCTCCGTAGAAGCTTTTCAGACCATCAGGGCCTGGAAGAGACTCAGAAAGGGAATGTGTGCCTGTACTATTGTCAAGATTAGGTTTGGGCTCGTCCTTGAAAAGGTTTATTGGGGTGAGGTCTTCAGACGGAGGATAATCCCAGGGACAGCTGGGGAGGTGGGATTCAGGGGGGTTTTTCATCGTAGTTGGAAAATCCCTATCAGCCCTCTGTTCAGGTGGTGAACTATTCCCTATTCCACTGTCCCCATTGCTGCTTGCACTTCCATGTTTTTCACTGGTATCACTGACATGAGCCTGCTGCTGAGCCTCAGAGTCCAGCTTGGCCCTGAGCCTCTCCACTGCATCCCCCATGTCACCGTACAGCACAGTGACAAAGTGCAGCACGTCTGCGGGCGTGTGAGGGAACTCCAAGCACCCAGAGTCGGGGTCCGATGTGCAGCTCAAGCCAAAACGTCCAGCAATGCCAATGTGGTCCTGATGGCTGTTCAGCACCGGGTCAATAAAAAAAACATGACAGGAGGCCCTTAAGGGACTGTCTTCTGGTACCTGACCGTTTATAATGTGTGCTGTGGTCACCAAGCAAAAGAAACGGGCGTCTTCAGCACAAACTGCTCCTAAAACCAGATTCTCAGCCGGTAACGCTGCCAGCACAGCACCAGCATCATCGCAGAGTCGAATACAGTCAAACATGATCTTCATCATCACCAAAGTGTGAGTGTCCTGCTCTGTTCCCAACTGTCGGATCCGCTCCAGAATAGCCTTTAGACAGTCCTCAGAGTCAGAAGTATTGAGAATGAGCTCAGTTGAGCTCAAGTAGCCTACTACCAATGTCATGTTCAAAGCACTCCAGTCTGGATTGACGTCCTCTGTGTCGGTGAAAACAGAGTCTGTGTCCCCTTGCTTGGAGAGCTCATCAGTGTCCCAATGAGGAAAAGCACTCCACTGTTGTGACCACTGAGACATGTCCGGCTCCGACACAGGTCTCTGTCTGAAACTGGTGGATTTATTGAAAGAAGAGTTATTTGAATCATCTGAGATGGTACGGAGAACACCAGTCCTCTGGAAAGCTACTTCTTTGTGACCGAACTTTTCGTCTGCTAGAATAGGATTTTCAATGACTCGACCTTCAGTGTGAACCACCAGCCTCAGAGGCCCCCTGGAGCTTCCAATAACCTGTACAACAGTCTCATGAGAGGCAGCAGAAACGTCTGTCCCATCGATGGCCATTATACGATCCCCATGTTTAAGTCCCACCAGGTCAGCAGGGCTTCCCTTTAAAATCCCACTCATGACACACGGATGCTGTCCTGCTATAGTAAAGCCATATCCTGCTCGACCTCGGCTGACCTCGACACCCCTCAGTTCACCAACCAAACTTAAATCTAGACGCCTTCTTGCGCCTTCAGGCTGTCCTTGGATCCTCATATTTTGTAGTGTCCGCTCAGTTACTCGAGTTGCCAACACTTGTGTGTGTTGTTGTCATTCTGAAAAAAACAGGAAGAAATTTTCAATACAAGAAGCACAAAGACATTTCAAATGCAGCCGATTGTATTCATGCATTATTCATTTGGAATGGACTAAACTGGACATTAGAACAGAATTATAACAATCACATCTTGTATGCAATTTGAAATACAAAACAGAGAAGCCTTTTGTTTGTTTAATTCCATTAGAATAACAAAGTTTATCCATTATGTGTCAAAAAGACAATGTGCTTTTTGTGTGAACTCCCAATAAAATCCACCCCTCCACCCACAGTGCCAGCTGCTGCCCCGTCACACATTCAACTTGATGTAGTCAATCTATAACTGTCTACCATTAGAGCAGTTTTCTTGTATCATTACGTTCTAAACACCAGAAACCCACAAAATGAGTCTAGATTTAACCTCTCAAAGCTGGGGTGCCGAACCCTCAAACAGCGAAAACGAGAATAATGTATTATAAAAATGCACCAATGTCACTATTCCCTCGATCTCGAAACAGTGTGGTTCACTCGTTTTCACATGTAGCTATTTCTGACATCTGCCATCTTTAAATCGGATTTTCCAGACAAAAAAGTGAAAAAGAGAAGACCCCCTTGCGCAGCTCTCACTCCAAAGCGTCAAACAGTAGTTATGTTGCAGAGCTATTAATGAATGTAAAAAGTTGCAATAGTTTCTAATAAGTGGTCTCATGTGTTCACAAAATGTTACTAAAACCAAGTTTATTTTGTTGCAACGCTGCGTCTTCCTTATAAAGTAACCCATTGGGAGAAACAACATGGAAAAAATTAGAAAACATAAAGTTAGGTTCGCCAGCTTTAACATTACCGTTTTCAGCGGGAGAAACTTCTTCAAAACATTGCAATAATTTCACTCTTGTCGATATTATTCCACACGCTTACATTTTAACCTCGCAAGTCTCGTTCAGCAGGTGAAAGAGAAGTGTTTATCCGTGATTTATGTCCGGTCACTGACGCTCGTGTTGCGGCAGGAGGACACGGAGGACACCCGCCTCTGCCCACGAGGAACTCACAACAAAGCGTCTTTCACGATCTCCATGACAGCGTAACGTCCCTGCGTGATGTGACGTCTGCGCTGACCAATCAGGGCGCTGCTTGTATCTGATTCAAACTGACAAAGGCCGTGGATTGGTTAATGTTGCAGAGAGGGAGAAGTCAGCGTTTAAAGAGACACTATGGAACTTTCTAACGTTTTTTTGCATGGACTTGCTACTGTTGCATGCATTATTGCACTTAATGGATTTGTGAATCAGCATTATAGAGGCATAATTATACAGGCAGGAAAACAACCCAATGTTAAAGACACAAGCAGCTAGCTAGTAGTTAACTCATTGCCAGTGCATTATGGTTTGTATACAAGTTGTATACAAAATAATAGTTATAAACTGCCATGGCGTATCCAGCTTTAAAACACAAAACATAGCTATATAATACAATCCATGTTACAAGTTTGTGGCTCTAAAGCAGTTTGTTTCACATGAATCACGTGCATGTATTTTTGGCCTCTGTAAGATAAAAAGAGTACCAGCCCTCAGCCAGTCAGCTCTCAGTATGCAAACGTTTCGAAATAAGATAAAGACAGCATGTTGCGATCTAATATGTTCACAAAATGTAACACTTTTATTTGTTGGGACAAACACATAAAGTACATATAAGAAACAAAACAAAAAGTTACCCCCAATAATAACCATGAACTGAACTTTTGATGGATTGTGTAGTATTATTGCATAAAATAGACATAGACCTAGATGAGGTACTTGCACCTGTGTACCACCAACATGAATTAAATCCAATGAAACATCAGAATGTGTTCTAAACTATCATCATAAACTTTATAAAACAACACATCTTACCATATGAGTTCAAAAAGTATTTCTGTGGAGTGTCTTTCTCCTCAGTCTGAGGAGTCTGAGTCTTGGCACAGATGTCGCTGTTGCTGTGTGTAAATGAACAGCTCTCTGGTCAAAGGGCTGCAACGGCCTCTTCATGGAGTCACATGGGTCAGATGCAGACTCATTGGTGTTTATCAACCACCAGCAGATCAGCAAATGTGGTCCGGTGTTCGATGGTTATAAAACTATCAATCTTTTTTTAAGAAACATATATGAAAAGTGCTATTAGAAAAATATTTGAAAGACTTACAATTTGCTATTTACAAATATAGTTTTTTATAAGCAAGATCTATGTTAGTGCCATACAATTAATGTTTTACACATTCTTTAATATGTACTACTAATAACAAAACTTGTTGAAGATTGTAGTTAGAGGAATGAAAGAAATGTTGACGTCTGTTTTTGCAAATGGACTCTTCATATGACACCCACATTTGTAGCTTTGGCTAGTAGTGACATTACATTGGGTCGGAGTAACATGAGAACGGAATGAACCTAATCCTTATTTTCTCCAAATCCTCTTAAAATGGGCTCATTTATACATTGAGACAGTCAGCGGCTCAATAGACCTTTCCAACTTGGCTATTTACATGGAGAGAAATCAGCTCTTTTGTCTTATCATTCATTTACTTAAGTTTGTAAATCAGTAAATCAGTGTCATGATTCTACATGAATAAAAGTGGTTGAGTTAAATCACATGCTTGCTTGTCTCCATAAAAATGTTTTTTTTTTAAATCATACTCATTTATTTCAGGGAGAACAACCTCATGTTCACCAATGGCCAATAAACTGATAACTTCAGTGTTCCCCCTGTGATGATTGTTTTGTAAATATTTGCATGTCTGCTAATCCAACTGTCCATCTGAATATGAAACATATACAATACAAAGACATAATGTATGTTTCTGAAGTATACAATGGTCTCCATGGTAAAGCCCTTCATCCCTCCTGCAAATTAAGAAAGTTATCTTTAAAAAAAAAAAAAAAAAAGGTTGGTCACAGTGATGTTTTTATTTACACAAAATGCTCTCCTTTGAAATAAAAAAAGTACTTTGTCGGTTGAATATGTGTAACAACAACATGCTATTTGATAATGCCCTGATACACTATAAAGATCATACAAAAATAATAAAAATCCTTTTGGGTTCACAGTTCAGTGGTTGGAGTCGTGGTGTCTGGCCTGTGCCGTGTTGGCAGATGTTGGCAGCTGGATCATTCTCTCCATGAGGCTCATCATGCGCTCCTGCATCTGCAGACACTGCACCTGCACCAGGTTCTGCTGGTGCAGCGCTCGCCGCACCTCTCTGCACATCTCCTCCAGCGCTCGGCTTGACCTGCGCTGCTCCTGCAGCATGCACTGCATCAGACGTAGCTTCTTCCTCTTCATGTGCAGCTGCTTCTTGTCCGGCAGCCGCTTCTTACCTGAAGACTGCAGGCTGCAAAACATCACAAAAGAGGAACTCAGCTCATGCAGCTCAAGGGGAGATTATTTTGCATTGAAAGTTGAGTGACTTTTTTGTCAATAGTAGGTTAGTGTGTGTAAGTTACGGAACAAAATAAGCTGTGAGTTGAGATGCTAAAAGTTATACTGAAGACTAGTTCACAATAACATGATAGAAATACTAACAAATAGTAAACCAAGAAATTACTAAAGGAAGAGAAGACCATTATTAAAGACACAATTCATTCAAGATTGGACACTGGATAAAAGGAATCTAAGAAAATAAGTTTTTCTTCTTCACATGTTTACATTTGTTCTGTTCAAAGAATGTGTGCAAGAATTCCAAATGTTAAAAGAAAAGAAGAGTCATAATTGGGCTTTTGTCGAGAAACTTTAAAAACTTTTACTGTTTCTGCTTAACATTTTTATTTGCAGGCTGAACACTGGTCAATGCTAGCCTTGCCCCTTCTCATTATTATTTTCTTGTAATGCCTCAACCTATTAAATAGAAGAGTATACAGTATACTGTACAGTAGTTAAGATGAATGAGATGAGTGAGTGAATGGATGGCAATGGTCGGAGGCTTCGATGCCCTAGGTCTAGGCCCAGACTTTTCACGGTCTTGCTTCTGTCATCACCCATAGACTGTCATCACCGTGTGTAGTGTAAATGGAAAATATTGGAACTCCCAAAACCTTGTAAAGTTCTTTGGGTGACCATGGTCTGTGAAATAAATAAATGTGTACTTCAATATAATGTGCTGAGGTAGAAGAAAGCACAAGGTGCTATAGAGAAGTCCTAGAAAAAGTAATATTTCTCAACATTTAAAGGTAAGTGAGTAGTCCCCTTCTCTGCAGGGAAGGATGTTGCATTCTTCACTTCTGTGGCATTACCTTGAGGCCTGCAGGAGCTCGCTGTCAGAGCTGAGAGAGTCCAGCTCTTGCTTGATCTCCATCTCGTCTGAGGAGCCAGTGTACTCGGGGAGGAACTCCACAATGCCGTCCTCTGTGTGGAGCACCTGTGGGTCCCCGGGGGAAGATGTGGAAGGCCCCGCCATCGCTGAGCTGAACTCTATATTGTTTATTCTGCCGTTTTCCACTGGCTTATTCAGAATCTTCTCTATGGTCTTGTAGTAGGGCCAATCTGGCACCTCTCCGTTGTCAGCTTGTGTTGCTTTGAGTCTCCTGGGAAGAGAAAGTTGCATTTAAAGATAGTTATAAACACCCTGTATATCTGAGCGCTCACCTGTATTGGAAAGACATGTTGGTGATTTTCATCTTGATCTCCTCTTTGAAGCGCTGCTCTCCTGTCAGCTGGAAGAACCTCTGGGACATCCTCTCATAGACTTTGGCGTTTCTCTTGCTGCTCTTGAGTTCATTGTGGAATTCCTCCCATACGAAGAGGAGAGCCTTCATTTCCCCATCAGTCCAGTTGGGGGCCCTCCTGTGCTTCTCACTGCTTCCTGGTAATAAGTAGCTGAAGCTGTCGTCTGCAGCGGCCATGTTTGCGAGGCTTATCTTTGGCAGCTGCTGCACAGGTTGTGAGGCTTGCATGCCTTCTATCTTAACCTGGTGGATTTGAAAGCCTTTTATAGCATTGAGAGCTGCCTGGCTGTCTGCAGTCATATCCTGAGCTGTAAAAGCCGTGCACGCATAGTCCTGCAACCCAGCCGTGCCCCCACCCCGTAGCCTCGCTGAAAGAGGACTCAAAATGGGGCCTAGGGCTGGAGGAAACCGCTTAAAAGCTTTTAATGCTCTCTGATGTCACCGTGACATCAAATCTCCTAGGCAACAGCGAGGGAGGGGGCTGTCCTCTCCCTCCCTCGTGCACACGCCCTTTTTGTCCTCCCCTCGCGCACGCGCGGTCTGACGCCACACACACAAAAAGCTTTTAGCTGAAAGAAGGCGGCAGTGTGCGAGCTGAGGATTATTGCTGACGAGTTTGAAACATGAGCCGAGAGAAAAGGGGAGGGAGAAAAGGAAAACATACAGGGAATGGATATGGGCAAAATGGAGGAGAGAGAGTCTGTTTCCACGGAAACAGGCAGCCTATTTGGTAGACAGCCAGTCACTGCTCCATTTAAAAGCTTTTAATAATACAAATGTAGTCCTGACTCAGAAGGAGATAGAGGGAGGGTTTTAATTCTCCGGGTAAGAGTGATGATGTGGAAATACTCAGAGCTGCAGGATTGTAGGAAGCATAAAAATAGCAGAGGACAAAATTAGCATATTAATGGGATTTAGCTTCCTGTTACATGAGACATTCTCCTCCTATTCAAAGGATGTTGGTCCAGGTTTTGTTTTTAGTTGCTTGGCGAATGAATTGACGTTCCCAATTCATCAACATTAAAATGATCGTTGTATGTTCACATCTGACTTCCTTATGTCATTGTTGCATGTCTACATTGCACCCATTTCACCTAATACACTTTATTGAAAAATACATAGGAAAATGTTGTGTGTTATTATGCAAATGTGTGTCAACTGGATTGGATTTCTAACCTTTATTAAGACTGTAATATTTATTTTTTAATATTTGTGTAACCTGTGTTGTCACTTGACCAGAAACAGTCGAAGAAGTGTTTAAAAAGTGATATTTTAGCACATAAACCGAATATTTATAAGGGGTACAGTCTTAGCAACCATAGCACTATAAAGCTTTTAACTTTGTACCTATTGTAAGGTGACCTTGAGTGCCCAGAAAAGCACCACATACAAAACATGTATTATTATTATCATTATTATTATTATTTTATTACTACAATAGAATACTTTCAGTCTACTGGATACAGATGATTTTGCAAATGTGTTTTGTTAAGTCACTTTCTTTTTTTTAAATACATTTTCTTGTAAACCGCTCAAGCACGCAATAAAAATAACATGAAAATTGAAACATGTCATATAGACTGAAAGACTAATATTTGATGCAGGTAAAATAAGAAAACAGACAGTTGTTTTTTCCCTTGGCTTTGAATTTAAATCCCATTCCAGTGAGTTAACAGTACCTGCTGTTGGAGGCTCAACTCTTTTCACACAGAAGCCATCTGCTCAGTAATGACAGCATATTGATCAGCTTCAGCCAATAATCATCGCATCTGTTACTTTAAAACATACGCTGTGAACAGACAGATGGACTAACTGACAGAAAGTATAATCAAATCTGTCCTAAAACACTAGTCCACATCCCCAATATTGTTGAAAATGTTCCTCTTAAGGAGTTTTTTTCTTATTGTTTACATCCAAGTCTTTCTTTGAAGCTCACCCAGCCTTGTAATCCAAGAGACAGACTAATCCACAGATAACGTGATCATTCAGCTCTTGCATCTCCAGGGAGAAGTCAGTCCCGCTAAGCCGAAGTACCTCAATCTCCACTTGAAAATTAGTCGTAAACTTGTCACTTTATTTATTTAGAAAAAAATGTTTAATGCAAACGTGTGCACATAAAACAAATACAGTACAATGCATATACACAGATATAAATGATTTAAATGGCCATCCTTCTTTAGAATGTCAAAATAGGATCTTCTCATTAGTAAAGCAGTCTTTTGCACTTGCAATGGACAACTTAAAAACATATATATATATTTTTTAAAGCTGGGAGATGTCCATACATACAAGTCGTATAATGTGATACTAAGTCAAAAAGATCTGTGCAAATCTAAGCTCAGGTTGATAATGTTAAGGGTTTTTCCTCCTAATGGAAAAAGTAATTCTCTGATAATTACTGCAATTCTTACTCACGAACTTACTTACTTACTATCTGGTAAATGTACCCTTGTTATGAAAGTGGAATGTTAGTAAATTGTCAAAAAAAAAATTATAATATCTGAAGGTTATGGCAAATAAGTATACATAAAAATGTCAGGCAAACTGGTGCAAGTAGCAGCTTTTCCACGTCTCTTTCTGTCGCACCACACAAAATGCAATGAGTCGCACATTAAGAAAAACACATGTTCAACAGAAGTGTAAAAATGACTTATAAAATAACTACTGTACTGTATATCAAATAGTCAAAATACAACAAAGCAATTCAAAGCTCAAAAGGAATGCTGTTCTGGAAAAGTACCACAAGAGGTCAGCAAATACCCATGCTCAAATATCCAGATTTACACTTACTGATACTGCACTTCATAGTTCGTGTGAAATTCGTCAAAAACATCGAGCTTCCGCTGTTCCTTCATGTACTTGCTCACCAGTTTGGACCCTCTCAGCAGCAGCAGATACATCTCAAGGTACATTCTTTAATTGTCTCGGAGTTTTGTAAATCTAACACTGACATCTATGTGTACAGTGGTTTCAAATACGCTGTTCCCGCCTCAAGAATCCCAAAAAGTTGAACTGACGCAAGATTTTCTCATGATGTGGCGTTCTTGTCTTTAGTCTCTGGGCAGGCACTCTTCCTCTGTGATGCCCTGGGCCTTGAGCTCCTCCAGCACGTTGTCCATGTGTCCGCCGTCGGGGTAGCCGTGGCCGGTGAGGTTGGAGCCAAACTCGGTCTTGTGGTGCACCTCGTTCCAGATGACGGTGTCGGACTCCCCCGTGGTGCTGGACGTCCCCACGGAGAAAATGAGGTGACGGTCCCATGCCACTAACAGCAACCTCAAAACCTGGAGAGAAAGAAAAGAAGAGAATATCCAGCATTATTTTTGGATCTCAACAAATATGGTGAGACTATTTACTGTGGTGTTTCATGTTTTAGAATGTGGAATGATATAGTAGAAAATATAAAGCGACTGAGGGAAGAGTTGAATTTGAATTTGATAAATAGCCAAAAGAAATTCAGGGCCAACACTTTTTTTGCAAATGGCACAAAAAGGCTCTGAGCTTAATGTAATATGGGTTATAATTAACATAATCATACAACTAACAATCACAACAGGTTTGTGAGTAGCATTTGTCAGTAGCATTTAGACAAGTTTGTGCCAGAAGTTTCTGACATTAGCGTGGATGGATCTAAAAAACAATTCCACGTCTGCTTAGTTTTGTTGTAACATGGTTAAACTAAAACAAAATGTCCACTTGTCAACTGTTTAGTCATGAAGGAAGTTTGCCTAATTGTGATGACACCGATAGTGACATTCTGTAAAAGTACTTTTAGTATATATTCATCAAGTACTAATTGTTATGGCGTGTTTTAGACTTTGGACCGTAAAAGGACTAGAGAAGCCTTTGTATTGCATCAGGTGGTACTTGTGTACAGTATTGGTACAGATCTGCATTTGTATAGAAAGCCAAAGGATAAGTGATGACAACATGGAAATGCTACAATTGTACTGTATGTACTTATATATGGACAAATATAATTATACCTTTTATACCAGTTTTATATACACATATATATTTACCTTGCGTCCCTTCTCACTATCAGGGAGATAGCAGTGTCTGGGAAAACCACGCGCAGTGAAGGGTTTGCCCGGATTTGGATGCTCTGGGCCCTGTGCACGGAGAAAAGTCAGTTAATTGCGGTTAATTGCGATTAATTGCAATTGCGAGTTTGAAACCACAAAAAATATTTAATCTATGTCATAATAATCCATGTAACTGTTTAGTTCTGTCACTAGTTTTCACATGCATGTATTTCTGACCACTTCATTGGATTTCAAACAAAGAAGACTTCCAGCCCTCACTCAGCCAATCAGCTCTCAGTATATAACAACATGTATGTAGATATAATCACCTGTATGCCTGGAGGAATGTTGTAAATGATACGGATTGTTTTGCAGTCTGGATGTCCTGGGAGCGAGTGTGGAATAACGTGGTACTCCATCTTGCCGGGGGGCTGGTTGCCCGTCTTCACTCCATAGATGGTTTTGCAGGTTGGACACTGCAGGCTGCCATCCTTGTTTCCGTTGTTGTACATGGCAACGAGGCACTGGAGGTGGTACTGATGACCACACTGCGACAGCCGGCCCACCGACTCGGCACGGGATATCCCCCCAACACCGGGGCCTTTGTAGCCAGAGGGTCCGGACAGGGCCTCCATGCAGATAGTGCAGTCCTGGGGATGCAAGACTGGTTAAAGCTGGGGTACCTTACTTTCAACCACAAATAATGGAACCATGTAATACAATCCATCTGCAGTAACTAGTTTCTAGCTCAATTCTGGTTTGATTCTACATGCGAAAAAGGTGAATACAGCGTGTTGTGACCTGATTTGTTCATAAAATTATAATATTATTCACGAAACAAAAGAGTAAAGTTTTTGGAAATCCAGGTAAACTGATTTTGTGTTATTCTTGAGGTTGGTTAGGTTGAGTTGTGTAAATTAGATGAGTGCGGTGCCTTTGCTGCTCCCATGTACAAAAAGAAACAATATAAACCTGACATTAGACAAACTAGGGGAAAACTATGAGGATGTCCTAATGTCAAATCTTCCATCAACCCAAAATGTTTTCAGTGATGCTTTTCGTCCACCCTGCCATATGCACATTATTTCTGAAAAAAATAAATGTACGTACTTCTTCAGGAGGATTGCGGACCTTCTGTAGATAGCGCCTGACCACTTCCTCTGGCGTCTTTCCTAAACAACAGAAATAGACAAAATGATTAGCACAATTTGTCTCAAAAGGCCTGTAGTTTGGTCAGCGCTCTCTGAGGACCCTCTGAGGATGACCCACCTTTGCGAGCCTGCTTCTTGGTGGTCTTGCGGCAGCAGTGGCCCAGTCCAGGCACTGGTTTGATGTCGCTCTTGCTCACTGGAGGAGGATGAAGGACCAGTTTGGGCGGACGGGTCAGGCAGACGGGAAGTCCAGCCGCACTCATCAGGATGCCTGTAATTCCTGTTAATCACCAGCAGAGAGTGCAAGTGAGAATGTGTATTTTTCATTCAAATTTGTCTACACAAATACATTTACTAAAAATTTACAAAATATTTTTATTAAGTAAAAAACAAATCCTGGATGTAAATTGTCTGTTTTGTTTGTATCGGCTACTGCAGGTCAACTGCATTTCCCCTTTGCCTTTTGGGAAGAATTAAGTATCTATCTAGATCAGTGCGATGTGGGGGCTCCCTGGCACGCCAGAATTAAATCAAACCATGAATATTTTGTTCCAAAAAAAAAATACTACAGATATATCACTTAAAGAAAATAAATTATTCATATTAATGTTATTTACATAATTTAAGGTTTAATTCAAAAGAGACATTGGCATTTTCTTTCCATGTTATAATAATGTAGCCTGACTCTCGCCAGACCCATGTAGTTCGCTGCACTTCACACATGAGGTTCAGCCAAACGCCTCTGGTGGAGCATGGCGGAACTACAAGGGTCTGGCAGAGCCAGGCTAATAATAATGGGCTACCATAATAAATTGGGACTAGTCTCCCCTAAAAAAGTATACAAATATATACATTTAATAAAAACTAGATGCTATGCTTGTAATGAATTGAGGGAATCATTTGATTTAGGTTGTTGGAAAAACAGTGTGAAAAGATGGAGTTATTTGACTGTAGTCTTAAACAAATGGCTGTAGTCTTACCAGCCAGAGCAGGATGCACAGGGCTGGATCCATTGAGGTTCTTGACTGGAACGGTTGGTACTCTGCAAAACAAGCAAACCAGTTCCATGAATGAACAGGTTTAAAGTTGACACGTGAGTGAGGAAGACTTAGCCTACATTAGCTCTGATGAGTCACCTGTAAACAACCACAGCAGCCTGCGATTGTAGCTCACCATGTGTTAAACTAATGTTATTATCGCTGCTGCTAAAGGAGAAGATTATGATGCGTCATGACATACAAACAAGTACGTAAGTAAGTAAACAAAGCACATTTAACTTAAGCCTCAAGCAAACCGGGCTATTTTCACATTGATAAGAGCATGTTCTAAATGTGTAAAAATGTCCCTATTTGATCAGTATTCAGAAACCCCATAGAAAACACACCTCAATACTATAGAAAAGAAATCATTATATTATAGATAAAACAAAAATAAACTAGAGGTATTTCATTGCTTGAAACCCCTTAACTACTGTTCGATGACGTTTTTCTTATACAGCAGGAGGATAATACAGTTGCCAAGAAAAGTCAAAGGAAGTTTATTTGTATAACACAAATCATTCGCCAGGTAAAGTGCTTTACAAAACAAGAAACATCAAAATCATACAAGGACATTACTACAATAAACAACCCACTGTTTTGAATGTTGTGTATTGTCTGTATTTATTTTGACTGTGTGAAAAAAACATTAATTCAAATAAAACAATTATTAATCTGTTGACGTTCATGATTCTAATATAGAATAATTAAGATTAAACATGCGACATAAGTATTAATGTTTACTTGAATTTGGCAACATGTATTTTGACCTGTACGATTGTAGTGGGATTCTTTCAAAACAAGATTTATCAATGGGGCGAGCAGCTTTATTTAGGGAAAATTGTGAAGTTGATTGTTTGGTCTTAATTTTAACAATGTACAACCTTTTTTTGTCTGTTCCATTGGCAAACTTTGTTATCACACAATGGAAATCTACATAAAACTATTTGTTCTCACTTTTTTCTATAATTTAGTGCAGTGTATGTTGATTAATATTGGTGGATTTCACTTTAACTTGTTCATTGACAATATTTTTTCAACATGAAAATAGAGCTACAGTACATAACCAATGCCCTTCCATTACACTAAAACATCAGACCCCACAGTCTTGTTAGTGTACTTACGGTCTGCCTGTCTTTATCACAGTCATTTTTCCCGCTTTAAAGGATCCCAAAACACTGGTAAATATTGAAATACTACAAAATCCCAAACAGGAGCAAAAGTAGTGAGATGTCTGCGGCACTTCCTCTGCGACGGTCTGTGCTACTTCCAGGTCGGTCTCCCTTTTATAGGTCTAATCCACCTGTTCCATCTGTTGACCAAATGCAGTGTGGGATTACCTGAGAGCCACTACGTCACAAAGCTCTGTGCCATACGGCTGATCGACACGTATCCCCATGATGTCAAAATAGCATTTGGTGTCAGCATGATGGTCATTAGGAGTGGAAGTAGTATTGTGGTATTGTCAATGAGCCGGTATCCTAATTGGACCTTTCAATTGATGTAATGAGCGGGATGTAGTCCACCAAAGAAATTCATGTTTTTTTCCTATCAATTGATTACTGGACTGTAAATGGGGTGTGATGACAGCGCTCAAAACTATGATATATCTTGCCTTCTTTAAATTGTGCTCACACAACTTTGATTTCATGCTAGAACAATTAAATTAGGCTGTGGATATGGATCTATTATCAAAATAAATGCTTTATTTCTATGCTATGTTTTGTATGACTCAAATAGTAAATGTTCAGTTTCTCCTGAAATCCTGTTAATAACAATAATTAGTCAACAAATATACATTTGGCATGATAAAGATGCCATAAACTGATTAAACGACAGAAAGACAAACAGCCCTATAAAACTGCACTAGTGGATGTTAACTCATCGGACGGTTTGCAGCCAGGCTTGGCTCGGATGATAATGAGCAGCGTGTGAAGTGATGCGGTTGCTGCTTGATTTACTAGTCAATCTACGTTCCCTCCCTGAGCTTTAGGTAAAGACCAAAATTAGTTTTCTCTGCAAAGTTGCTGAGCGCTCCATTAGAGATAGGATGAGGAGCTAGGTCACATGGGAGGAGCTCGAAGTAGAGCCGCTATTTCTTCACGTCGAGAGGAACCAGTTGATGTAGCTCAGGCATCTGTTCTCGAATGCCTTCTGGACACCTCCCTGGGGAGAAGTTCTAGGGTTGTTCCATAGAGAGGAGGCCCTGGGGAATACCCTGGACACGTTAGAGAAAACAATTTATCTCAGCTATTCTGGGAACCCCCTGGGATTCCCCCAGATGAGCTGGAGGAGGTGTGCTTGGAGACGAAAGATAGAATCTCTGCTCAAACTTCTGCCCCCACAATCCGGGAACCAATAAAGCTAACGAAAATGGATCGACCCAAGAATGTCACGAAATCATCAACATTACAGCTTTGATAATACATTAAAGTTTAAAAGAGAAGTACTGAAGAAGTACGTGAAGGAAAGAGAGTGATGGTGTTGTGAAGTGATACTCTTCTATTTTTATTTTGTTATTGTGTGTTATGTATAAGTGTCCGGTACGTCCAATCATGAATGTACCAAGACATGTTATTTGTTTATTCATTTCAAATCTATGTACACAAATTTCACACAAAATAAAATATAGAAATTGATCAATATAAAGAAATTAAATTATTTTTCCCGGGCCTTAATTAAATAAAAAATTGTGAAAATTTCAGAAAATCAAAAAAAAGTTTGATTTTTTTAAATGAATCGTATATACATTTCTGCCACATGCTGGTTTGAAGTTCATGAAGAGGGAAGTCTGGGCGTCTCAGCGAATGAAAAAAAGGAGGATAAACCATTTGGGGTATATTAAACAATCTATCTATTAGCACAATCAGCAAATCTGTTTGCTTTGGTGTTAATCACTTACTTACTTGGATGTGTTAATACTTTAATTAATTCGGTGAATATGGCAACACAGGATCAGTCCTCGTTCTACAGCCTGAGTCCTAGATGTACAGCCTGTCTATCCGTGGGAGCAAATCCCAGATGTTTCTCACTTTTTGAGTCGCAGATGCAGAAGGGTCAATGATGATCCAAGACATTTCGGAACAATTATGGACACTGGTCATCCTGCCCCCTATAGACCAATGGATCCCATATGTTTGCCATTATAGCATTTCCTGTGTTTGAACTGTTTTATTCTCTGATCTGTTGTTGGTGAATCGACAACTTTGTCCTCTGAGGCAACTGCTCTTGTCATCTATGGATCTACAAATTTGAATCCAATTTAATTTATTTTCTGATGTGCTTCTCAAAGCCTATTTTTAATTACAGATTACTGTATTCCATATAGTATTTATTGATACCTCTGACTGATCCCATTACATTCTGAACAGAATACTTTTTCTGGACGTGATGCTAGATGAGGATTAGAGACAGTGAAAAGGACGAGGAGAATAGAGTGACAGCGAGTCACGTTTCTCGGATCCCACTTAATCTAACAGCATTAGTGTCATCCCATCTGGAGGAAGGGGAAGCAAAGGCCAAACATGTGTCAACTACAAGCCGGTGTAAATCTAATGTATAACTAATGAATGTGATTTACTATAGAAACGTGGCAATGGGATGCGGTGGTGGTTTCAAAACGGTGTAAAATAATGGGATTATAAAATCGAAAGCATGTGACAGTGGGCAGCACGGTGGCTGAGTGGATAGCACTCTCGCCCCTCTGCTAGAAGGTTGTGGTTTTGAATCCCGGTCGGACCAGGGCCTTTCTGAGTGGAGTTTGCATGTTCTCCCCGTGTTTGCGTAGGTTTCCTCCAGGTACTCCAGTTTCCCCTACCACTCCACTCTCACTTCATCTCTGTGCGGAGTGAGAGACAAATGCCCAAAAATAACAATTTTAAACCGCTTTGTGACTGGTCTGTGAAAGGCGGTATATAAATAAACATTACTTACTTACTTACTAACAACAAGTGCTTGGACACCTTCAACACCGCTCTCGTCACTCCTCTAATCTGTGACCTCTCCAGTTCAAGACTTCACTTAAAAACCATCTGTTGCATTTCACTGCTTAGAACTGCAACAACTCCCAGGTCAAAACTTTCAATTATGGTTTTTATTCAATTCTTCTATTTTCCAATACAGTCCAGCAATACAGTTGACAGTGCAATAACAATAGGCTGAAAATCTTTGAAATTCAACTCACACATGGAGCTAGGAAGTGGCAGTGCTTTCATGTTCAGAATTATATATATATAGTGGCAGCGAGCAGGGGGGTAGCACCAAATTCTGGGCCCCGGGTACAAACAGACTCGATGGGCCCCTACAAAACGTTTCATGTATATTATATTTACATATGTATATGCATTAATTGCAAAAAAAAGAACGCAATTGACGCATGTCCGATGCCCATGCATCCCATAATATCACTCAGAATGCAGTGGACACGTGTGTGTGTGAGATGGCAACAGATCAGAGCAGGTCTCTGGGAAGTTAAAAAAGAATACACGCGTGGCCGCGAGGTACTTGCTGCTGTTTGCTATGAATTGAACAGGAGCGCATCCTCCTGCAGCGTTTTGACCCGGGGCAGCTGCGAGCTGCTAACAACAACACAGCGAACGGCGCCGCCGTAACGTGATCATATCCAAGACCATGCACCCATAGAACTATTCTCTTCAATTTGTGTGCGTGTCTTACCTATGAGTAACATGTGCACGCAAACACGCAGCTGAAGCTGGACCATGTCCCCCCTGTGTCTCCTTCTGAAACGCAACTAAACTCGCAAAATTCAAGCTGGGGTAACATGTTGCGATCAAATCAAACTGATTTAATGACATTCTGCCTCAGACAGTTTTGAAATGTCCCACATCTGTAATAACAATAGTTTTGGTCTCAGTCTAAACAGAAAGACAGAATGTTATTAATGTTAGTGCCATTTTATATGGATTTATTGTTATAATAAACAAATACAGTACATATGTACACTATGTGGTAATTTATTTATTTTTGCCGATAGTTAGAAATGTGATTAATTACAATTAATTATTTTTATTTTTTTTAAACCTGCACTACTATTGACACTAATATTGACACTTCTTACTGCCTCTTTCTAATTGCCACTTTTGTAAATATATTCTATATTTCCTGCATTAACATGTTTGCACATTTCTTACTTTTTGCACAATTCTGAGAGTTCTATCCATGCCAAATGGATTCTCCTGTTGTGAGATTAATAAAGCTAATCTTAATCTTAATCTTTTAGCTGTAATTAACTCGATTAAAAATGTTGATCGCTTGACAGCCCTAATATAAATAATATACTGTACAGACCAAAAGTTTGGACACACTTTCTCATTCAATGAGTGATCTTTCTTTTCATGACTAATGCTGTAGATTCACACCCAGACTGTGTAAGGGCTATTTGAGTCTGAATCTACAATTTTCATAGTCATGAAAACAAAAAAGAATCATTGAATAAGAAGGTGTGTCCAAACTGTTGGTCTGTACTGTATGTATGTGTATAACTACATACATATATATATATATTACATACACACATATATATAATCGCATATAAATATTTGACCTGAGAGCAGTGAGAAGTTTTTTTTCACATGGATTTTTAGTTGAATTGAATAATGACTGAATATATAAGCTTAAGCAAAACATGTTCATTGAGGATGATAAGGGGATCAGACGGACTTCTTTCCTATCAAATAACGTAGCTTTCATAGCCTCCACACTCTGACAACAGACGCTTTTTATAACAAAAATCCACTGCACTAACAGTGAGCATTGAAGCTTATATAATACGTTTTTTATGTGTGCATTCGAATTAAAACATCAGCAATAGCAGCTCACAGACCTGTGTCGCTGCTCCTTCTGCTCCTCCTTCTCTGAGGAGCAGCTCCTCCTCCTCACACACCATAGCTCCCGTTATTGTAATAGATCCATGATAGATCCACACAGCGCTCTTTCCCGTCTCTAATTATGTCTCTAATTTACTCAGATTTCTTGGTCTATGCATTAATATAATAGATCCATGGTCTATGCTTGTTATGACTTACTTTTGAACAAGAAAGTCACGGAGTTCATTTGGCGCGCTAGTAAAATCGGTCCGTGTGAAAATCATTCTCTAGTGAGGAAGGTTCCGCGGTGGAAAAAACACATGCGATTAAAATGCGCCAATTTATTTAACGCACTAATTTTTGTGGCGTTAATTAATCGCAATTAACGCGTTTAAGTCCCGACCCTACTTTTTTCCTGTCCTGATGTTGCCTAAACACGACTCTATATCCTCACCTCTATTGTGGAAGAATTAAGTAAGCAATTGCTTGCTCTCATTAAACTTTTTCCCCTTGTCCTGTCTTTCGTTTCTTTTCTGAAATCCTGATTATTCTTGGAACAGACATTTCTTTTTTTTCCCGTTTCTGCCGCTGCTTGTCACACACGCTGCAGCGACAGCAACAAGCGCACATGTGGGTCGTACCATTTGTAATTTTGTAAGGGGGTGGCAGGGCCCTGATACAGCATACAAATTAGTTTTTAGACGAAAGCTGAGTTTAAAATGTTGGTTATTATTATGCAAAGCCCCTTTTATTAAAATTGAAATAACATGAAAATGCCACAATACGTATTACATTTACATATATAGACATACTTTAGAGGGCCCCTCCCCGCCTTGGGCCCTGGGTACTCGGTACCCTTTACCCCCCCAGTTCGACGCCCATGCAGCGAGTCACGTTTCTGATATAAAAACCGCGGGCGGTTATCCCTCTCTAAGCTCGGGTCATCTACCAGAGGCCTGGGAGCTTGAGGGTTCTGCGCAGTATCTTTGCTGTTCCTAGCACTGCACATTTCTGGACCGAGATGTCCGAGGTTGTTCCGGGGATCCGCCGCAACCACTCTTCTAACTTCGGGGTCACTGCCCCGAGTGCACCGATCACCACGGGCACTACTGTCACCTTTACCCTCCAGGCCCTCTCCAGCTCCTCTCTGAGACCTTGGTATTTCTCAAGCTTTTCATGTTCTTTTTTCCGGATGTTACCATCGCTTGGAATTGCCACGTCCACCACCACGATGTCAGGTTGGTTCGCCATTACCATTCGGTCGGTCTGTATCTGGAAGTCCCACAGGATCTTCGCACGCTCATTCTCCACCACCTTTGGAGGAGTTTCCCCCTTAGACCTTGGGGTTTCCAGCCCATACTCTGCACAGATGTTTCTGTACACTATGCCAGCCACTTGGTTATGGCGTTCCATGTAGGCCTTCCCTGCCAGCATCTTGCACCCTGCAGTTATGTGTTGGATCGTCTCAGGTGCCTCTTAGCACAACTGACACCTTGGGTCTTGTCTGGTGTGGTATATCTGGGCCTCTATCGCTCTGGTGCTCAGTGCCTGTTCCTGTGCAGCCATGATGAGTGCCTCTGTGCTGTCCTGTAGGCCAGCCCTTTCTAGCCATTGGTAGGACTTCTTGAGATCAGCCACTTCTGTTATGCTCCGGTGGTACATGCCGTGTAGGGGCTTGTTCTCCCATGATGGGCTCTCATCCAGCACCTCCTCATCTCGCCACTGCCTGAGACATTCACTGAGTACGTCATCCGTTTTGGCCTTCTCCATGATGTAGTTATGGAGTTTGGATGTTTCGTCCTGGACAGTGGCTCTCACACTCACTAGTCCTCGGCCTCCTTCTTTACTGCTTACGTACAGTCTCAGGGTGCTGGATTTGGGATGGAACCCGCCATGCATGGTAAGGAGCTTTCGAGTTTTAACATCCATGGTCTGAATCTCTTCCTTTGGCCACCTGATTATTCCTGCAGGGTCTCTGATCACTGGCAGGGCGTAGCTGTTAATTGCCCGGGCCTTGTTCTTGCCATTGAGCCGGCTTCTTAGGAAGCCGGCTCAATGGCAATGGGCAATATATATATATATATATATATATATATATATATATATATATATATATATATATATAAGCATAGATAAGAATAATACCCATTTTACCCAACAATTATTGCATTTGTATAAGATCAACAATGAGAATGATGAATGGAAAAATTCCAAAATAGCTGTTAATTTTAAGGAAAGGAAATAAAGAAAAAGTTTCAAGACAGATCTAAAAAAAATCCAGATCATGATTTTTTGCTCCAGTTGTTTAATTAGAGAATTTAGATGTTTTTGCTATGTTTTGTATGACTCAAATAGAAAACCATTGCTGCTCCAGTTTGAAGTTTTCTCCAAATTGCATCAGTAATGCCATGTGGTTTGAGTTGTGTCTCCTGCATAACTTGTGGTGCTAAAGCCGCATCATGATAATGGCAGGAGTTCAAAGCCTGGGCATTTATAAAGGATGAACGAGGAAGTAGAGAAATGACATGATCATGTAGTAAGGTCAACTGTGCAGACAACTCTCCCCTGTTGTATTTCACATTTGCTGAATTTTTTTATATTAAAGATTTGGTGCTGCAAACATAACATAATTTCACTACATTGAAATTGTTTATTGTTTGATTTTTTTATTTTATGTATGCAGTCCTTTGGTGAGCTCTGTGGTTGTTTATAAAATGACTAATACATTTGGATTACATTGAAATGTATTTGCACATTACTTTTTGAATATTGAAGGTACATTCCTCAACTGTCCCACCACCTGCTTTTTGGTTCAATTTCTGATTATTAATTTCTTTGCTCAGTTTGGTTTAAAACATTTACATTCTTCAATTATGGAGCTTACAAATGCTTATTTTGGAGTGAGAAGACACCTCTCCACAGTTGTAACTTAGCCAAGTAAAGTTACATGCTTACACGTTTTAAGCCAAATCAACAATCCCAATGATGTGAACTACTCTGAAAAGTGATCAAAATCAGAATGAGAATTAATTTCTTATTGCCATTGCAAGTCACAGGAAGTCACTAACTAGGAATTTCAATTTAATTTAGAATAGATATAAGGCGGCGTGAATAAAAATTCTTCATACATTTTTTAAAAATTACTACTATATACAAGTGCACAGAATTTATTTTGTACTTACCCAGAGGCAATAAGGGCACGAGACTGGGCCATGGCAATCCTCTGCAGTGCGGGTCGGCTAAGTCCAGCCAGACTGGAGCGAGGAGGTAGAGGAGCGGCACAAGCGGAGGTCGCCGACAACGACACTGGTCCCAGGACACGGGCGGAGGGAGAAGGAGCACAGGTGGAGGAGACAGTGGAGATGAGAGACGCACCAGCAGAGGAGGGCGGAGCGGGACAGGACACGGACAGCACTGAGGAGATGGACAGCTGACTGGGGTGACTAGGGTGACTAGGGTGACTAGGGTGACTAGGGTGAGTGGGGTGACTGGGGTGACTGGGGTGACTAGAGTGATTGGGGTGACTGAGGTGACTGGGGTTTGGGGCTGTGGAGGAAGGAGTGATGGAGGCGGGTGGGGGGGCCGGAGGGGGCAGTGGGGGTGGAGGAGGTCGACTGGAGGAGATGGACAGAGCAGCAGTCGATGAACCAAGGAGAGAAAGAGAGTGTCCATAACCTCCAAAACCATATCCACTTCCTACACCACTGCTACTCGCCATACTTGGAGCCCCCAATCCGCCCACACTGTAGCCCCCGGTGGCCCCCACCACAGAAATCCTGTGTGACGGCAGCGTGCGCTGCAGAGTCAGTGGCCGAGGGAGCGTTAAAGAGTACGATCCTCCTGGAACAGAGTAACTGTGAACTTTGGGGCTAATGGCAGGGAGAGGCAGTTTTGTTTGTGGTGGTCTTCTTCCCAGAGTCTGTGCAGAGGACATAGAAGAGAAAGAGGACAAAGCCCCCGGTTTCACACCCAGCACCATCATACACTGCTGACAGGCACAAGGTTGTCCCAAAGAGGTGATGGCTGAGGCAGGGAGTGCGCCGCTGGGGTAAGCGCTCCCATTTCCACTGCTGTTCATTCTCATTCCCATATTGGATACATCTACTCCTAGCAGACCCCCAGGGCCTGACATGGGTGTGGGTCCCCAGGCTTGATGTGATTTAGGCAGTGGTCCAGAAACCATGGGGTAGGCTAAGTCAGAGCGCCGCTGGATACGTCGGCAGCGCTGTGTTTGCCCATTGATTTGAGTCATGTTTTCAAAGTCAATAAGGTAGGAGAACCCAAGTGGAGCCAGGTCCAGCCAGGGCTCCTGCCGGTCTCGAGCAGCCTGGATGGCAATGCCCACCTCGGTGTCGAACACTGTCCAACTCCCAGTGTCGTTTTCCCACTCCCACAGCCAGCCCTGCCCCGGGGCAGAGGTGGGCTCGTAGAAGCAGCGTCGTACTGGCCGAAGGGTACCTGATCAAACAAATAATATGAAGTGTAATTATGAGGAATTTCATGATGAGCTACCTATCTTAAGTTGCTTGCAAAAACTGCATTTGAAAAAACATGCCTTGCCTGCTGAGAGTTTGGCAAACAGGTTGCCGTTGGTAACAGCACAGGGTGATCTGAATTCTGATTGGCTGGCACTCAACAAGCTCAATAGTGTCGTTTACTTTCCCAGACCACTCCATGAATGTATAAAATGTTTATTAGCCACTCTGGGAAAACACATATTCTAGCAAAAAGATAAAATATCTAGCAAACGATTGAATATTTTCATCTTCTATGATATCAGCCTTAGGAGAGGATCTGCTGGGCCTTTATAAGGGAGTAAAGAGCTCTTTTCATATATCTTAAGATAAGAGTTATAAGATGAGAGTTCCTTTATTCGTCCCACAGTGGGGACATCTTGTATGTTTATGTAGGCAATGCAAACCCCTAGACTGTGCATATGTCATTCTGTATTTTCAGGCTGTACAGTATAGAAGGCTAATAAGCAGTCATTCAACAGTTTGTGATTGAAATGGATATATGTGCTGTATAAACGCTCCCAGAACCATAGGCTACTGGGGTAACATCGTGCAAATATCTTTTTTGAAGAGCCATCGCTTTTTACTTGGCGATGTAGCTTTGACAAGATCAGCCATAAAGAGGTTGGTTTGAGCATCATGGGGAGGCTGCACTTGAATACAACATAGCATCATAAACATGCAAGCTAAGCAGGCCTGTACCCGGGCCCAGCTGTCTTCTCTCACCTGTGTCTTGTCTGAACTGGTGCATGGACTGCAGATCGATGATGTAGGGCGAAAGGCGAGAGTCCACCTGTCCGAGGACCACACTAGCACAGCGAGGGTCGCTCCGGATCACCGCCTCGATGTGGTGACAGACCGCGGGGCTGTAGGGCCGCCAGCGTCCGTGCTCGTTTAGCCATTGCCAGACCACTACAGCGGACGCTAATAACATCCTACTCCTGTAACAGTGAAAGGGAAGCATATGTCAATAAAGCGTAACAGCGGGAATGCTGTTTTAACAGTCTACTTTCATCACGTCTGTGCGTTTCGTTCGCTCAATGATTCTGCATCCATCTTGTGCTGTTTGCACTCATAACGTGCTTTTGATTCACACAAACAACACATCGACGCACGTCAACCTTACCTTCCATCTCCATTTAAATAGTTTCTCGGATGCGCTGTGATTAGTGCGTGTCTCTGTAGGAGACACAGGTCCAGCGCGTTCAGAGCAGAGCAGCCTCCAGTGGATGGTGGCAGCACTCCCTATGCAGATGAGTGACGTACAGATACATTTTCTCCCTACACAAGTTTGGAGGAATTAGGCAGTACATTCAGATTTATATAGGACCCTGGGGTTAGGGTGTGTATGGATAAAGTCTAAATTTAAACAGTAGCCTATCAAGTAGGCCCAGAAATAATATACATTTTCTCATTATTTTTAGCTATTTTTTTTGGTAGGAAAAGGGAATAGGCAAATTTCAATATATATATATATATATATATATATAGAAAAGAAACGTACATAATGTCTCAAATCATTTACTGATAATAATGAAAAAAAGTGTGGAGATGCCGGGGATTGAACCCGGGGCCTCATACATGCGAAGCATGCGCTCTACCACTGAGCTACATCCCCGTAGGAGCAAACAGGCCGCCACAAAGAAATATGAACTAACTTTAAAACTGGCGCTCTGAAACGTCATTCTTGTCGAAACGTGTTTTAGTCTTCGGCCCCAAAAAGTTAAGACTTATAATTCTACTCGTTTGGCGAGTTAATCTCATACTCTGAGGATGCAATTTTAGAAACGTCATATCAGCAATACAACATTAGACCTAATAGTCACCTACTTGGTATTAGTATTAGATAGCAATATGGCCTACGTGCAGGACTGTACAAGGACTCTACAAGGACTCCATGTTATGACTATGATTTGACTGTCTCTTTGTGACACGTATGTCTTTCGATGTGTGACGTGACAATGACTATATAAACTGTGTACTGCCCTTATTCTGTCTGAGGGAAAGAAACAGAGTAAACCAGTGGAACTTGAGAGAAACTTAAATAAACTTCCAGAGTTTGGCACACCACGATCCGTCTCTGTCTGCTAAATCCTAACATTACTCCCGACAAGTGACAAGAGAAAATTGTAAACAGTGTAGCAAATGTGCAATTAAATAAAAATAAAAAAGCCCGTCTCATTGTTTTTGGAATGAATTGCACTACGTGGTAACAACTGTTTGCAAAAAGAAGACATAATTCACATGAAACACAAATTGTTTCTATTGTTTATTTATAGACAAAGAATAGTAAAGAACATGTCAGATATGTAATTGTAATTGCAGTTGGTCAAATCTACAGTGCTTCTCAGACAGTAGAAAAATGTGTCCTGAAAGCAAAAAGGAATCAAGAGGAATGTCAGACTATATATAGTGGTGTTCCTTCATTTGATCTAAAACAAAGATGAAAATACAACTACAATGAATATTTTAATGACCTGAAAAGAGTGTATCCTGTCCTTGAAAAATAATATTTTGTGAGTTCATGGTGAGTTCATCTCATTATTTAATATGTTATTTTTTGCATACTCTGCTTATTTGTGCTGACAGCTGATTGGGTGAGTGAGGGTGTAATTTGTTTTGTCTGAAAAATGCAAAATATGTGACACAGGCCACATAACACACACATGAAAAAACAGAACAGAACAAAACAAAAAAAAGTTCAGTCATCACATCGGGGAACTGGTTTGATGGGTTTTATTGCATAGTTACATTTTTTTGTGGTTGAAAGTTAGGTGCCCCAGCTTTAAGGTTAGTTACACTTTGCGTGCCAAATCTTGGGGGATCAAGCCTTTGCTGCAACTGCTCCCACTATCTGGAACTCACTCCCACCACACATTAGGAACTCTGAGTCACTACAGAACTTCAAATCACCTCTCATAATCCACCTGTTCAAAACTGCCTACGCTTAACTTTTTGTTTTTAGCTTTTTATTTTTATTTTTGTATTATTCTTCTGTAAAGCATCTTTGTGTGTCCAAAAATGTGCGCTATATAAGTACAATGTATTATTATTATTATTACTTTACAGCTATGTTCTACGTTTGCATCTACATTTACAGTGCTGTTACATCACCTATATCTTTCTCTCCATCCTCTTCGGACCAGAGGACACTACCTGAAAACTGGTTGAGGTTAACTACTACTGGTCCTTTTGCTTCTGCTGGTGGGTCCTCTTGTGGTTCAGGCGAGATCAGAGGTTTATATTCCTCCTCTGAGCCGTCTTCTGAATTCTGATCTCTGGTTTTACTTGGACCCGCTTCACTCTGAGACTGCTCTTCTGTGACAATTGTCCCTCTGTCAATTGTCACAGAATCATCTTCATCACTGCTGTTGTCTTCCATTGAATGCACCTGCCCTGGTTTCTCCTCCTCCTCTTCCTCTTTCTCTTCATCTTTTTCGTCCTGGTCTCCTTCTGTTTGAGGCCACAGCTGGACTCCCAGACGGTTCCCCAGGGCCACTGATGCCCCTCTGACCCTGTCTCGCAACCCTCCCTCCCTAAACACGATGCGTTGCACAGTATATTTGCCGTTAGCTTCCTGGTTTAGATGCTTGTAAAGGAAAAACAGCAGGATGAGAAGGGCAGCCAGGAGGAAAGCAAGAAACATGATAGTGGTGTATGATACTGAGTAGGTGATTTCCCCGTTTTCAGACATATTTTTGGCTCTGAAAATAAATAAAAACAATTTGTTATCAATGATAGCTGTATTCCTGAGTCTGAAAATACTTCTCATTAAAGCTGGGGTACCTAACATGTAATATGTGTTGTCACAGCACTGGTCTTGTTTTTTTACTCGAGTTTTTCCTTGCCGATGCAGGAAGGTCTAAGGACAGTGGGGATGATCCACGACACTGAACATTCAACAACATTTAAGTACATTTATCAACATTTATGGACACTGGTCAACTGCCCTGTATGAACCTATGGCTCTATGTGTTTTTTTAATCATTGCATTTCTTGTGTTTGAACCGTTTGATTCTCTGATCTGTGTTGGTGAATTTGACCGTTTTGTAAAGTCCTCTGAGAGAACTACTGCAGTGATTTAGGGCTATACAAGAGTAAATTGAATTATATTGAAGTGAATCTTGTAAAAGCTTGTGAACACATCCGATCAGCTTTAATAGTCGTTACATGATGCTTTGGGCTGAGAGGTAATTGGCTGAGTTAGGGTGAGTCCCTACCGGCAGTAGCTCAGTTGGTAGAGCTTTGGCCTTTGAGCCAGAAGGTCGTGGGTTCAAGCCCCGCTCAAGACTTTCACCATCGACTCCCACTGACTACTGTCGTTGTGTCCTTGGCAAGACACTTAACCTCTGGGAACACCAGCCACAGTGGGGCGGCTGCGGCTGTAAAGTGCCAAACTGCCGTTGTGTCCTTAGGCAAGACACTTCACCCCCATTGCCTAGAATGAGTCTGGTGTGTGTATGAATGGTTGGTGGTGGTCGGAGGGGCCGATGGTTCTGTTGCCTCGCTTCTGTCAGTGTGCCCCAGGGCAGCTGTGGCTACAGCAGTAGTTTATCACCACCGTGTATGGAGTGAATGAATAATGACACATGTGAAGCGTCTTTGAGTGTCCAGAAAAGCGCTATATAAAACCGATGCATTATTATTATTTTTGACTTTTCAGAAGCCAAAAAAAGCATGCAAAATAGTGACAGATCAAATTATTGAGACTACAAGGAAATGGATTTTATGATGTTGTTTAAAAGTTAGGAGCCCCAGCTTTAATTGGAAAACTGCTTTACCTTTTGTTTGATTCTATTAAAGCTTGTTTTAGGCGAACAACTTTCTTCCACCGGGTCAGGACCTTAACAAAATCACTGATGAACCCTGTGGAATAAAACACACTTTTTTCTCAAATGAGAAGAATACTGAACGCAAAGCTGTTTAAAAAGAAGTGCAGATGATGTGCAAATAAACACAAATCTCAGTTTTAAAAAGGATTTAGTGTTTTAGAACCATCATTGGATTGTTGATGGTACATTTGAGAAGAATTGATCAAGAAGGTGTGAAACAACAGAGTGATTTTTGAAAAAGTTTGTCTGGCTTAAAAAAAAGAAAAGATGTTGGTTAATTAATTTGCAAGCCTTTCACATTCTTTTCAACTTCACGTCACTCTTTTGTAAATGAACAGTTCAATTGATACAAAAAGTGATTTATAAGTGTCTGTCACAGGAAAAGCTTGTTTGCACGAGATGAATTATGGGCAGGAAGTTTGCATGCAGATATGGTTTCCTGTCCCTGCTATAAGGCATTATTTTCACATACTTACAATGGTCCTGCAGAATACTTTTCTCATCCAAATTTGAGAATAGGTTACAAAATACCCATTGTATATTATGAATTATTTATTTATTATCTATGTATTATATTCATGTATTATCTATGTATTATCTTTTATGTAATAATAAAATATAAAATATGAATATTGATTGTTACATGACTCAAACAGGAGCACTAATATATGTACATACAAATTAATTAAAAGGAACTCACCAAAGTGTAGATTTCAGGCAGCGTTTCAAGCTGAAGGGGTTTGCAAAGAGAGAGACCGTGTGATGCATGAGAAGTCAATACAGAACTGAGAAAGCACAGGTCAAAATGATCAAACAAACTGGGCGGTTTGTGAAAGTGAGGAAGTAGCATCCTTTTTCTCTCACAGATGTATAGACCACAACAGAAGTAGAAGGAATTGGACAGGATGTTAACCGTATGTACTTTTAATGTCTATAGAGCTTTATGTCAAAAATAAAGTTTAATAATAATTTAACACATATCACTTGAGCTAAATATGTCGCTGTGTGTGCCTTCATTTTGGTCATGACAATGGTTGCTAAGGAGCTTTTACTGGCTCTTGGCTCATAAAGAAGTCCCTTTCCTCAAACATGTTTTGTAGAGTGTAGAAGACACAACATATATATATATATATTTTCAAAAATACATTTACATGGACCTGAGCTAAAGGCAGACCCCCCCCCCCCCCCCCCACCAGGAATATTGCGTATTATATCACATTATTCACTGTTATTTTAAACCTTCTTTTCTTCTTTCACACCATTTATTATTACATTTCTCGTATGTAAAAATCAAGCCGAACTAAAAAGAAAGAATAACGATTTATTGGTTTCACACAGTGTAGATCTACAGATGTGCTACTGGCTTCAAACAAATGGAAAAAGTTATGTACAACTACAAGAACGAGGTAAGTTAATAAGCAATGTACCATCACGGCCTGCTATAGTTAGATGAACCGAACGCAATTTGCAAAGATGAATCCGTTGCATTTGTATTTTGTGTTATTGCGTTGCTTAGTGAACAGTACAGAATGGTCCTTGGAAAAAAGACAAAATTAACAACAAGTTTCAGCTAAAGCTAATATACTTATAAAAAAATGTCCCAGAGAAAATCATCTCTAAAACATGAGGTACCAAAACATCAACAAGTGCTACCTTTTTTCCCATCACTTTAAGACTACACTCAAATACAACACACACGTTTCACTTTTATACTTCCATAAGCACAGACCCAACTGCCATGATGCATAACAGAAGATATCCCACATTTAACTTCTTACATGGCATTGTAGTAAAAAATAAATAAAAATAAAAAGTTGAAGAAATCACAGCAGCTGATTGTTAGCTCTAATTGTTAATCGAGTGCTCTCTATCACATAGTTTTTAGATAGTTGTTTTAGTGCATTAGTGTGTGTGGCGACAACAAATGATTCATAGATTTAGCAGTAAGCTTCAATACGCCATCATTGCTGCTACTATGTTGTTAAGCTGTAATAATCTTCATGTTAATGTGCGCCACGAGTCTAAATAAACTACTACTCCACTGGTACAGTTGGAAGGCCATGGTCTGTTTGAAGGAGGAGGTTTTTTCATACATCTCCGTCTTCAATGCGAGCAAGCTGCCTTTCCAGCAACTCGATTCGCTGGTTTTGTGCCAGAACCACCGCACGCAGCGCTTTCATTTCGGCTAGTAGCTCATTCAAGAGATCCTCCTGTGAAGACAAAAAAAATAAAGTAAATAACTTGATATATATATATATATATATATATATATATATAGCACATTTCACAAACCAAGGTCGAAAGGCCAATACTTTTCATTCACTCCATACACAGTGATGACAGAAGCGAGACGCCGAGCCATAGACCGTAGACTAGGAGTGGACTGACCAAGTGCTGACGTTAACCGTACTTTTAGCCTTAGGAAGCGGCCGGTTTGAACTTAAGCCAGCTGGTGCCAATTTCCTTAAATGGGCATCTCCTCTGTGGCGCTTTGCATCGTAACAGGGGCAAATCTGGTAAGCTGGAATTTCCCCCGCAAATTAAGAACAAAATATAAGCGCCATGCAGGAGCATAGAGAGCACTAAACTTTGGTTACTGAGCTCAAGGAGTTTACGTTTTCACTGTCAAATTTAAGTCAATAAGAGAATTGGGGCAAAACGTTGTCCATGAGCACTTCCCGACTACAGGGATTCATTTAGCAAGGGGGTTAGATTAGCATTGTCCATCGACATACAGACTATGCACATAACACTGTGGTGCATCAAAGCTTCTATTCATCTATTCACTCACTCACTAAATTCAGACATATACATGTTTTTAGTGGTAGGGGAAACCGGAGCTCCCAAAGGCAACCTATACGCAAACGCTTGAAGAACTTGCAATCTCCACACAGAAAGACCCTGACTGGAGGTAAGATCGAAGCCAGGACCTTCTTGCTGTGACACAGTCTATGGCTGTGACACACAAGTGCTATCCACTGCCACTTTCTGATGTGGAAAATATATTGTGTTATTGATTAAACAAAAATAGTTAGGTCCCTTAGCATTAAAATTAAACAAAATGGTAATAGTGATTGAAAACACTATATTCCACGAAATTGAAAATACAGTCTTGACATTGTACCTCTTTCTTGGGTCGTTCCCCATTTCCCTCGTTTTCTCTCGCTGCCTTGGAGTGATGCGTCTCTTCAGTTTTGTGCTCTTTGGCTGCAGTAGTAGATATGGTGCTTGAAGGTGTGGTGGCCCCTGTCCCAGAGTCTTGTGAGAGCATTTTGGGCTTTCCTCTCAGTGTGTCGCGGCCGTGTTTGGATGTAGGAGCACTGTACCCCCCACTCAGCGAGACCAGGAGAGGGGGAGCATCCTGCCCGGCGATCCATTCCTCTGCTAAAAGGGCTGGCTCCGCACTTGCAGTGTCGGGGTACAGGTCGCCCTGAAACAGGTCTGACTAATGGGACAAAAACTTTTAGTCATTTAACCGGACCACCTTGAAATTGATCGATCCATCTTTTATTGTTGTTCAACTCGTGCATTACCTTTCGTGGCACAGTCATTGAGATTGGTTCCACTTTTCTCTCATGCAATTTGTAAAACCTAACAATTCAAAGTATAAGTTTACAACACAGATAATATATAAACAATAATATTTTCTTATACCTTGCGATTTCACACTTGTTGACATCTACACCTCTTTTACTAAGAAAACCTGCTCCTCTCTGCGGCTCTTTGCTGCTGAACAAGCTCAAGAAGTGCACATATGGGGATTCATCTGTGATCTCAAAGTACCGGATGGTACTGTCTCCCTGTAGGAGAAACACATTCACAGGTTACAGTGGGTCTATGCATTTTATCAGTAATTATTTGTAGAGTTTGTACCTTTCCACACAGGTAAACCATGTTTGTGTCCGGGTCATAAAAAGGTAATAGTACCCCATTACTCGAGTCCATCTCCTGAACAGCCATTGGCTCAGAGAGGTCTTTCTGTGAGCAAACATAATGTATTGGTAAAGATATTGGAAAGAAACATACTGGCACTAGCACCATGCTATAAACATACAATCATGTAATGCAACTGTTATGAACATGCAATATCTGGTTACTCATTCAAGTCAAATAAAGGACTTTTATCAAAGCGCCTCAGGCCTTTTTCAATCGAGCCATTACCACTCCAAACTGGTATGTTTACTTAGGCTCTTATTTGGTTTTCAATATTCAAATTTCCAGCGACGGACTCCCACCTCACTCTTGTGTACTATGCATTATCTATATCAGACGTACCGTATCCCACAGAGCCACCTGACGCTCACTCATTCGGCTGAAGCCAGTGGTCAGGATCTTCCCATTGGCAAGAAACACAGCTCTCATTGGCCTGGTGCCCTCATGCACTTTCTCCTTAACCTGTTGGTAATAGAGATATGTTTTATATGACTGCACTCAGAGATGATTAGAATTTGGAAATAAGGTACTGAATTTAAAAAACCTTGAGCACGGTGCCCCTTCGTGGGTCAATCACACGCAGCGCCTTGTCCTTACAGACAGTACAGACCGCACTTCCGTCCTTGTTCCAGCTGACACTGTAGATGACGTCTGGGTGTGCATCGCTCAGCTGGTAAACGAGCTCACCCGTGCCCACATTCCAGACGCAAATCACATTATCACAACCTGTAATAAACGTCAAATTACATGTTTGTAACATTCAAACATCTACATACATGCCCCCCAAAAGTACATTTTAATATATTTTTGTTCACATTACATTCATTCATCGATACAACTATTGACACAGAGTGTAACTATTTACAGTTAAATACATTACATGAATGCAGTAGTATCTGAAGTGCATGTTATTGAACACCACAGCAAAAAATACTTCTTCCTCAACTCTCATTCAAAATACATCTTTATAACTTTACACTATCACATCATGTACTACTGCATTACTTAGTAGATACATCCAATTTGTTGATCAGGGACTCCCATGGTTATTCATGCAAACACATGTAAATGTTTTTTCTTTTTTAACTTGTTTCAGATAGATAGAAGCTGCTTGTAAAATCGAACATGTATTTTTGATGATTACCTGCAGATAAGAGGATGTTGAAGGCAGAGGGGTGCCATGCTATGATTCCTACTCTTTTACTGTGTCCTTCTAGTGTCACTATGGCCTCAGTCATTGGCTTGGTTAGTCCACCATCTGGGATCTGCCACACCTACAGAACAGCAAAACAGAAATTTGTATATGTTCAGCAGTCAAATAAGACAACCAACAACCACATGTTCTCTCTAGACACATAGAGTACCACATACTGTTTCCAAATGGCCCACACAGAGGATCTCTGAATCCTACAGTCTTTGGTACTTGGGTATATTGCATTTGAAATTGAATATATGAGAAGAGAAGGAAAGGGGTCGAGGGGGTAGGGATGATCATGATAACGTATCAGAGCAATGGTTATCAACTCAAGGCGAACCTGAGAAATAAGCACATTTGTTCATGTTACTTTTCAGTCCACCCGGACCCTATCTAAGGCCTGGGCCCTGGAACGATCATCTTCGGGAGTGACTGTGTATAAAAAAAGCCTGCAACGTTAGAGTTAGTTTTTAAAATACACAACCCTAAGACTGCAGGCAAGGAGAGGTTTCGCAGGTCGTTCCTCCCTGCTGCTGTCAGGCTGTACAATGAGAATGTGTAACAAGAACTGCTGAGTCTGTACAAGTGTCACTGATAATTCACTAGTAACTTTGTTACTAGTCACTTTACCTGTTATTAGTATTACTGCATTATTACATATCCATCTGATATTTCTGCCATTCAAGTCACTTTACCTGATGATATTATTTCTGATGCTTATTCTGCTCATATTCATATTCTCCGCTGCTAAAGTACAATATACACGTCTGTAAATACTTCTGAACCACGTGCAATTATAGCCCCAGAGGTTATTTTATTTCATTCTTTATCTCATTTTAATTATATTGTTTATTAACTTAAATAATAGACTCAATTTGATGTGTGCAATCTGAGTGCTCTTATTTCCTTCTTTCTCTGCTGTAATGTGCACAACGATGACACTGAAATTTCTCCACTGCGAGACGAATAAAGGTATATCTTGTGATAGATAGTGAAGTGAATGTACATGTTTGTAAAGGGCTTATTACTAGTGCATAGTGATAGCAGCAATGTCAAATCAACAGACAACCAACCTTCACTGTGTTATCCTCAGAGGCACTTGCAATGATATTGTCGTCATGAGGTGACCACTGGATGTCCAGCACAGGAGCATGATGGCCACATACAGTTGGCCAAGACGAATCCACTCTTCCACTCTGGAAAAACAAACAGCGTAATAAAAATAGTATGTACCAAACAGATAATTGCTATTATAGTAGAATACCTTGTTAATAGGTACTACAAGAAAGGTGCCCCCTCCTGCTGCTTCTATGATGACAGCTATGAATTTGGGGTTGACTGCACAAAGTGGACTGTCCCATGTGACTCGGGACACTCGCACGTCATCGAGGCAGTGCTCCGTTTTCCACGCTTGGGCAAAGACATGCCGGAATTTGCTCTGTCTGACTACTCTCCGGAAGGACATGACTGAAAAGCAAATCGGTTAAATATTATTAAAATATATACAAATTAGAGAAGCAGGAAATTATTCACTTGGTCAACATCAAAACTTGTATTGCGTCAAAGAGGCAACAACTATCTGACATAGTTCATTATTTCTACTGCCTCGAAATAATGACAGAGGCAATTATTCAGTTAAAACATGAATACAATAACTTTCTGTGCCTATGAATAAACAAAAACCGTTTCTATATGATAACACTGAATTATGCCACGTTCCCACAAAACATTGAGGAGGCCTCCAACATGCATTACTTGCCAATGAGACCAAAACAGTGGAGCTTTTCAGGGGACTACCAGGCACATTCTTAAAGTCGTGCTTGAAAAGTGGACAAAAGGGCATGATCTGCACAGTTCAAGACATTCTACTGCAGTCATGGGGCAGGGGGCTGGGCACAACCAAAGCAGGAAAGAAACTATCTATGTGACATCCATCTACCTATGTTTCACCCTTGTCAATATCTTTTTATTCACAGATCTTTGAGTCACAGTAGAAAGGTAGAAAGATAGCAAACAGATGTACTTTATTATCACCTTTATACTAACTTGCTATTGAGTATCAAGGATCACATCAAAGGCCATAGTAAAATCCATTGATATATCCACATTCCCATAGGCCTATACACTATGAAGAACAGCCACAGCCCTAACAAAGAGATGGGCTCACGGTGCGTAAAACCAATGTAACAAAGGAAGACTCAGAAACGACCTGTCTACTAAAATTACCTTGATTCTTTTGAGTGCAGACCTTCTTAATTGGAAAACAGATAACCAAAGGCTTGTGACAGGAGAAGGCCAATCAAATAATCCGCCGCCAGCAACAGTAACTTAATCTTCTGTGTCCAAGCAGGTTTTCATGGCGAAGATCTGCTGCAAAATAGATTAGATATAACGTGTTGGATTGCAAAAAATATGGCCAATTCCGTCTCGCGATCCTCCGCGTTATATGTTAAATGCCCAGTGTAGCGGAAAGGCTGACCTGATAACGCACACTCGAGCCATGGCGCTTTATCCAAGGCGATGGGCGGAGGAAAGAATAGTCAAGCTGCCGGTGGTGTCAGGGAAGGTGCACACGGCCGGGTATCTGATGGAGGCGAGAGTTTAGAATTGAATAGATGCGAATAACGGCGACCTAGACACTTCCGCCCGGAGCGAGACCATCCATGAGCGAGACGGATCAGAAGACACAGGAAACAACGAACATCCAATTAATGTCCTAACCGGAAATCACAAAAGAGTGTGAAATAAGATTGTTAGCTTTACAATAGACAGAACATTTTGGATATGCGACATGTTATAAATTGAGTGTCTGGTATAATGGGGAGCGAAGCTGGTCTTTGATTTCTATATATTATATTTACCTTGTACTCTCGCCTGTAAGTGTGTATGTCTGATAACGCTACAGTTGTAGCCATTCAGTTATGATTGTAGCTTATGTGTCAGCGCCACCTTGTGGAATCTTTACCTAGTTATAAGACAAACTATTAAAAAATAAATTAAACACAGCTGAAAATGTAATTTATTTTGGGTATTTATTGTGATACTTTCGTGTTGTACAAACACTATTAATGTAATATCGCTCATAATCAACGGCGTTGAATTAATATATTATATGAAAAAAGTGAAGCACATCAACAAGTGGCTCCGTGGCGCAATGGATAGCGCATTGGACTTCTAGGTCGAAGCATAGCAATTCAAAGGTTGTGGGTTCGAGTCCCACCGGAGTCGCTCTTTTTTAAAGAATGTATCCTCTCTTCTAAATCAAGTGATGGAAAAACTCACAGCACATCTCGATGTACAGCCACAATCTACTGAATGTCTATAATGTTAATTTATGCACTACGTACTAATACATGACACATTAAGTCACCATGTCTATCATTTAATGGTCCGTCGATATAAATGCGGTGGGATATTATTGTACTTCTTTCACATTTTGACTGTAGAATAACCTTCATTACAGTGTGACAATCTAATCAATACATTTTCTGATAACGACTAGAGGCGGGAGAAGGAAAACAAGTCGGTCAGTGTTTCTAGCCGACAGCAAATAGTGCTGCGCTGGGTGTAGCCGTTAGCGTTAGCCACCAATAGCATAGCACGAGATGTAGCTCCCTATGCTAGCTTAAATCGTACGGAGCCGAGGACACTCGACTCGACCAGACACTCGAGCAACTCCTGGCATTTATGATATGTGCTTAGGCTTCCCCCGCACTATTATTGCATGGTTATAACAAATGTCCTGTTTAATTAGGCTTTCTGTGCGTATACATAGCTGTCGGTTAGCTGTTAGCATTAAGACACAGTGGTGTATGGGTGTCAAAGTTAGCAGTGACTTCACCGGTGTCTGATTGCCTGGCTTTTCATTTTGGACACGTCAAGGTAAATATGTGATGCTAGCTTTTTGCTTTTTCAAAACCCACATGGTTGTGTCTCAACTCATTCATTTCTATATACAAGTGAAGTGAGCAGTTGTCGACTACATTGCATCCGCAGAATATAAGCTATAATATTTGTTTTCTGTACTTTAGCCCCTGTAATGGCTTGACTGTAGACAGAGCGAAGGCTATCTTGGTCAGCTAACATTAGTGGCGTTTGCGATCATATTAAGCATAATGTGCACAACCTGAGCTTGATCATTTGAAGGTTGCATTGTCCCTCGGTAGTATGTATAATTTTATCAGCTGTCATCTTTACGTTGTTTTCTTAATCATTACTATCGACGTAATAGGTTTTCTTAAACAAATATACTTGTTATACTTTTACCTCCGTGTCTTTTAATTCTACCTAAATAAATGGTGTAATTTACATGTTAAATCACCAAATGTCACAGATAGCATTACTCTTCTGTAGATCTGTCAGTTAACCTTTGAAACCTACCCTGTTCACAGAAAGATCAATATGAATTCTAGTCCCACTGTATTTCACAGTAGTTAACGTTGAAATGATCAAATAAGACCAATCGTTGCTATGTTTTCCAGTAAATCACATTGAATGCATTTCATCTTATTTTAAGTGTCATCAGATTTGGGGGCCAAAATGTCAGATTCTAAAGCCCCCACTCCTACTCCTGCTGGCGACACATACAAAGGATGGGTTTTCAAGTGGACAAACTACATCAAGGGATATCAAAGGAGATGGTTTGTCCTCAGCAATGGCCTATTATCTTATTACAGGTGAGTAGTCTCAGAGATTTAAAGTTCAGAGATGAAAATGTGTTTATGATTCTGTAATTTTGACCTATTCGGGTGGAATAGTAGCTCTGTTTCAATAGAGAGGATTGCAAAGAAAAAAAAAAGGACAACTCTGTTGACATTTTCAGGAAGTGGAAGTTCTTGAACAGATAAAGTCAAGTTAGGGATAAACTGAACTCGTCCGAAAGTTTAGCAACAAACATATTTTGAAGACATTTATGATTCAGTCACAATGTAATTTGTCAACTGATAATGTATGACTACATTGAGGCCGAGACTCCCGATTCCATTCCTTAACAAAAAAATCCTGATTCAGACGGTGATTCGGCTCCAAAATTGAATCACTTCTTCTTGTGCAAGTTTCCTGATTTTGTCCAAATCCATAACTTGTTGAGTTATGTTGCTCACATACAAAGACCGGTGACAAGACCTTTATCATAGGAAAATATACTGTTCAAAAATGAATTTAAAACCGATACTTAAAATATGAACAATAATAGTAATACAAATAAGTCATGTTAAGTATAATAAACGTATGAGTGCACAAAGATGTTTGGTATTTTGTTGGTGTATGGCGTATGAGTATTAACCTGCTTATGTTATAATATGTCATACTTCTCTTTCAGAGTTTATGAGTGAGCTACATCTCCTATGACTGATTCTGTTAATAGAACTTCAGTCAAAACACTTTTGGTGTTAAAATTGGTTAATTTGTGCATGTGAAATAGTCCTTGCCTTTATTTGAACACACGTATAGATGTGTTCTTAAATCTTCTACTGTTTCTCAGGACCCAGGCAGAGATGGGGCACACGTGTAGGGGCACAATCAATCTTGCTACTGCAACAATAACTGTGGATGATGCCTGTAACTTTGTCATCTCCAATGGGGGTGCACAAACGTACCATCTCAAAGCCAGCTGTGAAGTGGAGCGGCAACGATGGATCACAGCGCTGGAACTGGCCAAAGCCAAAGCAGCACATATGCAGCAAGAGTCCGGTAATAACCATGGAACTACTCAGTCCTTTGTCTGTGCTTTGTATTATGCTTTTATTTATTTACTTGATTATATTTGTTGCTTTTATTTCCATCTGTGTTGTTTTCACAGCACATTAGCAACAATAATATATGTTTAAAAAAATGCAGATAAAAGGCATACATCTGTTCATAAAATTAAGAGGGAAAGATAGATCAAGATTTTAGGATAAGAAAAGATTTAAGTTTTATATTCAATCAATCAAATCTTTATATGTATAGCACATTTAAAACAGTCTAGGCTTACCAAAGTGCTGAACAAACAGCGAGAAAAAAAAAATGGACAGAAATAAAAAAATACATAAAATACAGAAATATACACAAAAACCGAAAACTTGCCTCTTTCTACCTGGTATTAAAAGCCAAAGAGAAAAGTTGCGTCTTAAGCAGGGATTTCAAGTGCTCGAGTGATTGTGCAGTTCTAATGTGCAAAGGTAAAGAGTTCCACAACTTTGGCCCTATAACATAAAAAAGGTCTGTCTCCTCTGGTCTTCAGCCTGGTCCTAGGGACGACAAGAAGGTGCTGATCTGCAGAGCGCAGTGCTCTGGAGGGAAGGTGGGGCTGGAAGAGTTCATATAAATAAGAAGGTGCCATTCTATTAAAACTTTTAAAAACGACAATAAGAATTTTAAAATGTCTATATTAATTACAAACTAGCTTACTAACAATTATTTAATTAATCTGGCCATCTTTTTTTAAATCCCCTATCCTGTGCTCAGATCAACAACTCAGATTGATTAGTTTGCAATCAAATGTCACTGCCCTAAATTATTATTTTTTTGCTTGCATTTGTTCCAGATATTAAAAATCATGCTGCGCATATTTTAAAAATGCAAAAACCCATATATTAAGGTCTACAATATTTCATATAGTTTTGCAGTGCATGTTTCTAACCAGCAGGTGGGAGAAGTCTGATTTTTCACACGTTTATGATCTTATTCTTGAAAAGATTAACTTATTTCTTGAAACCGTATGATATTTTTCAATTGCATTTTCTTTAATCCAAAAGGGAAAGGGAAGAATACCAGATTAGTGATATTATTTTTTTGGCAAACACATTGCCTAATGCTTTGCCGGGTTATTTTCTTGTTTTCCAACAATGCTTATAGATTATACATTTTGGCAAAAATATAATTACAAAAACTCTTTTCCTTTTGGTGCTGGAACAATCTGAGTGAAATAATTGCAGTCAGATAGCTCAGAGCACACCTTTTTGAATGCTGTGAACCAACTCATACTTGGTTTGGTGACATTTCCCTACACTACTTTTTTTTAAACGCATTTTTCAGTTTTTTTATTTCTGTTTCAGGGCTCCACTTTTTTCCTGTTTCACATAAAATTTTGGAACAAACCCGTAACATTGACCCCTAAAGGCTAATATACATTTGCTGCATATACTGTTGTATTTAACTGTCCTTTTATGCTTCCATCTTTGTGTCAGATGATTCTGGGGATGACTTTCCGCCGTCCTCTCACCCGCCGCTGTCTGGGCAGGGAGCAGCGTCGCAGAACTCCGAGGTGCAGTCCGCCCTCAGGACATTGGGAAGCAAAGTAGAGGATCTGAGCACCTGCAACGACCTGATCTCAAAGCACGGATCCGCCCTCCAGAGGTCAGTGTTGCTCTTCGTATCACTCTGCCTTTCATCTTCTGCACCTGTCTGAGCCAAACACCAAACATTATCTGAAATAAAGATACACATCGTGTGAATCTCCAACTGTAGTTTTTATCATGATCAACTATGAAAAAAATGTTTTGCAGATCGTTATCAGAACTCGATAGTTTGCGTTTGACTGGAGAAGCAGGAGACAAGATTCGGCAGGTGACGGAAAGGGCGACTTTGTTCCGAATCACCTCAAATGCGATGATTAATGTGAGTTTCAATTTCAACACAAAAAATACAGCAATAATCCACACATTATTACAATCTTTAATATACACATCTGCATAGTTAAATATTCAAATATATAAACAGATTACTTGTTTCACATATCCCACATATTTTGTGGGTCCCTGATTAAAACGTTTGAAAATCTTGTTTTTGGTTAATCCAAATTTCATAGACAGAAATCTTTAGTTATACAGTTCATTAAATGCGTGTGCTTGCTGTCTGAAAGATAACGAGAACTAAAATGTAATTCAATAATAGTGGGCAAGATTTGTTAAGGATAAGTCAAAGTAAATGGGGTGCATGTACTTCAATCAATAAAGTTTATTTATAAAGCACAATTCATGCAGTGCAACCCAAAGTGCTTTACAATGACATAAAATCATAAATATATACGTATTTACCAACATTTTAAAACATAAGGTGAAAAATATAATATGAAAAATTCTTGTGCACACTGGGGACTTTTGCAAATGTATTCCAAATGACAAATAAAATGAATCTGAATTTGTTTTTGCCCCTTAGGCGTGCCGGGACTTCCTCGCACTGGCCCAGGCTCACAGCAAACGGTGGCAGAAGGCGCTTCAAGCCGAGCGGGATCAGCGCGTGAGGCTGGAGGAGACTTTGGAGACTCTGGCCAAGCAACATAACCATTTAGAGCGTGCATTCAGAGGAGCAGCACAGGCCAATGCAAGCGCAGACAATAAAAGTAAAATACAATCCTTTGCCCAATTTAACACACATCAACGTGTCATAGCAAAAACAAACAATGCATTTCCTTTGGTGTAGGTTCCGCTGGGCCGGGACCTGGGAAAGGTGAAGCCAGCGATGAAGATGACGATAACGAGTTTTTTGACGCCATGGAAGAAGCACCAGAGTTTATTACTGTACCAGCTGACCCTCACTTCCACAAGTCAGTGCTTTGTGTCTTGTCTTGTTTTGTTTTTTTCCAGACAAATGCTGAAAGACTTGGACTCTGAGCTCTTCAACCCAAACTCTGTCCTGCTGTTCAAGTTTACTATTCTCAATGTTTCCTTTCAGAAGATCGAGCAGCACAGCAAGCGGCTTCAACAGTGAAATGTGCGGAGACGATCAGTCGGTCAGTAATTGCCCAAATAAACATTTTATCAACAGAACAAGTCTTTCAATAGTAAAATTAATACTTGAAAGAAAGCCCGGTGAGTCACTATTTGACACTTTGGGCTGAACAAGAGTGGCCCTGTTTGTCACTTTTCTGTCTGTAAAAGCTGATTTGAACATTTGAGCCCAAAGATGGACACATGTGAAAAATAGTGATAGAACCAGATGGATTTTATGACAGTTAAATTTTTGTGTTTTGAAACTTGGGTACCCCAGCTTTAAGCCAACATATATTCTTATTGTTCTAATAGGATCACTTCTCCAGAAGCTATGGCCAGGAGTTTTAACTGGTAAACAGATACAATGCAAATAAAACCTGTGGCTTTTTTTAAGCTGTGGCTACGTTTATATTTGTTAGCTTTTTTTCTATTTTTGATTTCTTCACTTTTGGTTATATTTCATGCTAGTAATGTGTGTGGGATTTGTTATGTTACAAAAGAAAATTGGGGTAAAAACCCTGGTTAAATATAGCAATGATAGTAAATTATTAATCAGTTGGTTCAAAATACAGGAAGGGATTTGGTGTTCTAATAACTAATCCTTCCGCCCATGTCATACATCACAATGAGCGAACAAGAAAAGCAGTTGTCTGACTGTGAAAACATTCACATATTAAGATAAATGTATTTTCAAGTGTCACACAATAATTGTGACGCGTTCATTTGTAGCTTTGTGGCGCAATAGTATATCCCTCTATTTATGCCATATCAATCAGCAAGTGATATTATATAATCAAACTTTATGGACTCTAGAACCCAAAACAATGATGATTGTGATAATCGATAAAGAGGCCTGATAGTTCTCTCAATTAATCGATTGTTGTTCAGATCCCAAAAGTTCCGAAAACACGTTATTGCTTCTTGACAAATATTTCAATAATAAATTGTTTGCAATTAATTGGTGAACCTGTTACAGCCCTAATTCAGATTTAAATCTTTTAAAACAAACTGCCTACACTGCCCCCAATTGCTGCACAAGATTCCGGGATTTTAAACAAATTGAAATGACGCTTGTGTATTTCCCAGCTCAATGAGGAACCTCTAACAATGAGCCAGGAGCCGTCGCAGGAGCTGGTGCCTCTAAAGAAGAGAAGGACCCGCATCCCAGACAAACCCAACTACTCCCTCAACCTATGGAGCATCATGAAAAACTGCATTGGCAAAGAGCTCTCAAAGATTCCCATGCCTGTAAGTGTCACTGTTTACTATATCCAAGTATAGGCTTTAAGTCACACATCGTCAGTGTGAAATGTATTCATAGAAGAGGCTACTGGTTAGTTTGTTCCATGTCTGACAATGATAAGAAGGCAGACAAAAACATTGGCCGCAGTAGATTCCTTTGACGTCAGGCCAGTAATAACATATAAAGCGCAATACTGGCCCAGCAGCATTCAATATGAGTCACGCGAAACTGGAAAGGTAACACAAGAAACCTGTATGAATAATAATCTGTAGCATGTTGTGTAGCTTGTGTCACTCTCTGGGTATATGTCAAATTAAGGCTGACATATACTTCTCTGTCTGCGTACTGCTGGTCCGGCTGCACACCTACGGAGAGTCCTGAAGTCCTTTGCACCACTCTGTTGTGGTGTCTGATGCGCTGTCCGATTCTCCCATGTGGATGAACAAACTTTGACGGAACCAAAACTGAACGAAAAATATTATAGGCAAATTATTATTATTATGGTATTATTATTGCAAAAAACTCTTGGTTGTTTTCTTGGTTGATATATAACATGTCATTGTGGCCCAATTGTACCTTTTACTATCGTTGTTTGCAAGTTTTGAAAATCATTTACTGCTATAGAGTGTAGAAGATGTGCTTTCCCATTTAGGCAGAATGTGTGAAGTTGATGCAGGGCTAACATCTGACTGTGTGCAAGGGACAAAACCCTGCTCTAGACGAGGATAGTTTCAGAGATTCAGTAATTTAATCATTAATCATTGAGTGATTCCTGTTTTTCAGGTAAATTTTAATGAGCCCATTTCCATGTTGCAACGATTGTCGGAGGATCTTGAGTATTATGAGCTGCTTGATAAAGGAGCAAAATGTCACAGCTCCTTGGAGCAGATGTGCTACGTCGCAGCCTTCTCTGTCTCCTCTTACTCGACCACAGTTCACCGCACAGGAAAACCATTCAACCCCCTTCTGGGAGAGACCTACGAGCTGGACCGCAGGAGAGAGTCGGGCTACCGGTCTCTGTGTGAGCAGGTGAGACAGAGGCTGGCTCTCAGGAAGTGAAACCTCACATAAACCCACACAAAGGAAGAATGTGTCAGCAGAATCTATCTGACTCTGCATTTTTAATGGATTTTTATTTCCCTTTTTCAGGAGGTCATTCAGTTTGTTGTTCACAATTCATCAGGAACAAATTGAAGGAATAACATAGAAACATGTACTTGCATGTATTATTCTAATTGAGAACCTGAAAAAAACCCTGAAAATAACCTTTCTTTTTTGAATGTTTGATAAATAAATCCAAACACACATTATATTATGGTAGTTCTTAGTACTTGGGTGGGATTTTCTCTAAAATCTTGTTGCACACGTAAAGTTTGAAAGCAATTACAATAGAATACGGCAGCAACATGTAAACCAATCATAATGTATGCAAAAAAGGTTAAACAGTCAAAAATGTTTTAATCTGTTTACCCATGAACTCAGGAACTCCTGAGTTTGAGTCCACCTCCAAACGAGGGCTTTTTGTGTTTCCCGTATCACTAAAAACATAGTTCAGGGTAAATGAGTGTGTGTTTGTGAGTGCCACTGATGAACAACGTGTGCTGCTGTTCATTAATACACACATTCAAACAAACTAAATAAATATTACACACACACATTATTTGTTTAAGAGGAAAAACATAATGTTGTTGACAAAAGATTTATTAATACATTACTGCGTGACACTTAAAATAACAATGATTTTCTTCCCAGGTGAGTCACCACCCACCTGCAGCTGCTCATCATGCAATCTCCAATCGCGGCTGGACACTGAGGCAGGAAATAACAGTGGCCAGCAAGTTCAGGGGGAAATATCTCTCGATTATGCCTTTAGGTACGATACAAACCATGTGACGAGGGACCTGAAGTGACTCTTTGAGCCTGTGAAGTGTGAAAGCTTGTCCGAGTAACGTCAGAGGCTTTCAAAAACAACATACTCGTATTGTTCTGCTCTTGATGTCGTATGTTTCTCTCTCGCTTCTAGGAACAATTCATGCTATTTTTGAAAAGAGCAACAATCACTACACATGGAAAAAAGTGACTACAACTGTGCACAACATTATTGTAGGAAAACTGTGGATTGATCAGGTATGCTGCAGTTAATTAATTCTTACATTTAAATCTGAGATGTCGACAAGTTATATTGTTTTGTTTACTCTTGCAGTCTGGAGAGATAGATGTTGTAAATCACACGACTGGAGACCGCTGCCATCTTAAGTTTGCGCCTTACAGCTACTTTTCCAGAGATGTGGCCAGAAAGGTGGTTGATTTTGATTTGATTTAAAATCTTATTTTGAATACGTATACTGTATTTGTATTTTGAAGACAAAAAATGTAATTATTTATTTATTACCCCTTTAAGGTTCACACACGTTTTGATTTGAAGACGTAGGAACACTAATCACACAAAAACATTTGTTTTAACCTAGTTTTTTATTATGTCTAATTTATCTTAGTCTAAGATCATCAAATTACATCTCCACCATTTGGTTAAAAGTGTCTAAAACCAAGTGATAGAGAGATGGATAGGTAGATTTCAGTTCCAAGCTTCAAGACGATATTGTGAGAAAACTGTTAAAGGGTTAAAAACAAAGGACATTTAAAAGACCCTTGAAAAGGAGTAAGCAGAATAACTTATTGGTGAGCATGTGACACTAATTTATAAAAGTCAGGTTGGGTTGGTTTTATTTTTAGTAGCCTTTTAAAAACAAGATGCACAATTGCTCCTTTTGCCACACCTGTCATTGTACATGCAGAAGAGGCTCTTAATCAAACTTGACGTGTGACGAGCCCTTCTGTCACCAGGTAACAGGCGTAGTGATGGACAAAGACGGAAAAGCCCACTACGTGCTTTCGGGGACCTGGGACGAGAAGTTGGAGTTCTCCCGAGTCATGCAGAGCAGCCGTGGAGGAGAGAACGGCGCAGAGGGAAAACAAAAAACAGTTTATCAAACACTGAAAGCCCGAGAAATCTGGAGGAAGAACTCTCTGCCGTATGTCATTATTATTTTTTTCACATTCCCAAAGTAATCTCTTCCACTATTAATAGACATTCTGCGCATTTAATACCAGCGACTGACGACAATAGGAATAGTTCAGATTGTTTTTGTTTGTCATTCTGTGTGACAGTGACTAAAAAGAGAAAATAAACAACTGAAAGAAAAATAATGATATTAGTAATTTAGTAAATTACCTTTTAGTAGTAAATGTTTGTAATTAATTTTATCCTTATTTAATTCCTACTTAATTAATTCTCTCACGGTCTGGAAAGCAGATTACTTTTAGATTCTTGCCCTAAAAAACATTGTTGGCAGTACAAATACACCAGTCACAGAAATTGACCAAATTATTAAAATGAATAGTTATGATTAATGTTTGGTAAATAATACATGTTTTCATCACATTATTCTTCAGCACTGTTCAAATTATTTGTCTCTAAATGCAGGTTTGTTTTAAAAGCACATCTTGGCATGGCAAGTTCTTTTATATAGTTGGTGTTGTAAATAGATCACTCTCTGGATTTTTAATCTGATAATTGACTGTCTGAAAAACTATTTGTATAATGTAATGGCAAACTCAGGCTGATGTTTCAAAATAAAGAGTTCAGCAAGTGGTGAATAATGACAATGAGACTTAAACATCTTTTTAGTTAAAAATAGTTTGCCACATGTTAGAATATAAATGGTGCTTTCAGGGCTGAAAACAACTGCGGATGGTAGTGGTCACTGTACTAGTAATACACAATCCTTTTTTTTATTTACATTTTTCAAGACTCCTATTTTGAGACACTTTTGATTTTTGAAGTGGGCCAGATTTCTCAGCTCCATCGTTAGTCTTGTGTGTCTTGTATTCTCACCATTTGTCCTTTGTTTTTAGTGAGGGAGCAGAAACCATGTACTACTTCACTTCTTTGGCCCTCACCCTGAATGAGATGGAGGAGGGCATGGCTCCCACCGACAGCCGGCAGCGTCCAGACCAGCGCCTCATGGAGGACGGGCGCTGGGAAGAGGCCAACGCTGAGAAACAGAGACTGGAGGAAAAGCAGCGCAGTGCCCGCCGTGAGAGGGAGAGGGAGGCAGTGAGCCAGCGTACAGCCAGCCAATCAGACGAGGGTGAGCGTAAGTACAGCCCACATCTTCCTGCTTTACTTTGACAGGCTGCACAATATCTTTTACAGACATTATTTAGTTAGCTCAAGAAATATTTTTTCTGTATTACGCAGTATTTTTCTGATATCTTTACTTACTATGTTCCTGTCACAGAGCTGGAGCAGAAAGTTGGCCCAATCGGCTTTACGGACACTGCTCGTGTCACATCATGTCATTTAGGTTTCCAAGTACTTTGAAATCCAGCTGGTTTTGCACACCGTTAGTGTGTTCTACATTCACTGGAGAAATACTGGCATCACATGGTTTAGAAGTATTTGTCACATCATACAACACTAAGACCAACAACTACAGAATGTTTTTTTTAATAGGGGTCTAGTACTCAAGTACTTGATAGACTTTGCAGACTAATTTAAAAGAACCATGTGCACCTTTTTAGAGTTGTAAAATATTGTGCAGCCCTCTTCTTTTGTGGGGTCTACTCTTAATATAAGGGGTAAAAAAAATTGTGTTTGGTCCCTTTTCCCCATAAAGCTATCGATGAGGACTTAAATGAATCATCTTTGAAATGCAAGTATTTTCTGATTTCACTTTTTAAATTCAATTCATTTTTTAAATAAATCACTGCCTTCACCAATGTAGTAACTGAAAACGTCTTCTTTCAGACTCCCCCCACGACAACTACAGAGCACTTTGGTTTGAGCGCTGCGATGACCCCATTAACGGCGAGCCGGTTCATATCTACAAAGGAGGATACTGGGAGGCGAAGGATCGCGGCTGCTGGGAGGGATGTGCTGACATATTTTGACCTCAACCACTGGACGGAAAGTGCCCATAAGAGGCTAGATCTCAAACTAACAGTAGAGCTCCCCGCGGCGCCATCTAAAGGCCTCTTCACTGTCCATCCACAGAAGAAAACAAACTCTTGTAACTGTAAGCCCTCCTCATCTGTCCCACACTCTTCCACAGTGTCTTATGCTCCGCCTCCTTTTGCTGCTGCACATGTGATCAGAGCTGTGGCTAACTTTCATTTAAAAACTCGTCTTGGTTTTTGCTCAGAGCGGAACTGTGTCTTTCTCTGTTGTGAGTCCTTGTATCCACACCATGTTTGTTCTATGTTGATAATAATTGTATAATTATAAATGGATTTATATTATAATTTTATATCTGGAGTACTGTCCCACTTCAATTAAAGAGATGTGTGGGAACGTAAAAGTAATTTTCCTGTCAAAGAATATTCCTTACAGAATGTGTAAAGAGGCAGATATTTCACTGTGTGTATTATTGAGCTGTAAACAAGTGGGTTACTTGCTCTGCTTCCAGTCGAACTCCTCGACCGTCGATCACTCTGTCAAGGCGTTTCTCATATACATCTCTTTTCTTGATGTTGGACACGATTACAATAACACTTGTACAACTGTCAACCAGTGGCCTTCAAGACATTAGCAAATATGTTATGTTGAACTTTGATTTTGTATCTTAATTTAATGCATTACAGGTTGGGTGTTTGTATGAAGCCTCTCAGCGCTTCCATAACCTTACGATTGGAGTTGGATGTGGGTTGTTTTTTAATCTAATTCCAGCTGGTTGACACTCATCACTTTGCTTTTTATTATAATGTGTTGTTTTACCAAGGCCTCAGAAGAAATTAAGATGACCATGATGTTTTAATCTTAGCCTTGTGTTCGCCTTAGCAACAAGAAAGATGCAAAGGCCATTATTATTTGATATTACTTATGTACATTGTGAAGAAAAAGGAACTCCTCCCATTAGTGCAATTTTTAGATATCAAACTCATCATGAACTGTTTTCAGAGTTGACCCTTTGTGAATCAATGCTTCGGGCTTCAACAGTTTTTGCGATTCCCGGTGTGACTTTGGTGTTATGTGTCAATGAAAATGCAAAATGATTGTCACACAGTACATTTTTAAGTTATGCAATTTACATTTTGACACCAAAAAGCAGGAGCGAATGAGTGTGCGTGTGTCAGAATTCTGTTTGTAAGTGTACTTAAATGAAGAATAAATAAAAAATGACAGAACATTTTAGATAACCACGGTGCATAGACATGTGTACAATATTTTACTCTCAGGTGTTCTTCGACATTGAAAAACAACTCAAATGACCCAAACACAATATGAGTTATCTGTAATCAAACTATAGAAGTTGATACTTTATACTGTTACTTTTACTTGAGGTGAAAGTAGCCACCTGCACAATACTTTTGTAACTGGACTGAAAAGTACTAACCGCTTTTCACTATAGTTTGAGACCAAAAACACTGAGGGGTTTATTTTTTTGCTCTTTCACAGCGACAACTGAGTGTTTAATGAATGAATAAAATGTACCCGAAAATGTTGATTCAGCTGCTTCTAATATAATCATAAACCCACTGATCACTGCCACCGTTGCGTTTCAACTCCAAAGTGGTTCAATCCATAGTTTAATCCATTTTTTATTTGAAAATTTTTGCCCCCACATATTTTCTTTAACTTGAGTAACATGGTCTAATTCTTTACCACTCTTCTTTGAGAACAACTTGAGAAGATTGCTGTTACATTCATCAGCTTGTATTAGTAGTTGTCTGTTTAATTGCAGTTTAATTCTGGTAACTGACCTGCCCTGTTGTCTGTCTGTGTATTTAGTTACGTACACAAACAGGAACATTCAGATCATACTATAAACAAGCTGTGACCTGTTTGTTTATTCATAGCTTACAGTTAATACTATATAATTACCACAACCTTAGGTAAACTTATGTGCAAAAACAAGTATTGCACAGATTTGGGTAAACCTGTTTGTTTGGCTTTCATCTTGCTGCCAGAGGAGCTTTTTTCTTCCCCCATAACAGGCGCCCCATTTGCTGTGTCATGCCAGCATTTATTTTTAGTCAAATTTCTAAAGGCTCTACTGGAACCTACTGTCCCATACATGCTGCTGGTGGAGAGATTGGATGGAGATATCAGAGGGGAGGGGGCTGGGGGATATGTGACCTGTGACTGTTGGGACACACCCTTTTCCACAATAACAAATGTAGCGCAGTGCAGAGGACTGGAGGGTCCCGGGTCGAGAGGAATGCTGGAGCAGAGAGAGAGAGGTAGTAACTGTAGAGCTTAATGGTAATTACTTGGTTTTTCTTTTCAAATTACTTCTAATACTATTTCTTCCTTCAGAAAATTGTCACTTAAACATCTGGAAAGCGGCGCAAGCCTGATGCAGGAGTCTGAGGTAAGGTTTCACAAATCAATATCTCTTGTGGTTGCAGTATCGGCTCCTTCCTTTTACAAATGACTTGCAAAAAAAGTTCAGACACATATGAGAGGATCAGCACGCTGGCCTCCAAGAATGTTCAGAAGAATGCATGTATTTTGGCAATAAACATGACACTTGGAGCATTCTAGTACAAAATAAACTAAAAGTCAACCATGTTCTCTCATGTTTTGGCATTCATAGAGACACCTTCAGACCTGTCCACTGCTTGAAATGAGCCATACTTATTGATCTCAAAGGTGGACTGTGCACCACTGAAAAGAGAAATAATATACAGCCTCTTCTGATCCTGATCCATATCACAAAGCTGCAGTAGGGAGTTTGCTCAATATTCACATACGACACAATCACACAAGTACCTTGTAGACTTTTGGGACTTTAATCCATTCCGGACATATCAGAAAGAAAAATTATCCATTCATATTGATCTGAAAGGTGGCAACATTGCTCCTAAAGAGGCTGTTTTTTCTTGGAAATTCCACCGTATGGCCTCAAAAATGTCCAAATGCAATGAACACTTCACTCGGATGAGTTACAAGTGAATTACTTCTCTGCAGAGAGAAGAGCCTAAAGTAAGGTTTCAGGTTGTTGAGCAGAAAAAGAATGTTTTAGAAGTGATGTGTAAAACAATATATGTTATTGAATATGTTCACGGTTTGTATCATACTGAGGCACATTCCATAGCAAGAAGCAGATAATGGTACCCCATCAGTAAAGGTTAAAGCTCACGTTCCTAACTTTTCTGTTTCTCCAATAACACGTCCTAACAGATAGAGTAAAATGTACAAATCTGACTACAACAAAAATCTGATAAGGAACATTCTTTGCAAGAAGGTCACTATTTGACACTTTGATTTTGGGCTGCAAACTGATTGGCTGAGTGAGGGTGGTTTTCCCTTTTTTCTTCTGATGAAGCAGATGTGACAAAGGCCAAAACTACATGCATGTGAAGACTAGTGAATTTGCATTATTTTATCCATCCATCCATCCATTTTCTACCCTTTAATCCATTTCTGGGTCAGGGGGGTGGCAATCAGAGATGCCACCCAAGTCTCATTGCACCAGCCCCTCACTGACCCTCTGCAGGTGGTGAGTCCAGGAGGACGGCTGCTCTCTGAGCGGCCTTGATCTTACAGTGGGGGCTTTTTGGGCAAAGTAGGGTTAAGTGTCTTGCCCAAGGACACAACGACAGCAGTCATCAGTGGGAGTCGGTGGAGACGGTGTAGAGGTGGGAATTGAACCCACGACCTTCAGGCCTTAAGGCCAATGCTCTACCAACTGAGCTACTGTCGCCCCGCATTATTTTATGACATGGTTTAATTTGTGGTTTTAAAGTTAGTCACCCCAGCTTTAAGTCAGTTCAGTTCATAACTTTTCCTCTCCAGATGGACGGACTGGAGGCAGTGTGTCTGCCGAAGCTTTCCCGTGTGGCTCTGTGTGGAGGGACCCATGGGAACGAACTGTCAGGAGTCTATTTGGTCAAAGAACTGTTGAAGAGAAAACGGGAGGAAGACCGAAAGCAGCTCATGGTTGTGTTGTCCAACCCCAGAGCCACGCAGCAGGGCCGGCGATATATAGAAGTGGATCTGAACCGCTGCTTCTCCATGGACGCACTCAAGTACGATCAATCAGATGACACAAATAGTCCCTGAAAAATACTTTTAATGAATAAAAACATATCATGCAGTATTTGCCAATGGAATGGGTCAAGCACAATAGTGAGAAATGGTTATTTTGCGTTTGTTACCCAAGACATGTTATGACTATTTTATTGGCATACATTATAATAGAGATGATAATATCAAGATTAGGGTCAATTGACTTAGTTTAATATCTTTTTATGGCTGTCTGAAAACTTTGTAGCTTATTTTTTGCTCATGAAACAAGATGTTTTATTTTTATTTATTTTTTACTAAAGAGGACAAAGGAAAACACTTATCACTTATTATGTTCATGTATTAGAATTCTATTTTAGTTGGAGTGCAGGTGCCAAAACAAGTAATTTTGAAATAAATGTTGAAAAGTCAAAACTAATCTTAACTTACCTTTTTCCTATTGTAGTAGAAGTTAGTTAGCTAGTTAGTGGTGGTAGTGGTAGTAGTAAGTGTGAAGAAAATGAGAAAAGATGCGGAGGTCTGGGATCCGGTCACAGCAGAAGACAATTTATTGCTGGTAAAAAGAGACATGACCATGAAGATTTGGCAGCATACATGTCATTTTAAACCAGAGGAATCAAGGTCTTCCTCTTAGCAACTACGACTTTGTCAAAAGATACGTTTGCTTCAACCCTTTACAAAACCAAAACATCAACTGGAAAATCAGTGGCTTCTGTAGTCTGTCGTAATGTTGAGTTGAGCTTTAACATAATTGTATCAAAAGTTTAACAAGAGATCCATAATAGTAGTAGTAGAAGTAGTAGTATAAGTAGTTTGAATTTCGGCTTTTCTGTCTTCTTCAGCTCTCCACTGTCCACAGATATTTCCCCGTATGAAGTGATTAGGTCCCGGGAACTCAACGCTTTACTGGGTCCCAAAGGAAGTCCAGACTGTGTGGATCTGGTGTGTGACCTCCACAACACCACCGCTAACATGGGCCTGTGTTTCATCACATATTCCGACTCGGACTGGGTTTCCATGCACATATTTAAGCACATGCAGGTGAGTGGGGATCTAAATGCGGTGACTGACACCTCCTTAAGCCTTGATGTCCTGTGTCTCAATTGCAGCAATGTCTTCCCGATATTCCAATGAGATACGTTCATTTTGATCTGCCGCCGGACGAAGCTTACTCTCTGGATTCAGTTGGAAAACATGGTTTTGGTATGGAGTTTTTTCTTATTTACCCATTTTGTATAAATGTAATAGAAGTAATCCGTCCATCCATCCACTTTCTTCCACTTTGTCTGTTGCTGGGTTGCGAGGGCAGCAGTCTAAGCAGAGACGCACAGACTTTCCTATCCATGTACCTCGTCCAGCTCATCCAGGGGAACCCAGAGGCTTTCTCAAGAGAGACTTATTCCCTCCATTGTGTGCCCAGGAAAGACAGGGCACACATTGGAGACTTATTCCCTCCAATGTTTAAGGCACACATTGGAATAAGTCTCCAATGTGTGCCCTGTCTTTCCTGGGGGCCCCTTCTGTTCAGCAAACAATACTAAACAAAAAAGGTTTTGGGAAAACAGGATGATAGTAGATGAATTTACTAAGTATTGAAAGGAAATACTGTGAAAATAGATGTAGGCTTGTCATTTCAATGGATGCACGGATACAATATTGATGTTGCAGTAGGTATTTTGTTTTGTTTTCAGACAGGCTCACAAGTTACAAAGACATTTTATGTAATGTTTTGTGCGTCAATTTAATGTCCCAACAAGAAAGCAGGAGCTACCAAAAATATATTTTCTCTTTTCTCTCTAGAGTATCACTGAGCCATAGTTACTTCTCTTTTGCAGCCTTGGAGATCGGCCCTCAGGCACATGGTGTGGTGAGGTCCAACGTCTACTCCACAATGAAAAGTGCAGTTGAGCACATGTGCGACTGGATCCAGTTATTTAACTCAGGTGAAACAACTGCATTAAACATATGTCTAAATGTTATTGTCTCTCAATCTGTGACTTCATGTGACCTCCAGGAGCAGTGTCTGAAGGAGGCTGTGTGGATGTGTTCACTCTGGTCAAACACATGGACTACCCTCGTGACTGTGACACTCATGACATCGTAGCCGCCGTTCATCCTCAGCTGCAGGTGAGGAATACATCTTTCAAGAGAATCCCTCAAACTCACAAAACATCTTGTTTTGGTCTTTCTCCAAAGCAGCGTTGAGACTCAAACATACATTACTACAATTAATTCTGATATTCAATTACTATATTTATCTTTGTTAATTATTTTCAACAACTTCTGATTTTTTTTATCCTGTTATATTTTTCTCCTATTTCTCTATTGAGAATTTGCAAATTAATGTGGGAAAGTTTTCACCTTTCATTGGAAGAAACACCCAATACAAAAATTATTGTTTTAATGATTGCACAACCTGCAGATGAAGTTAAGAGAAGTATTTTGCTTGGCAAAAGATTAGTGTTCTGTTTGTTCTATCAATCATCATGGACTCCGTGTGTATTATTGTTTGGCTTCATTTCCTCATTTTCTCGGAAAGTTTTGCCATAAAAAGCTGGAAGAAAGTTATCCATGTTCCTGAGACTGAGGTAGAGCAAGAAGAGATATGCAAAAGTCAAAATATTTTTACTTATCTATACATCTTATTGATAGCTTTGTTTGTTTCTCTAATGAAGATAGAGATAAGATTAAGTCTGAGTTATACTTCTACAGTCATTCAAGGTCATGTGTTTGAAAAACTGAAAATGTTTGAAACAGTTTGACAAGTTTTTATTAAGTGAAGGGACTGTATAAATATTGTTCAAAAGTCTATTCGCTTCTGTTATCAAGGCAAGGCAAGTTTATTTGTATAGCACAATTCATACACAAGGCAACTCAAAGTGCTGAACAAGATAGCATTAAAATCATAAATAATTACAGAACATTAAAACGAAAGATAAAAATATAAAATCCCTCAGTTGTATGCACAGCTAAACAGCACCGTTTTTAACCTGGTTTTAAACATTGTCAGAGAGGAGGCCTGTCTCACATCCTCAGGAAGACCGTTCCAGATTTTAGCAGCATGAATCTGAAAAGCAGCCTCCCCATGTTTAGTTCTGACTCTGGGCACTAACAGGAGTCCAGTCCCTGTGCTCCTCAGAGTCCGGGCTGGTTCATATGGGACTAACATGTCACTAATATATTTTGGTGCGAGGCCATGGAGAGACTTGTACACAAGCAGGGCTGTTTTAAAGTCTATTCTCTGAGCCACAGGAAGCCAGTGCAGAGACCTGAGGACTGGACTAATGTGGTGCCCAGTTTGTAATGTGAGACTGTATGTGAGACTATGTCACAGACTCATTACACACACATTGAGATATATCAAACCTTTATTTGTTCTAATGTTGATAGTTGATTCACAGCAAACCTAAAAAAAAAACTTTCAGAAAATTTGAATATCTAAAGAATGGACACTAAGCCATATTCATCAACATGAAAAAAAACGTTTGGCATATGTCAGTTTGTAAGCTGTGAGTCTATATTGTATATAAGTTTCGTTGTATGCGTTGTATAACTAATGGCGACTTTGCTTTTAAGGATAAAGACTTCTGCCTTTTGAACCGTGGAGATCCTGTTTTCCAGACTTTCTCAGGTGAAACTATAGTTTACAGTGAGAGTGAATCGCTCTACCCTTTCTTCATTAACGAATGTGCCTACTATGAAAAGGGCATTGCCTTCTCTTTGTCCCGGCGAACGTGCGTACTTGTGCCTGCTCTCCGAGCTCATCCAGACTCATGACAAATGTGACAAAACCAAAGACTGCAATAAATGTTTACACCACTCAAATGGCTCATTGTGTACTTTAATAATGTCCATTATTCATAAAACTTTCACACAAAGATGTACAGTCTGATTGTCACACACTAAGTTAATGATTGTGTAAATAACATTAAAACATTTAGTCAATTATTGGGATATTACTTCATATAAATAGAACCATTTTGGTGAAAAATATAAATTTACTATCAGCAACTACAGAGATATTCATGTGTATTAAAAATTATGTGCAAGGGGAGCGTTTTTCTATATGGCCTTCAAAGTACATTCAGAATTCGATGACAGGATTAGACTTGTTTTCAATCCTGTTCAATTGTATAACCCCCGTTTCCACCAGCCCGACCTGGCTCTACTCTACTCGGCTCTACTTGATCGCGTTTCCATTACACTTTTGTATCTGGTATCCGAGCAGCCTACTCACAACAAGCCAGTATCCATGGAAATTCCTTGGTAACCATAGCTTCCAACAGCACTCTGACAAATCACTGTTTGAACATTTTAGTATCAGCTCTGCCTGGTTAGACCATATATTAGGACTGGACGGGCCGAGGGCTGACGTCATCCATGGTGTTTGATGAATGTGGAAGAAGCTCATTTGAACATAAGCTAGTGGGAGCCATTTTCCTCATTCCATTGGTTCTGACGGTTCTTTGTGCCGTAACGGGCAGACCTGCTGTTGCTAAGTTAGTTGCTAAGGCCACTGGAATTTCCCCAGATCAATCCTTACATAGTTCATATCTGTACTTACAACAACAATATCAAAATATAGAACCACCAAGATCAGAGATTGTGCTAACCCAAGGATTCTTAAAGCAAAAAATGGTAAGCTAGAGGAGTTTACCCAGAGCAGCATAGTACATCTATATACAGTCTACGATTAGAACCAGGACCAAGTAGGACTGGCGGAAACGGGGATTTTGATTTATGACCTATCCAATGAGCTTTTGAAATAATAACACATAAAATAACACAACCAGATAAGTTACAAGCGGACGCATAATTAACCACTCCCGGATTCCACTGACTTGCCCAGTTATCGAGAACATGAGACCATTTGTTGTGGTTTAAATATTTTAAGATCACCTAAAACAACTTTGGTGCCGGGTGTGTCTGATACTAATGCCATCAAGCATTATTACTGAAGCGTTTGTCATATTATGGTTACAACGTTGTCAAAATAATACTGTGAAGAACTGCCCGTCGTTTAGTCGGTTCTGTTTTGACGTCTTTAGACCCTGCGTACTGAGTAGAAGGCTTTACGTCACACGGAATGATGACTTCTCCTTTAATTCTGTTGGTCAATGTTACAGTTTTTAGCACTGTTCTCGGATTTTCTCACAAAGTCTTGGTGAATGCGAGTATTTTCAAACAACTGACTGAAGGTTGAGTTTTTTCTCCATTTATTTAGAGCAATAATCAAATGTTTAACCTGTAGTTACCAAGAACGCTTCATTCTTTTAATGTATGTATGTAGTATCTTTATTTTATTGAATTGTATCTTAACTTTCTCTTTTATGTGCTGTACACTCGGGTGTCGGCAAAGTAGGTACTAAATAACATGATCTGCTCTTAAATGATTGGAGTTCCACGGAGGGACTTTAGCTCAGAAACCGGCCATGGGGAAGACCAAACGAATCATGAGCCAACCAGGGGATAATCTGTCCACAGAATTATCCTTGTTGCCCTCTGGGGGGCGCAATAATGTGCCACAAGCCAGAACAAATCACTATTTTGTCTTTTGTTCCTTCTGCCAATCACAAATGGCAATAAATTTGTCCCTGATTGACCTATCCACCCACTGATGTTTCCTTCTTTGTGATTTTATGGAAAGTCCAGTTCAAAATGTTCGGGAATGCATTCAAAAAACGTCTCTCCATATTTAAGATTTCAAAAGTAACTGACCTTCCCACTGAATTCAGTTTTCAATAATGTCATTTATGGTAAATTAGGATGACATGGATAATTACTATGGGCCATTAAAATGTTGAAAGTCAAAAAATGACAAACAACAGACAATATACAATGCCTTGCGAAAGTATTCGGCCCCCTTGAACCTTTCGACATTTCGCCACATTTCAGGCTTCAAACATAAAGATATAAAAATTATTTTTTTTGTCAAGAATCAACAACAAGTGGGACACAATCGTGAAGTGGAACGAAATTTATTGGATAATTTAAACTTTTTTAACAAATAAAAAACTGAAAAGTGGGGCGTGCAATATTATTCGGCCCCCTTGCGCTAATACTTTGTAGCGCCACCTTTTGCTGCAATTACAGCTGCAAGTCGCTTGGGGTATGTCTCTATCAGTTTTGCACATCGAGAGACTGGAATTCTTTCCCATTCTTCCTTGCAAAACAGCTCGAGCTCAGTGAGGTTGGATGGAGAGCGTTTGTGAACAGCAGTCTTCAGCTCTTTCCACAGATTCTCGATTGGATTCAGGTCTGGACTTTGACTTGGCCATTCTAACACCTGGATACGTCTATTTGTGAACCATTCCATTGTAGATTTGGCTTTATGTTTTGGATCATTGTCCTGTTGGAAGATAAATCTCCGTCCCAGTCTCAGGTCTTTTGCAGACTCCAACAGGTTTTCTTCCAGAATGGCCCTGTATTTGGCTTCATCCATCTTCCCATCAATTTTAGCCATCTTCCCTGTCCCTGCAGAAGAAAAGCAGGCCCAAACCATGATGCTGCCACCACCATGTTTGACAGTGGGGATGGTGTGTTCAGAGTGATGAGCTGTGTTGCTTTTACGCCAAACATATCGTTTTGCATTGTGGCCAAAAAGTTCGATTTTGGTTTCATCTGACCAGAGCACCTTCTTCCACATGTTTGGTGTGTCTCCCAGGTGGCTTGTGGCAAACTTTAAACGAGACTTTTTATGGATATCTTTGAGAAATGGCTTTCTTCTTGCCCCTCTTCCATAAAGGCCAGATTTGTGCAGTGCACGACTGATTGTTGTCCTATGGACAGACTCTCCCACCTCAGCTGTAGTTATCTGCAGTTCATCCAGAGTGATCATGGGCCTCTTGGCTGCATCTCTGATCAGTCTTCTCCTTGTTTGAGATGAAAGTTTGGAGGGACGGCCGGGTCTTGGTAGATTTGCAGTGGTCTGATACTCATTCCATTTAAATATAATTGCTTGCACAGTGCTCCTTGACATGTTTAAAGCTTGGGAAATCTTTTTGCATCCAAATCCGGCTTTAAACTTCTCCACAACAGTATCTCGGACCTGCCTGGTGTGTTTCTTTGTCTTCATGGTTCTCTCTGCGCTTTAAACAGAACCCTGAGACTATCAAAGAGCAGGTGCATTTATACGGAGACTTGATTACACACAGGTACATTCTATTTATCATCATCAGTCATTTAGGACAACATTGGATCATTCAAAGATCCTCACTGAACTTCTGGACTGAGTTTGCTGCACTGAAAGTAAAGGGGCCAAATAATATTGCACGCCCCACTTTTCAGTTTTTTATTTGTTAAAAAAGTTTAAATTATCCAATAAATTCCGTTCCACTTCACGATTGTGTCCCACTTGTTGTTGATTCATGACAAAAAATTTAAATTTTATATCTTTATGTTTGAAGCCTGAAATGTGGCGAAATGTTGAAAGGTTCAAGGGGGCCGAATACTTTCGCAAGGCACTGTATAACAATAAAGACTTCCACTAGTTTATTACTCCATGTCAAACCAAATCTAACCCCACTTTTACCAAAAACATGTTTGTGAAATTGATCAACTGAATACTTTTGGGTATGACTGAGGAGTATAATCGCGAGCTGTACACATTCTTTCATCGTCTTTAACATTTGCAATATAATGTCATTGTTTTTACTATAAACGTCGTAAAAAATACAAATAAAAGTTGATTCAGCCTCACTCCGAAGAGACTTCCCATTATTGGCTTCAAGAACAGTAGCTGTACCCTCCACATGACACCAGGGCGTCCTTTGAAATAAAATATAATATAAAAGAAACAAACAGAAAATTATTATTATTATGAATCATCATTAAGACTTCTGCTGCTATAAAAGTGTATAAATATTGTTCAAAAATCCATTCACTTCTGTAATTCAACTTACAATGTGAGACTAATATATTACAGACGCATTACATGCAAACCTCAAATAAAACATCTCAGAAATTTGAATATCTAAAAATTGACAATCATCAAAATTATAACAAAGGCATGGCATATGTCAGTCTGTGAGTAGTGAGTCTATATATTGGTTTCACATTTCAAGTTGAATTACAGATATAATCCGACTGTATTTTTCACCTGCAATCCTAGCAGGGGTTTGGATCATAGACTGTATATATTAACGGACGTATCACGCCTATCTCCGCCGTTCTAACTAATGGGCCAAAAATTGGGCTGTACTGGAGTGATTCAAAATGGCCGTTTATGTTGGTACTGTAATTTCAAATTAAAAAGAATAATATACTGTCAAAAAAAAAAAAAACAATGGCCGTGGGGGCTGGAATATGTAAAATAACGCATCTGCGCATGCGCCAGCCAGCACGAGCCCCATTCATGCCTTCAAAAATTTACAGCGACTAAACTAGACTGGTCCAAAAAAATTCACTTGCCTCAGCATTGATACACATGTGGAACGGAGCTTTGGGCCAAGAGCCAACTTTTGGACCATCCTGTAAAGGTGTTTTTGAGAGGTAAGAAGATGCTATATGTTAGCATTGGCTAATTCTTATTGTGGGTCCACCCCCATCGGCCCGGGGTGGTATTGCAAGCATGTCAGCGCACGTCATTTTGGCCACGTTTGAGCTGGGACATGCACATGCATGGTATAACTAATGCCGACTTTTGCTTGCTTTTAAGGAAAAGGCCCAAAACTGAAACAGAACTGGAAATTATTAGGACTTTTGCTGACCCAAATGTATGCTCACGTATAGAGTGGCACATATTCCTGAGCTCGACATGCACTTTAATCCATTGGGGAGCACAACACAGAGATTAACCCACATCCTGCTGCTCTGACATCCTTTTCATTTGCATCTCCGTATAGAAGCGTGGTATTAAAACAGCGGCGGTATAAGCTGTGAGGATAACAGTCTATGCGACCCGGTAGGCGCTCATACGATAGTAGTTCTGACTGTGGCTCCGTGCAGCCCACACCAGCAGAGCAGCAGACATCATGTGCAGAGGGGAGGACATCAGGGCCAAATACAGAGACCAGCCCAACGAGCCGTCCACTTTGTCCGGAAGCACTGACACTCTGTGAAGCAGGTCCATCCCGGCCAGATAGCAGCACACTGTGGCCAGCGTACACAGACCTGAAGAGCATCATAATAATACAAATATTATAGTATTTACATTATACTTTTCATTATACCCAAACAGGCTTTTTAAATAATAAAGCATTCATTATCATTGTGAATATTATTACTTGGCAGAGGTCTGCATGATTTTATTTGTATTATTATTATGAATTTTACCTACATTTAGATGTTTGGTACCATTAGTCACATTACAAATGCATGGGTGAATATTTGCTCAAAGGGGGCTATACAGTGGGATGTCCAACCAGTTTTCATGCAATTTACAATTTAATTGAATTTGGAAAAACACATTTCAATATTACTGCTGATTGTTTCAGCTTTACTTGCTTGCTTTGCTTTGCAAAACTGCACCAAATGTAAAGAAGACGGGGATTGTAGGATTGTGCACTTTTGAAGAGGAGAAGGGTGTGGTGTCTGGCTCCAGGGTGCAGAAGGCTCACGATGTCACTGTCCCTTCATCAGAGCATTCCATATTCCACAATATATGAAGAGAAAAGAATGATCTGATAAAAGCTATAATAACTGAAACCTCACAAAATAAATCCTATTTTGGACATCAATTTTGAGTCCAAAATAGTTTTTCATTTTGTCTTCCCCTTTTTTCCCCTTTGCTTCTCATCAAGAACTTTTTGGTGTACAATATATCATCTTTTTGAATTGCAGACATGGTCTTACCCGTGATTAAGTGAAATACTCCTATAGCCAGGGTTGGCGTGAGGCTTCGACACATACAGGCACAGAAGCCAATGAGCGCAGAAAACGCCACGAGGCCCAGAGACACCAGGGGCAGCAGGAACTGGCACCTCCACAGGTCTGCAGCGATAACCAACAATATTACATCAATGTCAACCAGCATCGCACTCTGGAATCTAATGTTGGCTGAAACTACACCTATAAATATTTCAACAGCCAATCTTTAAAGTTTGCCATCAAAACAGAAGGAATTCTCACTTGACCCCTCAAAGGAAGCTTAAGATGTTTTGGAATAATGATGTAAAAAACACTTACAGGTACGCATCAAGTCTTCTCCACTGTTGTGATTGCCGGGCTCCTTGTACTTTGGTATGAACTGATGAGATAGAGTGAAGCTTCGGCACTCCAGAACAAACTTAGGATCTGAGGTAAAATCAAACACAAGCTTGAGTGTTGTGGTATGTAAACAGTGAATTGTACACTTTTATTATTCAATTAACTTGAACTCAAGAAATACAATATACACCAAACCATAAAACATAAAAACTTGATCACAGCTGAGGGTATTGTACCTAAAGAGAGTATAAAGGATCAGACCACATTTTTGTCTCAGGGTTTGAGCCCATGGACATAAACATGTCACTAAATGGCCCCTCTTCCACTTCACAAAAAACATCTAAGAATAAATGGATTTTGTTCTGTTTAAGATGGTAAAACACTCTATATACATGCATTTGATATAAGTAGATTAGAATATTGTAACGTCCCCTACTCAGATTTTCCTCTTAAATCAATCCAACAACTGCTTCATAACAGAGATATTGAATGATCTTTATTGGTTCCAAATTCAGGCCCAAATTGACTTGAAAACCGTTAAAGCCCTTCACAATCTGGCACCTCCATATAGTTCTGCTTTGTGTGTCATATGAACCTCAGCCTTCAGAACAGGAGGAAAACTTTCTCTCATTATGCTCTGTGTAAATGGAATCATATGTTCAATAACAAGTGTATTCAGCCAATGTGTTTTGACTTGACGTTGGCTAAGATAGTATAGATTTTACACAATAATGTTGTATCAGTAAAATTAGGAACTCGATTCAAATCTCTGTGTTTCTATCCATGCCAAATGTGACATGTAAATTTCTCCTTTGTGAGATAAATAAAACATATCGTATCTTATCTTTAACTCTCAATTCCAACCTATATGCTTAACTGTGCCCAACTCCATGTGAACTCTTTAGACCCTGAAGGTCTAAAGAGTTCACATTCCATTCACATTCCATTCAAAAAGTGAAAACACAATGTAACATTCTGTGGGTGATAAAGTAGGCCTTTACACTTCATGACGTATTGTTGAAGTCAAACAATAGCATTTCCAAACTGTCCAAGTCTAAAACGTACCGGATCTATGATTTGAAAAAACATTTACTTTTCTGTGTGAGACACACAAACTCGGGAGAGAGCGTGGACTTCAGCCTGTAGTTGTAAACATGAATACATTAATCTGAACCGACCTGGCTCTTTGTACCAGTGCGCGTTGGCTGGCACTAACACGCAGCGCCACCAGAGGCCCAGCGTCCCGTTGAGGCGGAACAGGGTGTCGCTGTACGTCTTCTCATCAAACTCTCCATCCATGAACTCCTCGTACAGGGAGCGCAGATCAGACGCGTTGGCTTCTCCGCGCACTGCGGGGCTGCTGTACTGGTACCAGTGCTGAGTCCCGATGGCCACACACAGATAGACGGTGGCCAGGAGGCTGAGCACACACGCGATGACCAGCGCTGTGGCGAAGCGATTGTCAACCATCATCCGCCCGGAGCGCGTCCAACGGGATTAATGGAGACAGGCTTGTGGGAGAGCAGCAGTGGAGCCGCAGGATTCTGCAACACAGCCTGTAGTTCTACAGTCCTGCTTCTTCAGAGTCGTTCGGTCATGATTAAAAAGACACAAGCAAACTCACAGTCAGTTCACCTCCAGCAGCACATCTTCGCCTCTTCTGCGCGCTAAGCCGGCGGCAGAGGGACCATCTGTTCACTTGTCCCACTTCCACAGATGGTGGCTGCCTACAGCCTGCAACAGACAGCGTCAATAAAGCTCATTTTGTGCCAGTAAACCGCGGGTGGAAGTTATAAATAATGTCAGATTGAAGGGCTGTTTTCTTGTTTTTATTTGTTAGGTTGTTGCCGGTCTTTCCAGGATGGATCAGCAAGGGCTAATCCTTGCTTTTTCCTTTTCCGGTTATCCAAACGTTTGTTATTAACTTAGGCTCATATCCAAAAAGGCAAAAATTACCTTCACATCAAGTAAGGAAACATGTGTAATGTAATGCATATGACACAAAATTCAGACCGGATATATTTTAGAAGAAATCATCACAATGTTATCCATATTATGTCCATTCACCTAAATTCTGTCCACACTTTTCACTGAGAACTATAATAATGTGTGCAGTGATATTGTAAACTGTTTCCCCTAATGCTCACATTTTACATATGGTGCCTTGTATCATATTCTCAATAAAACACATATTTGTTGATGTTTTTATTTATTTTTTTGTTTATTTTGATGGGATAGTGTGTATTCATGAACAGCAGGAGCTGTAAATATAAAGCTTAAGCAAAAATTCAGACTGGAAGACCAAAGAGACGTCACTGCCACACTGGACTCCTCCCTCTACTCTCCTGCACCTGACCTCAGCAATATGCCTCAGCCTCATTAACACACCTCTGCTTATCAGTTCATGGCTGCATTTACACCTCCTCCCCATCACCGCCTCTATCTATGACTATCATGTCATGTCTTTCGGCTCAGCCTCTTTGCCACTAGGGTCTAGGCTCCAAGAGGGTTGCAAGCTAATAATGTCTATAAACTTCCTTATGTCAAGCAGTATTCCTGCCAAGGTCTAATCGCCAAAGCTTACCAATTAATATATTAGTCTATGTTCTAAAGTCTGCTGGTGTTTATTTGTAAATTTGTAAATATTCTAATTCAAACTTTGTCTCGAGTCTTTCCAGATTGAAACATCAGATAATTTCCATCTATAGTCCCACAATCACACTCACAAATATACTGTATTGTGTATTTTTTTTGTGGTAGGGGAAACCAGAGCACCCGGAGGAAACTGACTGGAATCAAACCCAGGTTCTTCTTGCTGTGAATTTATATCCACTTCACAACCGTGCCACGTAATAAAAGTGCAAATGTATATATCTGTTCCTCTCATTTCTATAGGTGTGTGTGTTTTTTGCGAGTTTGTATGCGTGTGTGAGCATGCAAGTGTGCGTGCGTGTGCGTGCATGTGTGAGTGACTGCATTCATTTTAAGACATGTGTTAAGTGCAACTTTTGTGTATTTTATGAATGTTCAAAAGAGTGAATCTGCTCACTGTTGTGCAGAGAGCTGTGACACACAATCTCATGTGTTTTCATTATCTATCTTTTTAAATGCAAGGAACAATACAAGTGTGTACATACTTAAGTTATAGAACCAAGAAACAAATCATACAATACAACAAAAATAAGTAAATAAATGAATAGATATTCCTCTGATTGCTCAAATCAATCTGGGAATTGTTCTATTGGAATAGTTTTTGTTTGAAAACTTGTTAGACCCTATTAGATAATGTTCTAGGAAAAGTCAAATTATGAATTCTGTCACAACTCAGAACAAAGGACCCATCAAGCAGGACTGAAAATATGTTAAAGTTTATTGAAAATCAAATAAAAGTCCAGTAAAATAAAACATAGAAATTAAATAAATACAAACAGACCACTGTAACACATTGTGGTAACCCTAGCTTTATGGACAACAAGAGGAGAACAGCACTGTGTGGGGCAGTCAATCAATCCAAAGGGAAGTTGAACTCAATAATACATGAGAATGATATCATCGGTCATAACACAAAGTCCACACCATGACAGTATTTTTGTCAGGCAAGGGTTGCTGGTATTTAATCTGAAAAGTTATTTATGACGTCATTTAATGAAAAGGAGGCTTCATTCTCCTCTTAATTTGGAGATCTACTCAAATGGGTTCATAACAGTTGTATTAGTTGTTTACAATAGAATGTTGTCACAGAAACGACATTCATTAAAATTACCCACATTTGAATCAAAATCAACCTAATAACTTAAGACAAACGTAAAACATGGTTTCATGTGTTGACACAATACCAAATAATTTATATATTACATTACATACATACATTAGACTTAGACAAAAGTTTTTCTTCTCCTTTATATAATTGCGCATAATATGATTGGCCATAAAGATGTGATTACAAATGAAGTACCGGATTCTCTAGATGTGACAGCAGATAAGTAATAATGAATAAGAACAATGTATTGACAAAGCTGATCTTAAGGGGTGCTCCACTTGATGCTGTAACACATTTTAAAGTATACCAGAATTAGGATATTATTCAAAGGCTTCATATTTTCAAGTTAATCAATAATTGCTAAAATTAAGTTACCAGTGGGTATTGTGGTTGTTGAGGTAGTAGTTGATGCAGTTGAAGTTGTAGCATCTGTGACAGGGCTTGCTGAAAAAAATAACATCGAGTCAAAAAATAAATCTTTTCCTCTGTGGCACACACTTGCCGACTCTGTTATACACACATGTGACTGCAACGTTGCTAAAAGCGCTAGCTCCTTCCTGGAGAGCTGTGACAACAGCAGCATTTGTTGGAAGATTTGTTGGTGCAAAACTAATGTTGAAGTTGACATCAGTGGCACTGGCTCTTGTCTCAAGTGAGGATCGGCTGTTTTCAGAAACATCAAACGAAGGTTCCAAATTAAATTATACATTACATTATAGAAGGGAGAACAATTTTGACTAAATACTTACCTAAATGAAGTTACAACACAATTCGGATTTTTGAATTGAACTATTTGAATTAAACACTGTGAGGAAAAAGAAATACATGTTAAAAATCAGGTTGACGGTTCGAGAATATTCAAAATCACTTACAGCTTTTTCGTTTTTCTGCTTTTCACTTTTATATAATTCACTGTTAGTGTTTAACAATTCATCAGAGAACGGTAGATCTCTGTTGGTGGCTGTACACACATACACCTCAGAGGTGGGGGCAGCTGTGGTTCTTGTTGTTGTTGTTGTTGTTGGGGCAACTGTGGTTGTTGTAGTTGGGGCAACTGTAGTTGTTGTTGGGGCAACTGTAGTAGTTGTCGTTGGGGCAACTGTAGTTGTTGTTGGGGCAGGTGTAGTAGTTGTCGTGGGGGCAACTGTTGTAGTTGTTGTTGGGGCAACTGTAGTTGTTGTAGGGGCAGCTGTAGTAGTTGTCGTTGGGGCAACTGTAGTTGTTGTTGGGGCAGGTGTAGTAGTTGTCGTGGGGGCAACTGTTGTAGTTGTTGTTGGGGTAACTGTGGTTGTTGTTGTTGGGGCAACTGTAGTTGTGGTAGATGATGCAGGGGTTGATGTTTCTGCAGAAGATGTTGCAGGGCTAGATGTTAAAGGGGTAGAGGATGCTTGTGTAGATGATGCAGGGGTAGATGAAGATGGTGTAGATGATGCAGGGGTAGATGATACTGGGGTAGATGAAGATGGTGTAGATGATGCCGGGGTAGATGATGCTGGGGTAGATGATGCAGGGGTAGATGATGCAGGGGTAGATGTTTCTGCAGAAGATGTTGCAGGGCTAGATGTTAAAGGGGTAGAAGATGCTTGTGTAGATGATGCAGGGGTAGATGACGCTGGGGTAGATGAAGATGGTGTAGATGATGCAGGGGTAGATGATGCTGGGGTAGATGAAGATGGTGTAGATGATGCCGGGGTAGATGATGCAGGGGTAGATGATGCTTGTGTAGATGATGCAGGGGTAGATGATGCAGAGGTAGATGATGCAGGGGTAGATGTTTCCGCAGAAGATGTTGCAGGGCTAGATGTTAAAGGGGTAGAGGATGATGCAAGGGTAGATGATGCAGGGGTAGATGATGCAGGGGTAGATGATGCTGGGGTAGATGATGCAGGGGTAGATGAGGCAGGGGTAGATGATGCTGGTGTAGATGATGCAGGGCTAGATGTTAAAGGGGTAGAGGATGATGCAAGGGTAGATGATGCAGGGGTAGATGATGCAGGGGTAGATGATGCAGGGGAAGACGATGCAGGGGCAGATGATGCAGGGGTAGATGATGCAGGGGTAGATGATGCAGGGGTAGAGGATGATGCAAGGGTAGATGAGGCAGGGGCAGATGATGCAGAGGTAGATGATGCAGGGGTAGATGATGCAGGGGTAGATGATGCAGGGGTAGATGATGCCGGGGTAGATGATGCTGGTGTAGATGAGGCAGGGGCAGATGATGCAGAGGTAGATGATGCTGGGGTAGATGATGCAGAGGTAGATGATGCTGGGGTAGATGAGACAGGGGCAGATGATGCAGAGGTAGATGATGCAGATGAGAACGAGGTAGATGATGCCGGGGTAGATGAGACAGGGGCAGATGATGCAGAGGTAGATGATTCAGGGGTAGATGATGCAGGGGTAGATGATGCCGGGGTAGATGATACTGGGGTAGATGAGACAGAGGTAGATGATGCAGGGGTAGATGATGCAGAGGTAGATGATGCTGGGGTAGATGAGACAGGGGCAGATGATGCAGAGGTAGATGATGCTGGTGTAGATGATGCAGGGGTAGATGATGCAGATGAGAACGAGGTAGATGATGCCGGGGTAGATGAGACAGGGGCAGATGATGCAGGGGCAGATGATGCCGGGGTAGATGAAGATGATTTAGATGATGCAGGGGTAGATGATGCAGGGGTAGATGATGCCGGGGTAGATGAAGATGATGTAGATGATGCAGGGGTAGATGATGCAGGGGTAGATGTTTCCGCAGAAGATGTTGCAGGGCTAGATGTTAAAGGGGTAGAGGACGATGCAAGGGTAGATGATGCAGGGGTAGATGATGCAGGGGTAGATGATGCAGGGGTAGATGATGCCGGGGTAGATGATGCAGGGGTAGATGATGCAGGGGCAGATGATGCCGGGGTAGATGAAGATGATGTAGATGATGCAGGGGTAGATGATGCCGGGGTAGATGAAGATGATGTAGATGATGCAGAGGTAGATGATGCAGGGGTAGATGATGCAGGGGTAGATGATGCCGGGGTAGATGTTTCCGCAGAAGATGTTGCAGGGCTAGATGTTAAAGGGGTAGAGGACGATGCAAGGGTAGATGATGCAGGGGTAGATGATGCAGGGGTAGATGATGCAGGGGTAGATGATGCAGAGGTAGATGATGCAGGGGTAGATGATGCAGGGGTAGATGATGCCGGGGTAGATGAAGATGATGTAGATGATTCAGGGGTAGATGATGCCGGGGTAGATGAAGATGATGTAGATGATTCAGGGGTAGATGATGCAGGGGAAGACGATGCAGGGGCAGATGATGCTGGTGTAGATGAGGCAGGGGCAGATGATGCAGAGGTAGATGATGCAGGGGTAGATGATGCAGGGGTAGAGGATGATGCAAGGGTAGATGAGGCAGGGGCAGATGATGCAGAGGTAGATGATGCTGGGGTAGATGATGCAGAGGTAGATGATGCTGGGGTAGATGAGACAGGGGCAGATGATGCAGAGGTAGATGATGCAGATGAGAACGAGGTAGATGATGCCGGGGTAGATGAGACAGGGGCAGATGATGCAGAGGTAGATGATGCAGGGGTAGATGATGCCGGGGTAGATGATGCTGGGGTAGATGAGACAGAGGTAGATGATGCAGAGGTAGATGATGCTGGGATAGATGAGACAGGGGCAGATGATGCAGAGGTAGATGATGCTGGTGTAGATGATGCAGGGGTAGATGATGCCGGGGTAGATGAAGATGATGTAGATGATGCAGGGGTAGATGATGCAGGGGTAGATGATGCAGGGGTAGATGATGCCGGGGTAGATGATGCAAGGGTAGATGAGGCAGGGGTAGATGATGCCGGGGTAGATGATGCCGGGGTAGATGATGCTGGTGTAGAGGATGATGCAAGGGTAGATGATGCAGGGGAAGACGATGCAGGGGCAGATGATGCAGGGGTAGAGGATGATGCAAGGGTAGATGATGCAGGGGTAGATGATGCAGGGGTAGATGATGCAGGGTTAGATGTTTCTGCAGAAGATGTTGCAGGGCTAGATGTTAAAGGGGTAGAGGATGCTGGCGTAGATGATGCTGGGGTAGATGATGCTGGGGTAGATGATGCTGGTGTAGATGATGCTGGGGTAGATGATGATGGTGTAGATGAGGCAGGGGCAGATGATGCAGAGGTAGATGATGCAGGGGTAGATGATGCAGGGGTAGATGATGCTGGGGTAGATGTTTCTGCAGAAGATGTTGCAGGGCTAGATGTTAAAGGGGTAGAGGATGCTTGTGTAGATGATGCCGGGGTAGATGATGCCGTGGTAGATGATGCAGATGCAGATGATGCTGGGGTAGATGAGACAGGGGCAGATGATGCAGGGGTAGATGATGCAGGTGTAGATAAAGATGGTGTAGATGATGCAGGGGTAGATGTTTCCGCAGAAGATGTTGCAGGGCTAGATGTTAAAGGGGTAGAGGATGCTTGTGTAGATGATGCAGGGGTAGATGATGCAGCGGAAGAGGATGCTGGGGTAGATGAGTCAGGAGTAGATGAGGCAGGGTTTGATGTTCCAGGGGTAGATGATACCGGGGTAGATGATACCGGGGTAGATGATACCGGGGTAGATGATTCTGGTGTAGAGGATGCAGGGGCAGATGATGCTTGGGTTGATGATACCGGGGTAGATGATTCTGGTGTAGTTGATGCAGGGGCAGACAATGCTAGGGTAGATGATGCAGTGACAGATTGCCCATTCGTGATTTCTGCAGATGTAGTCTTCATCACACCCACTAAAAGTCCTGAATTGAGAAGGAATTCCAAATATCAGTCAATAAATGAAACACAATTTTGATGACTTCTTAACATGACCAGAACTGAGTCATTTAGGCTGAAATTTCCGCACTGTGGGACAAATAAAGGATCTCTTTTTTAGACTCTAGCTTGTTATCTACCCAAAGGATCACAGCAACTTAACAGGATATTGTAAGAGTTTGAAACACACCTGCAAATAGGCTTGCGCTGCTGTGTTTATTTGCCCTTAAAGCTGTAAGTATTATTGTTTTAGCAGTAAGCTTGATCACAAAAATCTCCATATTATGTCATGGTGTGGATATTTTGTTCTTTGGTTTTATTTCTAAAATAGTTCTATGTGTTTTGATATTAGTTTGACTTCCTGTCTTTTTCCCATGTTCATTTTCTGCCCCGCCCTGATGTGTTTCACCTGTGTCTGTGTCTATATGTTCCCTGTGCTCCTCTCCTCTTTTTTCTGGTCCATTGTATTGTCTCTGTCGTCTTTGTCCCTGGTTCATAGTTCCTGTGTTCAGTTTGAATTTTGAGTTTGTTTTTACCTTGGGAATTATTTTCTGTCTTCGTCATTAAAACCTTTTTTTTGGCATTCCTGCATTTTGGGTTTTTCCCTTCACTGGACGTGACACCATACCCTACGCAGAGTAGTGATTGTGTTTGTTTATTCAACAGGGTTCTTCTACTTTGTTGAAAGTTTTCAATTACTCAATGGAAATAAATGACTGAAAATTAGACGCCTGTGCATCACATAAATCCAGAAATCCCAATCACCAAATGATCCACTATAAAATGATTCACCGAGCTTATTTATATCCTAGGAGACTAATCCTAATGAAACTAAAAGACAATCAATACTGTGATTTCTGTCCAGATGGAACAATTGGTACTTTTCTGCATATGGTGTGGCAATGCCCAGAGGTTTTGAATTTTTGGGAAAATGTTACAAATATGCTTTCAAACATCATGGAAGGAGTCGTACCCTGCACTCCATGGCTTCTTTTGTTAGGTGATACTTCCAAATTAAATTTCACAATTAATCAACGCCGAATATTGTTAGCTGGCCTCACAGCTGCTCAAAAGATGGTAATCTGCCGATGGAAGACAGTTCAGCCTCTGACCACAAGGGAATGGCTCCTGTCCTATAGAGCAGGGGTTCCCAAAGTTTTTAGCCTGCGACCCCCATCATAAATGCCCTGCTAACCCGCGACCCCCCCCCCCAACAGCCCTTCCGTCACATGAAATGAGCATGTATTTCCTTGATACGGAGTAACGCTTTCTAGAGACTCACGCCACTACCGAGCTGCACTGTCCAGCCCAAAAAAGGAGGCTTGCATATTTTTACTCATGTAGTGACACAGTGATGGGCTTGGTGGGCTCCCTCCTCAGCAGAAGTGGAGCACATTTCTTGCGGCTCGCCCTCACTGTTCTCCTACCGCGGTAAAGAGGTCCGCACATTAAAAGCGGGCGGCCGCTTTCTGCTGTTACTTTACGCGGTTCATCCCCGCGGCTTCTCTTTCCAAAGTTACTGTCAGTAACAGCATACAGCTGCCACCGGCTTTTAATGTGCGGACCTCTTTACCTTTGACTCCGAAAAGCCGGGCCTCTTTAACGCGCTTTTCTACAGCTGTCCTCCCTCCCTCTGCTGCCCTCTCTCCCTCCTCTGCCCTCTCTCCCTCCTCTGCCCTCTCTCCCTCCTCTGCCCTCTCTCCTTCTCTTCGCACCATCAGCCTGACCCCTGATACAAGTGACTTTTCTCCCCCTCTGGGTTTTTCTGTTGTGGATATTAATCACGTTTCATTTTAAAGCAGGTATTATTTATTTGTAGCCTTCAAACACCTTTAAAGCCTAGTTTATACTCGCGCGGCGCGGAGCTTACGGAGGTGACGTGACGTCACTTGCGCAACGCGTTGGTCACCGCAAGGCCCTTACGTCGCCTGCCGCGCAGCATCGAAATTTTCTAACTACGTAAGGGTCGCCGCAAGGAAGCTCCGCTGTGATTGGTCCGTGTGTGTGTATTGGAAGGAAGCATGAAGCGGCTGCAGCAGGAGCATGGACGAGGCACTATGGAGCAGAGAGCTTTGTGCTTCGAAGGAAAAGCAGTTTGGGCTCAGAGCCTGATATACAGGAGACTGTGGACTATCTAACATATATATAACTTATAAACTGTGCAGTCGTTTGTTTTGCACTGTTCCTGTCTTGTTTGAATCGTAGCTGCGTTTGTTGCTTTCCTCCTGCACTCGTAAATCGTTCATGTTTGTCTCAGATATTTACCACTATTATTGTTTTGCTGTTTGTGCTGAAAACTATTTAATAATAACTATGTTTCCAACAGAACTGTGTCTTTATTCACAGCATCACAGTTGAAATGACTTATAAAATAATGAATCCATAAAACTATCACATAAACCTACAGTAGAAACACGTGTAATGAGCTCAAACAGCTTTGTTTGTTATTGTTGTTCTGAAGAGGACAAAGTAGCAGCGTAAATGGGACCGCTCCTGTGTGATCGCCCTCATGTGGTTTGTTGTGGGATTACAACATTCTCCTCAAAACTCCGTAAGGGGAACGCGCCAGTATAACATCCATTGTGCTTACGTAGGTCCACCGCAACCGCTAACGTAAGCCACGCCGCGCAAGTATACACTAGGCTTAAGCCTCGTTTATACTCGCGCGGCGCGGAGCTTACGGAGGTGACGTGGCGTCACTTGCGCAACGCGTTGGTCACCGCAAGGCCCTTACGTCACCTGCCGCGCAGCATTGAAATTTTCTAACTACGTAAGGGTCGCCGCAAGGAATCTCCGCTGTGATTGGTCCGTGTGTGTATTGGAAGGAAGCACGGAGCGGCTGCAGCAGGAGCATGGACGAGGCACTATGGAGCAGAGAGCTTTGTGCTTCGAAGGAAAATCAGTTTGGGCTCAGAGCCTGATATACAGGAGACTGTGGACTATCTAACATATATATAACTTATAAACTGTGCAGTCGTTTGTTTTGCACTGTTCCTGTCTTTGTTTGAATCGTAGCTGCGTTTGTTGCTTTCCTCCTGCACTCGTAAATCGTTCATGTTTGTCTCAGATATTTACCACTATTATTGTGCTGTTTGTGCTGAAAACTATTTAATAATAACTATGATTCCAACAAGAACTGTGTCTTTATTCACAGCATCACAGTTGAAATTACTTGTAAAATAATGAATCCATAAAACTATCACATAAACCTACAGTAGAAACACGTGTAATGAGCTCAAACAGCTTTGTTTGCTATTGTTGTTCTGAAGAGGACAAAGTAGCAGCGTAAATGGGACCGCTCCTGTGTGATCGCCCTCATGTGGTTTGTTGTGGGATTACAACATTCTCCTCAAAACTCCGTAAGGGGAACGCGCCAGTATAACATCAATTGTGCTTACGTAGGTCCACCGCAACCGCTAACGTAAGCCACGCCGCGCAAGTATACACTAGGCTTTAGTTTTAGCAAACAACAGCAGGACACGCTTTGTCGCTGAGCATGATGTGAGCTGTGTTACGTGATGATTTTGATTGACGCTGCAATGACTGGATCAAAATTACTAACGTTATTAAAATATATTATAGTCTCAAACACAATTTAACAAGTAGTCCTTTTGAATCAAATCAAATGCTAAATAAATATTTAAGGGCTTTATATTTGCTAAAAAAAAACCCAAATCTTTTTTTGTTTTTGTTTTTGGAAATCATCTTGCGTCGGTCCACCGGGACCCCCACTTTGGGAACCACTGCTATAGAGATATAATGCAGTTGGAGCTCTCTGCCGCCAAAATTAATGGAGCAAAAACTGAAAATATCTCTTGCTGGTCCAAACTATTAAATACAATTAGACTGGATTAGACCTGGGTTTATAAATCATGTTGCATTTTGCATTTGAGATTGTCATTATGGTGTATGTGAATATGTGTTACATAACTATATGTACTGTGCGTAGTGATTGCTTTATCTTAAATATTGTCGTTATGTATACTGCTATTTCTGTGGATGTCTCTGACGGAGGAAATCAGCACTTTGTATCAACCCAACTGTATGTTTTGCTTCGCATATGTGAATAATAGTTCATTGCTGGTAGTCTTTGTATATAAACCTGGACAGGGTTATTGTTTATTGTATTTATGTATTTTTATTTTATTCTTTAATTACAAATGTTGTTTTAGATATCTTGACCCTTTTATTTTATTTTATTTTTATTATTATTATCATTATCATTGTTTTCATTATTATATTTTTATTTTATTTTATTTACTATTCTGTTATTATAATCATTATTTATTTATTTAGTTATCAATTTATTATTTTGAGCTTCTCTGCCCATCACAAGGGAAAGGGAATATGGGGACCAAAAGGGGGATAAAAAGTGTGATGCATGCTAATCAGTGCAAAATGTGAATACATTGTCAAATACATTGTCATACTTGAATAAAAAAATGGATCACAAAAAATATATAATTGATATATTATCTGTATGGGTTTTTAAATCTATTTTAATCAGCTAAGCAGCAAATATACCATCACCATACCAAAAAGCCTGCACATCAAAAAAATACCTTGATATTGTTACGCATCAACTTTTTATTGCGTGTTTTCACCAATATAGATTGCAGTGTAATACATAGTATAATTGTATAATATAATTTCACTTACCCACTAATATTAGCAGCATCAGGGTGTCTCGTCTCTTCCCCATATTTTTTTTGAAAACCTCAAAAAACCTTAAAAAAACATAAAAACATAATTTCAACATTGATACTGACTGACAAGACATTTCATAAAACATTAAATATTTTATATTTTTATTTTCTAATTTGTTTGTCAGGTTTTGCTTTGAAACAACAAATGAGTCTATAGCAACAATTAAAATGTAACTGTATCACACATTTCATACAATGACTTGCAATTCAATGGGCCTGACAGCGTAGACAAAGAC